AGTTTTCTTTATACATAATATGATTGAGGGTGAAAAGAAAAGGCCACTATTATAAGGATAACAAATATTATGTTTCTCAAATTGTAAGAATCTGAAGAGGATTTATTGAAAAGAATCCTCTTCGTTCAGATTGTCTTTTAATTTATGGTATGGGAATATTTCACACTATTAAAAGTAAAACTATTACGCAAATAGACAATGAAGTGAAATTGTAAAATTAATGAGTTCAGCTAAGCGAGTGATAATCAAAACATTATTCTGATATCCCTTGTTCCACTACTATGCCCTATGAGTTGACATAATTTTGAAGTATTCTGTAGATGTATGTTATTAAAAAGGTTGACTGTTTTTGATCATAGATGTCTACGATCTCTTTCTCACGTTAGGTTGTATAATAAGGTAAGTAATGTTGACGTTAGGCGTAGAGTGTTGAGCAAACAGGGAAAATCAATCGAAGAGGCTATAAAGTTACATAGATTGAGATGGCTAGGTCACGTGCTGCGCATGCCTAACCATCGCCTCCCCCCGCCGACGGGCATTACTAGCTGATATAGGTGCAGGTTGGAAAAGAGTAATTGGTGGCCAAACAAAAACATGGCATCAATCCATGAAATCCTTGACAGTTAAACTGAGTCAGGTAGGGAGATGTAGACTTCCGGGACTCGGGAATCAATGGCTGGAGACAATAGGTGACATGGCTCAAAATCGTTGTCAATGGCTTACGCAGATGTACTCAGTCTCTGTAATCTTTCATATTCCTTTCTACCATTACTCATTCTGTTTCACCCTTATACTTGTTAGAACTCTACTGATTCTCTTTACTCATCTTCTTGTCTACTTTTGTGTGCTATTTTGAACGTGGCAACTCGAACTGCTGCACTTCGGTGCCAAGTTGTATGTTGAATTCAGACAGACAGATGTATGTTACATAGACATAATAACTTGTCATTTTCAGGCTGTTAGCAACTGAAGAAAAGCCGTGATATAAAGAATGAGTTCTTTTCATCCTACAAACAGGTTTGTTTTTACTTTGTCCAAATTAATCAAGGGAATCGGGTGTATGAGAAATTCTGGTGCCTAAAAAGAGATGACTTAGAATTAAACAATTAACGCGCCAATAATGAATTGGGAATCACTTACTGACAAGAATGTAGGTGGACGTAACTATTGCAACGAGACATTCATTTGGTAGAATACCTTTGCTAACAGTGCATAGTATTTTTCCACAAGTGGAAATGCAAGAAACAGTAACCACTTCTAAAACAATTTTTAATACTGATTTTTTTGACAATTAAAATGATGCTCAGACTAAAGAGAAGCATGAATCACACTTTCCTACTGAATAAGACAAATCACAATAGCACTAATTTAGCAGTTCTTGAAACGTAAGCCAATTCTATCAGATGGATGTGTCAGAATAAACATCGACATTTTTTCTGAAATTTGGCTCTCTTATAGCATTTTGAATTAATGGGAAAGATTTGTAGCTCAGGTGGGTGATTTTGAATTAGTTGTGCTCTCTGAGGTGATTGATTTAATTGCGTTGCTTTCGTCGTCCTTCTAGAAAACATCTTCAGCGCAGGTTTTAGTATGGAGTGAACTCATTCATGGAGAATTCTAATGAGTTCATTCTATACTAAAACCTGCACTGAAGATGTTGTCTAGAAGGACGACGAAAGCAACGCAATTACATCAACCAGCTCAAAGAATACAACTAATTCAAAACCTGAACAAAACAAGAACAATTGTACCAGGATAATATGAGCTCATCTTTTATTATTTCGAGGATTCTTCTCAACTGGTTACAACCTGAACGATGAAAAATATGAATTACATTACATTAAAGATTTGAAAATAAATTTTCCACGATCACAAGGAGTAATTGGTAGAAAGTAAAAGTAACATTAGTCCGGAATGATTTAAGTAATAATTCAAAACCTCTTAAAGTATACCTTAAACTTTGAAAGAGGAGGTAAATCTAGAAAATAAAGTATATCGACAGGTGTGCAAGGTACGCCATAAGCAGATGCGGGAGCATAGCTTCCAACTCCCAGTGTACTTGTCCTGCTCAGACAAAACAGCTGTTCGCCAGCCAAATCTAAACAACAGATTGATCGTCAAAAATACGAATTATATTTCTGGATTAGAAATGCAGACCTGTGATGTCTGCTTAGCTAGCTAGAATGAGTACACGGATAGTCGGACTGTAGTACCCCTGTACCAACTATAAACATACGATTTTAATCTAATTTGCATACTCATATTATATGTTTACACATACCGATTTTATATGTGCTTCGTAAACATTTGTCAATTTACTGTTGAACGTTACTTTGATACAATTTTGAAATTTGACTACGGCTATAATACACGATTACACTCTTCACAAGTGTCTTCTGATTTTACGTTGTGGGCGTCGAGTAGCCACAACGTCTGCGCACATTGATAAACGTGAAGAAGTACTAGGCAATACGTGTACGCTAATTTAGTCAAATAGAACACGCAACAGAACGTGACATGATAGCTTGTTAAATGGAGTGGATGGAAGATTCAACAAAAGTGTAAGACAGAAAAGTATTCAGGAAGATAAACACTTGGTTAATTATATATCCAGAAGACTGTTTTATTTAACTGAAGTATTTACTTGCTTATGTATTTATCGCTGACCAGTACAGTTTCAGAAAATAATATAACGTCAAACCTACCATCAAATGAAGAAATGTTTCAGCTTACTATGTAACGTGAAGCTAAATGATAAACAGGTAAGAAAGCTACAACAGGAGTTCTCTTCATAAAGAAGAACCTTGTAGCATAAAGCCAGCAAGCATTGGTGAACAGTGAGAGTTTATTTTAGATGTGAATTACCTGCCTCACATAACTTTTATTGTAATTAAAACATTCATGTCCTGTCAAAACATTAGTAAATAAATGAATTGATATTTGTAAGTCACTGTCTGTCTGTCTGTCTGTTTTCGACATAGAACTTTGCACATATGTGCGGCAGTTCAAGTCGCCACAATCCATGTAGCACGCAAAGCAAGAGAAGGAAGTAGAAGAAATGCAAAATATAGACAGTAAACAGAGGTGTGAGACAAAGGAATAGTACTAACGGAGAACAAAACAGTTTAACTGGAAATGATAAGTCACAAGGAGTGGATGCATCTGCGCCACTGAGAACGATTTTGAGCCATGTCGCCAATTGTTTCCAACCATTGGTTTTTACCGTCCCGAGGACCCCAACCAGGAAGTCTACATCTTCCTACGTGGCTTAGATTAACTGTTGTGGATTTCATTGATTGGTGCCATGTTTTGGTTTGACCGCCGCTAGCTCTTTTCCAGCCTGACCCTATATCAGCTAACATTGCCCGTCGAGGAAGGCGATGACTAGGCATACGTAGCACATGTCCTAACCATCTCAGTCGATGCAATTTCACAGTCTCGTCGATTGATTTCCCCGCCTTACCTAGCACTCGACGCCTAACCTCAATATTGCTCACCTTATTATTCCACTTCACGCGGGAGATAGAACGCAGACACCTATGATCGAAGGCAGCTAATCTTTTCATGTCTTCTGCTCTCAATGGCCAGGTCTCACAGCCATAAAGGAGGACGGAGCGGACTGTTGAGCAGTACACACGCCCTTTGGTCGATAGTCGGATATCGCGTCTACGCCAGAGACGGCGAAAACTGGCGAATGCGAACCTAGCCCTCTGTATTCGTGCTGAAATTTCGTCGGAGATCAACCCGTTGGGGCTGATGGTACTTCCCAAGTAAGTGAAGCGGTCAACGTGTTCTACCACTTCACTTCCTATTTCTAATCTAGGGGTCGATGAAGTCCAATCCTGCAGCATCATCTTACATTTTATAGGGGCGATCGCATCACATGCGAGTTGTGCTCAGGGTGTTCAGTAGACTCTGCATTTTGTCAGAGTCCTCGCCTAGAAGGACTATATCGTCCGCATATTCTAAGTCAACGAGATTCTTCCCTGGTAGCAAGTCAATCCCTGAGTCGCTGAAGTGAGTTAGGGTTAAGTCCATTAGTACATCTATGATGAAATTGAATAGGAATGGGGATAATGGGCATCCTTGACGGACGCCACTAGTCGTCACCACTTCAGATGACAACTCGCCATAAGCCCTCACCTGGCTGCATGAGTACGACTGTCGAAGGGTGAAGATGTGATCAATACACCCTCTACCTGGCCTAAAACCTGCCTGGTTTTCTCGTGTTTGTGTCTCCCGAGCACCACTTAATCTACGCAGTATTATTGAGCCTAGGATTTTAGATACTATATTAGTCAAGCTAATCCCTCTGTGATTATCACAAGACGACTTGTCCCCCCTTCTTGTATATCGGGATGATCAGTGACTTACACCAACCCGATGGGACTTCCTCTGACCAGATCACTAGTTAAAATTAGCGAATCTCTCAAGACTTTCAACCAACTTGCTTTTCAAATTAAAACTTTACTTCAGGCTGAAATAGGCTAAATTAATTTTCAAAAGGTAAACATTATCCACCAATAACAACTTTTTCCTTTCGCGTTTCGAATGGGAAATAGGGCTTCAGGCTTAAGGTCTTAAGTTTCAGTAGCCGTTGTTAGATTTTTACGGGTTGGGGTTGCTAGCTCTGCATCCAACCTCTTCTCTTTATCAGGCTTACTATCGGCTTGGAGAGCTTTAGGAATGAGTTGGATGAGAATCGAACCTCGAACCACATGCGTGGTTGGCGAGCGTTCTACCACTGAACCACCGATGCACAAACCTCGAAACTGGTGGGTGATGACTAGTAGTAGAACTTAGGCTACGCATTTCATCCTGTTTGGGACTCGTCATCCGGATATACCTGCACTCCCCAGTGAGTGATGGTGTTCTCACTGAGGCCCGAACCCAGTACTTATAGTTTCAAACGTCAAATAGTTATCCCCTACACCATCTGAGCCACACCAATAACAATAGTACTTGAAATTTAAGAAAACTGAAAACATCTTTTGTTTGATGACCATTTTTATTATAGAAAACTATTATTGCATACCTTTCAAAAGTATAATGAACAATAATAAAGCAGAAACTGTTCATAAAAAGTTCGCCATTGATAAAATGTGAATTTTTACCATGAATTATATGAAAGAACAGTTGAATATTTTCACCAATTATTATCATAATACTAAAAGGTAAACAGATTGTGAAAAGTTTAACAACAATATCATAATAGAAATGCTTATAATAAGAATAATAAGACTGGTAAATAGTAGACAAAAATGTAAACACACAGATATTAATAAGATGAATGGTTTAAAATGCATATTTCTGATGAACAGTATTGGTTTATTCCTCGTTGGACAAGATTTTCTTACCATCCTGATAGATGAATTAGTGACTTCGATGTAGTGATGTATTGATAATGTAGTCAAATATAATTAGTAATAAAATTAGTCATAATAATAACTAGATATGAATTCAAAGAGTATCGTAATTATTTAAGTGAATATATCAACTTTAGTTACAAAACTGCAATTCTGTATCACAATTAAACATCATATATATGTGTTTGGAATAGTTACTACAATGTGTAGTAAAAATACAGTCGTATAATCTGTACAGAAAGGGGAAATGGAGTAAGAGTTATTGAGAGAATACTTCGAAAGGTGAAAAAGAAAAAAGACTATGAAAAGAAATATTCGAATCGATACTTGAACAATTTTCATGTAAATTCAATTTGAAATTTAGATAAAATAACCTAAGTCACCCCTGGACATGATTGCACGTTTACTGTCTTACGGACCAGTATATACGTATGGTCCCATTGGGTTTGGTTTCGAAAAACAGCTTACAAGTTAGAGAATAAATAATGGTTAGGTTATTTTGATGAATCGATGTTGTTTTCTGAAATTCTGTTGAAACCACTAATTCACTGACGTGACATTTTCTCTTCGAGAAGCATAGCACGTGTATTGCTCTGTAGAATCAAATAAACGAAATAGTAATAATCAGTGAATTAGCTCATGATAAAAATGCATTAATGCATTAAAATAGTAATGGAAAAATAACATTAAAAAGGAATATTAATAACAATGGACCACTTACTAATTAATTGATAATAAGTATCTGACCCTGATGACAAATCAACAAAAATCAATAATGATAGTCTGGCGCGTGCTTTGTTGGATGCAGAGTGATAGAAAGCGGCCGAAAATTCAAATCAGCATTTTAAGACAATGGCTGGAGAAATGGATTAGTTTATTCTTCGAATCTGGATTTATTTTACTTTGTGGTCATGAAATAATCTCATTGGACAAATTCTCGTCCCACTGTTTATCGTTGGGTCAACTGCCGACCAATCAGGACAGTTTATTGTTCACTGACCTAGCCAACTTTTGACGTGGTTAAAATGTATGCATATGAGGAATTTTTCCTAAATAAATGTAGTCCGTTCCCTGTTCTCTTATCTTCTACCATTACAATAGTAACAGTAAGAAATATGGGTGGCGTATCCTCGTAAAATGTTATTTTCATGAGCTCATTTGCTTATACTACTATATAAAGCAATTGCGTCACACAGTATATATATGTATATATACATATATATATATTTATATACATATATATGTTTATATGATCTGACAAACAAAACACTATTAGTGTGGGCTTATAGTATTCACATAAGTGCTGATCTTTTCAGGTTGGGGAAGTCCCAGTTTTAAGGCTTGAACATCTCACTAGTAGAGTATCTGTCTATAGCAGTGGCTGATGCAAATTTGGCATCCTTGACACTAGAAATATGCTTCGCCAATGAGTGCTGATAAACAGAAAAAACCAGGTACAAAGTTTCTAGCCAACTTATATCAAAGGAATTTCACTTAGTAGTCATGGTGACTGACACTATATATACTAAAATGTAGACATTTCTTGAAAATAAGTGTGAAATGTATTACTCTCTTACCAACTGCTTTTGTTGCATTTGAAGTTGATCACGTTCAGTGCGTAATTTTTCAAGAGCTTGATTACTAGCCGCATTCTTCGGTGCTGTTAATTCCATCAAAGCAATATTGGCCTCCTTCTCACACAAAGAAGCCGTAAGGGATTCTAACCTAAAAATATTCAAAACAATGCTTTTATTAAGTGTTATTATAAAGATTATTGGATCAGCATTAAGGTATCACTGAAAACCTTAGGTTTTGAAATCATCCATGAGTGCACACTCGCTTCACTGATTTTGTATTCACAACTAAGAAGAAATTTCTTTGAATGTTTTAGAACCTTACAGTTGGTTCAATAATGACACTGCCGGAGTTTGCTCAGACATGAACATTCACAGTCAAAGTATTTCACTAGTTCAGTTATCCACAACAACTCAGTTTATCAAATCTCAGACAAAACTGAAAAGATCAGTTCCATCAGCTAAAATAACCAGTCAAGATGTGGTGAGTACTTAGTGCTACTGCTCGGTGGTGAGAGCTGTGTTTACTAGCCAAAATTGGTAGACAGCAATTTACGTCAATGTTTACGTCCCAAATCTTGTTCATGAGAAAAAACAAGAACAAAGACTAACCTTGAGGAACTCAACAACCAATCACAGCAGACTTAGCGTGGGTGGATACGATTAGCAGATAAATCAACGGACTGTCTAAGAAATGGCAACAAAGAGATGACAGAATAACCTTCAGCAAGAAAACAACCAATCAGAAGACGTTGATTCTCTGCTAACAATAACGAATAATAATGTACATAAAAATCTATTAACATCTGTTGATTTTCTCAATAAACGATCTGTTGCCTGACTCTTGTCTTCTGTCGTTACAAAGATATCCCTCTTAAATCTACATAACAACAGCACATCATAAAATTTGCACAAAGACTTTATCTTTTAGGAATAATAACGTTTCATAAAGCTGTGTTTATCATCCAGAAACTTCAGAAATGAATGACTCATCTGTCTGAGAAAAAGCACTCTTATATATACATATATATATATATATATATATATATCATATTAATGACATGAGAATAACCCCCACTACTTCAGAATCCCACGACAGTACAATTAAGCTAAGCTGTCAGCAAAACATAAGCATTAAGCCGATTAGAATGATATTTCCTCACAGAATTCATAAAATATGGTTTGCATAGCACTACTAACAAATAGTTCAAGTCATACTAAATATACTAATGATAAACATAAACTTCTTATAGAGACACCATAATTGTATTACCTTCAACCAACTGCCGAACAGCATAACTACCCTCAGTTTGTCACAATTATTTATAAAAACAAGTTACATTAGTATTTTGTCTCTCCAATTATCATGAATAAGCATAATTTTAAAATGTAGACTTACTTGATTGCCAAAATTTCATCAGATTGATCTTCAACTTGTTTATTTAAAGTGGAAATACGTCTATTCAATTGTTCAATCTTATCTTTACAAGTGTTATGTTCAGCTTTTAGTTTTTCAAGTTCAATTAACGATCCTTGAGCCTTAAATGTAATTAAAGATAATAAATTATAGTCAGTTAAATTTTATTTTGAATTATGTTATTGGATCAGTCAAAATTATTATTATCATACATTCTTGCAAGTTAATTAAAAAAGATTTGCATTTCTGAAATGTTAAACAGTAATCCCTTGATATTTAATAGGGAATATTTCATCATTATTTTCTGGTCAGAAAATGGTTCTTATGAGCAGTAAGAAAGCACTAGGGAGTTAATATTAGAGATAAATACAGAGACGTTGGATAAGGAACAACTTTTATGCATTCATTTTGGATTATTCATAGGACACCAGGCAACTTGCATCATTGCCCATATGGTCCAATCATTTGGTCTTGATGGTAGTTAAGAAACCATGAACGTATGTTTTTTCTCTGTTAATTGTGAAGAGAAACCATGAGTGACATCACCTTGAGTCTCCAAACACTTATCTTCCAAATTTCGAAACGATACACCAAGATGCCTACACCTTTCTATGATACATCGGCCAACAGTTATAGGTGTTATGAATTATACCAGTTACTTGCAAATGTCAGTTTCTTTCATATGTTGAGAGCTTAAAATAAAAAGTACTGCTTACCGTTGAACTTTTATGCATTTAAATCTCAAAATTTATCAAAGTATCGAATAAGGGGAAAAGTTCCCACTCACTTGATCTGACCGCAGTTGACGTATTACACGATCTCTTTCTTCTAATCCAGCTCTCTGTTCATCTAACACTTGATTAAGGTTGGAGATTTCTTCTTCAAAACGACGTAGCTGTGATTGCATAGCTTCAATTCGGTGTACATGTTTCTCTTGCTACATAAAATAACAATAAGTAAGAAATAGGATAAAATAATAGGGCAAACTGACTGAATAACGGAAGGATTTTCAAGTTAACATAGCATTACGCTGATGCGGTGTACACAACTAGCATGCAGAAAACCATGCCACTTAAGTGAAGCAGCATGCTCGTAAAATTTAAGAAGATTAATGCCAATTGTCAGGTCATGTACAACTTTTCTTTTTTTCCCTTTTCTAAAACCAGCTGCAATTAGAAAACAGTTCCGTTATGGAGCACTTTGATCACAAAACGCTTTTCAGATCCAATGTTTCGCTAACACCAAACTATACAGAGTTACTGAGATTTAATTAAATTTCACTGATTTTATTTTTAATGTTATTTCGTTCACAAACTGTCACCAGCCAGAGAATGACTGGGGTTCAAGGAAAATAGTATTTGATCCTGAATCACATGCTAGCTACGTAGACACCAAGGGTTTTCCAACTTAAAATTGTCCATCCTAGTAGTAAGCACTCCAATATTTAGTAACTGAGTTTAAATCCAATGGTTCTTACTCTACGATCTGTATGCATTCGGAATATGGTTGAATTGTTATCTGGTGTCATCAGTATGTAACTGTCCTCATATTAGATTTACTTGGTCCCATTGATAGCATCTTGTCTTAGGAGCTTGAGCAAAATTATTTCAGAGCTAAGCAATAGTGTGTATAAGATTATTATTCCCTTCATGCGTTTGTTTTTGGATACTTTTAACTTTCAAATAAAACTAAAATAGTCTAAAGAGAAACAAAAAGTAGAAAACAGTGGACTTAAACTTCCCACCAACGTGTTGCTTCTAAATAGCCTCCATTTGAAATGGTATAAAACTGAACTCAAGTTACAGGTGAGGACAGTTACCAACTCGTGACACCAGATAATGACTGTCATACCGAAAGTTGGCCGAGCTTAAGTCCTTTCGACTGTCATAATGTGATGATGCAGTTCTCAAGAAACTTGGAAGTCTTTATCTATGCGTGTGGCTGGTAGGCCTGAACAGAATAGATTATAATCCTTTACCATTCCTTTCAGGTTATGTTATTTCTATATCCATGCATTTTGGACTATAATACTGGGGTGGTTTCCTGCTGAGTGAATGCTGACCTGGAGACTTTATATAAACATTCTGATCACAAAGTAGTCATAAAACGACTGTCACTAAAATCCAAAAAAATTACTGTACAGCTGACTAGCTAGATATTATAAAATGACTAAAGGAACTCCTGTTCTTATGCAAAAGATGTAACCGAAATAACAGAGCCAGAAACTAATCGTGAGGTAATTTATCTGACCACTGAAGTTTATCATACGGAATGACAAAAGTGTGGGACAGGCAAGAGAGACATGCAGTACTGAATATCTGTAAAAATCCCCTAGCAATACTTATCTGAATGAAGTAATTACAAAATTCTAAAGCGGAAAATAAAACAGAGCTATAATACTTGATAATGCTAGAATCTTAATTGTCTTCCATGCATATTTATGCCAGATTTTATGTACAAGAAATAATGACTTACAGTATACATCAAAAGAAGTTTGCGTCCACAACAGTTAATCAAGCTTGAATGTTTTTAATTAGAATAACAGGACGGTAATAAATAGACTTAAAGACTAACAGTCAGATATCAGATAATGACAGAAATTTGGTATATCAAGAGATAGAAAGTCCTGCTTAATCTAAATTTCGCACTTTCGCATCTTCACTGATGATGAGAACAAGAAATCTCTTAGGAACTCGTATCACTTCAAAGATTCGTAAATGTATCAGTGTGCAGGGTTGTGTCAGTAAGTGTAGTTGGGATCACAAAAAAATAAATGATACTCGCCAAAGACATTGGCTAGCGGTCGCGCTGTGTTTTGAATTGGCAGAAGTTAGAATTCATGCATTGGCCATTGGATTGGGTCCCAGTGGCTTAATGTTCTATGAGCTCGCCTTGTAACCAGAAGGTCCTGCGTTCAAACCCCGGTGGCTGAGTACTGATGAACAGTCCCAAATTAGGACGAAACAGCTGTCCAGTACCCCGGGTTTTCCAATGGCTCTCTAACCGATGTCAGCTCATGATGAAATCCTGTAACCTAATGTGATCCTTATTTGATATCGGAAATGTCCGAACAATCATTTGTCCGTTAATATTCATTGAAGCATTTGTAGATGGGAAAAATAAGACAGAAGTTCATCACTCTGAAATCAGTGTAGAAATCTACAGTACTCAGCATGAGCAACACGATGAGAATTCCCAATATTAAAATCCAGTCAATTCTTCTATACGGTTCGGAGATTCGGGGTGCATGTCACCAAAATCAGTTCCAACAGTCTACTGCAAATTTCATCAACACCCGTCTGCGCTTGATAGTGAAAATCAGATGGCCGACTAGAAAGGATAAGCAAGCATCAGTGGACTCTGGCGGTGTAGCTAACCGGTCAACAACCTATTGCCCAACGAATATGCGGAAAGAAATGGAGATGAATTGGACGTACACTGAGAATATCACTGAGTGGCGTCACATGTCATGCCGTCGACCGGGATCGAAATGAAAGCGTCACGCTGGGTGTATGACGATGATTTGGAAGAGACCCTATGAAGAGGAGCCGGTTAAAAGCGATGGTAGATGGTCGAGTACAATAGAGATGTGTTGCTGAAGGTCGTTTTCATTAGAAACAAAAAGTATGAATAATGAAATAGAGTGGCGATTGACTAATTTGTAAATCCACCAGAAAATTCCACAGTCACTTGTTAGTCCAAACAATTTAGATTACAGACTTAGCTCTAAATTTTTAATTCTTTTCGAAAAACTTTTTTCGTTACGTAAGCCAACTTCACAATCAATAAGTTTCGTTGACAATGACTTGCCTATAACATGTAGAATGAAGACATACTTTTGTTTTAATAAAGTTCACTGAAACTTACGCATTCTTTTTCCATACGATTAAGTATATCATCGCGTCTGCTAACTTCCTTTTTCAATGCATCGATCTCCATTTTCAGAGGCTAGATTTTAGAGAAGGGAAGGAAAATGCACTTGAAAATAGGCAGTAACTTAAAAATGTGATACAAGTATAGAAATCCATTAAACATCAGGAATAACAAACATCTGACTAAAGCTAATCGCTGATTAGCCAGTAAACTGATGCCAGTCCTTATTGCTTAGCCAATTCATTGGTAATATCTGTGATCGATGTTACTGAAAAAATGAGTTTATTTCTCTAGTGAGTCCTTAATTCGATTGTGGTTGTAGATCGACACAAAAATGGAACCTAGGTACATGGGTAGAGTATAATCCCATGACAGAATAAATTTAGCTGAAACATTTTTTTATTGCTTCACGTTCCCAGTGGAACATGGGTCTTCAAGCTCGAGCAAGCCTGAAGTTTCTGTAGCAGTGTTTATTTTTACAGGATTGGGTTGCTGGCCTCATGCCCAATCTTTCCTCTTTGCCAGTTCTATTACTGGCTTAGCGAGGTCGGGGATCGAACTCCGGACCATGTGCATGGTCGGCAAGCGTCCTAGCCGCTATGCCACCGACGCACGGCTGATAACATACATTGACATAATACTACTCACATTCTGGTTACTTTTGTCGCCCATAGTTATATCAAGATATTCAGAATAACATTCAGATTTCGGTTTAAATAGTTTAAATACCTCTCCTTCTTTGGTTTTATTAGTAACAGCACTTTCAGAGATCCAGTATTGGCATAGCTTCATTCTTATTGCACATGTTAGGTGTGGATTCGATGAACAGAGATTTAGTATTTAACTTCTCCCTCAATTCAAATATATAACTGTTTGAATACCTAGCACTTTCCTAACATATAGCTTAATTTTTCGCATTGCAATAACTGGGTTTTTTCTAAGCTTGTCATTTCTTACAGTCTGTCATTCAACACGTAACTGAATTCCTATACTGCGGTGATTTGTCTGACCTAATCTTTGATTTGACTTATGTCCTTAATCTGCCAGTAAATACTGTAAAACTACGTGGTATACCGAATAAGACCATTCTCTTATGAGGTTACAGATTTCCTTCATTAGTGACCACTAAAGTGGAGTAGAACTAAAATGCAGATTTCAGGTATTCAGCGCCAATTCCTTTTTTAAATTTTAATTGTAATAACTATGATAGCTGTAAAAACTTGCAAAGGAGGCCTTAAGTATCTTTTGACTGTCAAATTTGATTGTTAACCTTGACTATTAAGATCCCTCTGCTAATTAAGGATAGCTGAGAGGGGTTAATTAGCAGTAAGTCTCTCACAGAAATATAAAACTATGCGTCGTCATTATCGAGGAACCGGAAACTGAAAAAATAAATTAAAGTAAACTAACTTATAGTTTACTTGAATAAGGCATTTAGAAGACAACTTTCGCGAGATGATATCATTTCGTAGTTTCTTTATAACCGCTTTACAACTAACATGGTTAACAATAATAAAATAAAATGCACGACAATTATTCAGTTATATAAAACAAAAGGACATACTGATGACCAGTCATATTTAAATAGGTCAAGTAGTCCATGTTTATTTCTCTTCAAACTTCCCGGATAAATTTGTGCAGTGAATATACTGCTTCATAGTTAGTTTCTGCCGCAGCATGACTTACTGCATTCTGATGTGTTATAAAGCACCCACCAGTTAGATGAAATTTAGAACATGATTAAATCTTTAAGTAGGTGTGGTTGAATCGTCTGTTTCTTTAGAGGTAAGAGCATAATATAGCTGTGTTATTTATAGGACTGAATTCTTTTGTAGTAGTCTTATAGTCTGTTTGAAAGGCTACACACAACTAATAACTCTCGGGGTTTTAAAAAACCTCTATGTTCTCAATAACACTTTACAGATATCTAACACTAAGTATAAATTAGAGGCAAGCTTCAAAAAATACCTTGTGACTTCGAGCTCTGCTCCAGCCATAAATTTAGCCCACAACGAAATCTTAAAGTGTGAATATAGTGCAAGCTAAAACAATACTTTCTCACAGAGACTTACCGATGCTCTAGCTTTCGAACCAGGTTCAATTGGACCACCAAGTTCTTCGATTTGCATACGTGCATTATTCAGTTCTCTCTGTAAATTGTTTATTTCTTCAGACTGTTTTCTAATCTGAAAGCAATATAGTTATTAGAAGAGTGATAGTTTATTTATCAATAGCGTTTACGTAATAGTGATATTAAAAGTTAAGAGCTAAATTGTCTTCCAATTAAGATATACTACTTATGAGTAGCATGACGGTAAAACAAAATAATCAGCCTCACAAATGAAAACTTCGGTATTGTAGTGTTTCAAAAAATATTTATTCCACCGTAAAAGTTATCATAGTTTCAGTTTATGTACTGGAAATGTTTACTGACCAATAAAAACAACAATAATAATGCAAATTCATTTTGTAAGGGCTGTCAAAAACACTGCATGAATTGGGGAAAGGTATACCCAGTACTATGAGTCAGTGGTTCGACGGTAGAACGCTCGCCAACCACGCACATCGTCTGGGGATAGATTCTCCGCCAACTTACTCCTATACCTCGCTAAGCCGGTAGTAAGACTGGGCCTGAGGCTAGCAAACCTATCCTGTAAAAATTAAAAACCACTGCTACCGAAACTTCAAAGCTCTAGCTTGAAGTAAATAAGATTATTTGAAACAAATGTTTGTAATATTATGTTCTAGCTAGCTCTATGTCCCACTCAGGACGTAAAGCCGCAGGTCTCATGGTGACTACTTGAAAGACAACTTCAATGCAGCCTAGCGAAAACAAAAATGGTTTATGTATTAGTCTGCGAACCAAAAGCACGACATGAGTTTCCAAACTATGATCCAGAGATCTGACTTTCGTTGTGTCCTGTTTACCCTGAATCACTCTTGATGATTCATTTTATCGTCACTTATTTAAATAAAACTCCTTTCCATGGACTGCTAATTACAAAATCAGTTACTTACCTGAGTATTTTCCAAAACCTCTAAGGCTTTTGTTTTTTCATCCAATTCTTGTCTGGTATTGCTTAAATCTTCTTGTAATGTATTCAATTGTTCTTGTAGTCTTTGTTTAATGATATCAGCATCTTTTAATTCAGCTCGTAAAATATTTAAAGTTTCTGTTTCTGATTCTTTAACTGTTTGACTTGCCATACTGACTTGTGCTTCAAGTTCATTTGTACGTTCTTTGAATACTTGTATTTCTTGTTTCATTTGATTTGCATTTGCTTGTGTTGTACTTAACTCAATAGTCATTTGTTCCATTCTTCTCTCCTGATTTTGATATTCCCTATTCATTTGATCTAATTGAAGTTTTAAATGTTGTATCTTGATGATTTTGGAAAGATAGAAAATTGATATTAAAATTAAGTAGTGTATGAATGAACCAGTTTAATACGCATATAAACAGTACACTGTAATATAAAATGAAGTAGTTAGTTGAAATCTAGTCATTCTGGATAGTTTGAAGTATTTTGCACATCCTCATTCTTTTCTGTGCTAGGTGAAAATAAATATGTGACTGCTTTTTCAAGCAATTAATAGTACATATGAAGTATACCATACTATCATTATGGTATAAAATATTTGTTCGAGTTCAACAACAGGTCCTTTTATATTTCACGTTTTGTAATTCTTAAAAGCATTAGGTACGATTCAGTTATATTGTTTATCGATTGCTTTTCAAACATTTTCGCTGTCAAAGTCATGTATTTGTGCAACTGAGTTGGTTCCCGTCTATCGGACAACATGCTCTTTGGTGCAGTTAAAAGTCCACAGATACCCTTCTTATGTAAACTCCAACTGTGTATACAAATTTACGTGTATCTGTGAGAGCAGTTACATTGGGAGAACAGAAAGAAGGGCACACCTCCGATTTTCTGAACATGTACCGAAAAGCCTACGTCTCAAGGGAACAAACTTTTATAATAGTGCTATTGCTAGGCATCTCCTTGATACGGGTCAGGAGGTAGAAATCGCGAAATCCTTTAAAATTATCAATAGACACAGGAGCTCAATTCTCCTCAAGTTTGCCGAAGCAATTTCTATCAAATGCTTGAGACCCAATTTATGTGTTCAGAAAGAAGCAGTTATCAGTCTTTCCTTGCCCACCTGGTAACTAGATATCTTATTCCCCATTTCATTTGGTTACGTAATCTTTGGCTTTAACCTCACCCACTATTGATATAGTGTAATTTTGCTTGTCTCTTGTTTCGATGACTTGAGTTGAACTGAGTACATCGTCAACCAGTTTATTAGTCACTCAGCATCTTACGCATCTCCCGTCTTTATTACGTAACTCCTTTACCATTGTATGCATACATTTACTTTGCTTAAACTTGAACTGCCTGTGTAAAACTATACAAGCGTAATTTTCTGAGCACTGCTCACTAATTCCAGAACCTCCTGTAAACTGACATCATGTAATATTTGCATGTGTGTTAAAACTTTTCTGTACATAAACTTAATAATTTATTTAGGCTGTAAGCAGCTGATGAGAAGCCAACGAGATAAGTGATGGTACCATATGTTGTTCTTACTTCATTCAAATTCGTCAAGGGGAATAAATGTATGAAGAATAATTTTGTAGTTTAAAGCAAACGTTTCTTGAAATGTGTTCAAAGAAGTAAGTAGTTTTACATCTTTTGGAAATTACTGCTTTAAAATTATGGTTTTTTGTCAGATCTAGAGGTTATACGTAGAAATATTAGAAAATGTTGATGGTAAATTTGTCACAAAAAGCATAGTAGAGAGTATGAACTCAGCTTTTATAGACTGTGTCCTATAAGCCCTGAATGGTGACTGAACAAGAAGCTATTCTGTAAAGTTTGAAAAAGAAAGTGGTTGGCGGATGCGCATATCAATAACAATAACACTCTGAAGAGAACATTAGGAACAATGGAAATGAAATCTATTCTAAAACTATATCAAGTAAATTCATAGAGAACTACCTGCTTAAAGAAGAGCTTCCCCAGAGAAAGAGAAAGAGTAATTAACTAGTAATTTAAAATCAAACTTAACAACAGTTTTGCTGCGAAAGGATTAGTTTCAGTGTGAAAGGTAGAGTATTTCGCATTGAGAATAGAGTCATTTACTTATTTACATGTGCATACTAGAGCATGAATCAATTCTTCTTCATAAAAGAAACGCTACACTTTAAGTGGTTAAAATATACTGGTTGTTCTAGGAAATAAGAAACAACAACATCAAAATTCAAGTTTTGGTTTGCAGGGATTTGACTGGTTTCAGGATTTCATCATGAAATGACATTGGCTAAAGGGTCATTGAGAAACCTGTGAGTACGGTTTCGTCCTATTTTGGGACTCTTCAGTGGTACATATTCGCTGAGGTTCGAACCCATGACCTTCTGGTTTGAAGGCGAGCTCATAGACCATTAAGCCACCAGGACTCGTTCCAATGGCCCATGAACATAAAATTAAAAACTGCCTCCGAAATAACCAGTTAACAGTATAATACTAATTTTCCAGGGTTGACAGCAGCCAATATAAGAATGACAAAATAGGTGAGAATTTGAAGGAAAGAGACTTACTTCTCCGTCTTTAGATTTCATCTCATTACGCAACTGGTTACATTCAACTTCAAGTTGATGACATCGTTTTAATTCATCTGCTTGTAATTGTGTCTGATTTGCAAGGGTGATACAAAATGAAAATACATAGAATGATAAAGTTATTTTGATAAAATTTACAAATAATTTTACACCTGTTATATTTAAACGCCAATAATGCATAATCTAATCAAAGTTGCCGGTTCGAAAGTTACTCTTGTCTATGGTTGCTTTTGTTTCCAGAACTTGTTCGCTTATGATATTACCTGTTACAAACTGGAATTGCTTGCGTATAAATACATTTCCAGAAGATGTATTTGATAACTTCAACAAAGTAGATAGATTTGATAAACTACTGAAGTCTTCATGAAAGAGGTAAAGAGAAAACTTGTATGTTTATAAGTAATTGAATAACTTAATTTTCGAGCTGGGATTTTAGCAGAACAGTTTTCTTCCACACTCTAAAGACTAATAAATAACTTAGACTTTTCAATTTCTGAATTCATGACGGAGTGAAACAATTTTGTTATTGAAATTAAATTCCTAATGCATTTCTGTCCCCATTAGCTACCTATTATGGACCTGTCGCTAACTGATATGATCGCGTCGACAGCTGCTTTGTCCCAGTGGACTTATTCGTGAGTAAGGTAATACTGACACAAGGAACAACTCAACTGATATGTTAGATATATCTATTCGTGTGTGGTGCCTTCCGCTTCATTGAGCGGAAGACTAACATGTGACTGTTAGTATATAATTTTATTAGGGGATCCACGTCATATTTGTATATTTTTTTTAACATATTAAAATCGGCCCAGGGCTATGGAAATTAACCGTTCTGATTGATAGGCGATTCGGCTAAGATAGGCGAATAACAAATATTCTGATTGGTTGGCGATTTGACCAAAACCAAGGTGAGAAAAAGATGAAATTTTACAGTCATTCGATCACACGGTGAATCACATGATGAATCATAAGATGATTACTATTTTAAGATGATTCCTATCACTACCATTTAATAATCCCTCCATCTAATATTCTCTTGTAGCGTTCAGCTCATTGTTAAGCGACTAAGAGGTTTTCATAGTTGTGACATATAGTTCGCAACGCAGTAACAATTCATTTAAACGTGTAGCCCAGTCATGGAGATATTTAGGAAATTTGGCCACCTGTTTGCAAACTCATTTTACTATAGAATACAAAGTGGAACGGTAAAGAGAATCATTTTGTCTATTGCTCAGTATTTTCAGATAAAGACGAATGTTTTTCCATAAATAAATAAGCAGATATCATATGTTAGAACAAGACATACAAGCGAACAATATTATTTTCAGTTAGATCTTCAGGCTTTACTCTAATTTACATAGCCTTATCCATAAAAAATTTAACTAATTACGGTGAATTTGTGCGTCGGTGGCACAGCGGTTGTGAAGCTGGCCGACCATGCACATGGTCCGGGTTTCGATCCCCGGCCGACGCACACCTGATATCAATAGTTGGCCTGCTAAATTTGGGCTACCGATATCACATGCTGAAAATTCTATACTTGTACCAAAATACTGTGTGGAATCAAGCCATAATCAAAGAAATAAATAAAAATAATATGACGAATGTTTTGAACGTCAGTAATGACTATGATTATAATGATAACAAAATATTGATAATAAGGTTTATGCAGGTGATAAGAATAACAAAGGTAGTATATGTATATATGTGTATATGTAGACAATTCAATAAATAAACAAATTAGGTCAAATCTTGAAAGGTGAAGTGGACAGATAATCAGAGTTTAAATAAATATCATAAAAGTACGAAGGAGATGGAAAATAAGAAAGGGTGGGAGGGTTTTGAATAGAATTCACCTAGACCAAGGGAGAGACAAAGGTAGAACAAACTTCTTTTGTATGCAAAGACTAGGATTGTTCTCTCGAATTCCCATAGCTTCGGCTAAGTGTGAAAGACGGGTTCTGATTCTGTTCGAAAGGCTCGATGGAATGCGATAGATAACTTTGAAGGCACTATTTTTGTCCACTTGGTGACCACTATCAATCAAATGAGCCAAAATAGAAATTCGTATAGGTTTTATTTCACCTTTTTCAAACCATGAAGGAAGATGCTCATTAATGCGTTTGTTAAGCTGTCTAGTTGTTCGCCCTATATAGCTCTCTCCACAGGAGCAACTAAATTTATAGATACACATAGAAGTGGCACAGCTAGGTAGCTTGTCTTTTGCTTTAGCAATCATGATTGGTCAACTGGAAAATGACAAACAAAGAGTGGCAGCAGTGTAACTGTTGTCAATTTCTCTTTATTATACCTAACCCATTTGGACCAGCGTATTTTGGATGTATCCTAATTCATTTTCTAGGGAGTCATCTGTACAGATCCGCCTTTTTCATATCATACGAACTGGACAGCAGTTACTTCTTTAGTTCCCAGTCTAATCTAAGTCAACTGATCATAAATAGTGGAATTTGTATTTCTCTCTTATAAAGTTCGGTGGATAGTTTATGCTATGAAATTAGAACTATAATAATAAATTTTAATGACAGAAATGCAAATAGCAACAGAACTTTCGCATTATTATTATTAAGTTCATCTTTTCAAGTTACTCCTACTTATTTTGATCAAAAACGCCTTAATCAGATATTTACCAATATATAGAATGGAGTCTGTGTGATAATAATAATAAGTAATAAAATTAAAACTTTTGAAAATATTGGAAAGAAAGGAGACTTTATTACATTCCGAGTGTATAAATCAAATAGACATATAATAAAAAGCCTTTAAAGCTACTTAGCTAGGTCAAGAAATAATTTCAAAACGCCCACTGACCATAATTAATATTTAGTTATGAGTTTTAAACAAGGATAAGAGGGGAATACGAGACAGAACAACAAGAAAAATAACAGGAGGAAAAGAAAGTAATGAATAGGTAAAGAGTGTTCTACTGGGGATCGGGGGAGATTTAGACTGACTACCATTTCTTTCTCCACATATAGATTCGATTTTCACAGTTGAATAGCGCAGACTTAAGCTAACCCGCCTTTGTGTCATATCACTTTTAAGTGACTATGAAACCCTAATTGACATCAGCATTACGACTGAAATCCAGCAGAAGACATTTGGTCTAAATTCATGGGATTCACTTATTATTATTATTGTTATTACATGGTAGCCATTTAATACACTGTTCAGTAACACCAGAAGACAAGCATCTTTCCACAAATACTTGTGAAACATAATAAACTGGTTGAGGTAGCTTATTGTCTAAACTAGTTTTTCGGTTGTGTTAACTAGCTAACTAGTTCAATCTCAGTCATGTATACAATTAGTTTTAAAGCCTTCTGAAAGCGTTCTCTCAACTGCAAGACATTCCCTCCCTTGAATTGTAGATCGAATGAATATTGAGAATGCTTAACATTGATATGAATAAGGTAAGCGACTTATGTCGCTTTCCTTTATGCTTTGAATGTGGATTTTCATATTTGTGCCAGTATATTAGTGGGGTCAATAGACACCTAGATTGTTATGTTGTGCTAAAATTTATGCCATATGAGTACCGATGCAATATGACCTACAGCTTACGCTAAAACAGCTAACTGGAAACATAATCTTTCAGAACAGAGTGGTGACATATTGTTATTTAGTGTTTCTTATGTAAGTTGTGGTTTAAACATTCAGCCTTAACCTAGATAAAAGGTAATGCCAATGAGCCGTTATCGGTATGTTGTTAACCAATCAGAACGCAGTTTCACTACATTAGACAGGTAAGTTATCGGTCGTATAAAATGCCTATATACGAATGGCTGTATTTTCCAGTCGTTTGAGCTTGTGGAGCGAGTTATATTGGCCGTTGCTCTAGCAACTTGATTTTTCGTGCTCGAGAACATCTCCCACTATGGCTAAGTAAAGGTGTAGTTAAGACCATTAACAGTTCGATATTGGACCATCTGGTGCAAACCGGCCACAAAGCCAGCATGGAAGAATCCTTCTCTATAATCTACCGGGTGCCTAATAAATTTCCAAAATCATCGAAGCACCGCATGCTCCAAACAGCAGAGGCTATTGCGATTCACCTCAAACAACCAGTGCTCTGTGTTCAAAAGAAGCAAGTCCAGCCCCTACTACTGTCGTGGCCAGCCTTCAGTAGAGACTAGAAATTCATGAATTTGTAATATTATCTTTCCTAATTTTTCCCACATTCAGCTTATTTTATGTTGATGCTATTGAGCTGTAATCTATCAATATTATTGATTCGATGTTATTTAAACATTAATGTTGTTCATAACACTAATTCATTCATTCACTATAATGTATTTATAACTGTAGAGCCTGATGATGAAGTTATCGAAAAGAGTACTTTTTGTTTAGTATCCATTTTTTTGTAATAATAATTATTACCTTTTCCGTCTCTTTTCAGTGTCTCAATATTCACATAATCACTTATATACTCTGGTGTGCTGAAGTACTATGTATGAATGACAAAGACCTCCTAGTTTGCAACCAGACAGTATTATTCAATTACTTCATGAACTCATACTGTAATCGTCATGATTGTTACTCAAAGTATGGAATGTGAACTTGTAGATAAAACCTTATTCAGTTACTCTTTTGATTGTCTATATGACAACCAAAAAAGATTCATTGACATAGAAAAGGAATAAGGAGGAGATAAGCTTATGGAGTTCTGAGTCAACATTATATGACATGTCATAATCTTCTCGGTGGTATGCAAACGATCACATGACTTAGTACCGTACTTGGTAACTTGAAGTAATGAGGTTCATGCTTTTTTTCCTCCGTACTTCCTATTTTTGGCTTGTCCGAAAGAAGCATAGTGAAGGATTTTAATAATTTCTACTCTGATTATTCTGCCACACTTAAATGATATATAGCACAATGTCTTGGTGATATTATCACATATATAGGTGCGTTCAGCATAATATAACGTACATGTGATTCAGCCATATTTAATCTTTGTGACATTTCATTGACACGTTGTTCAAGTTCTGAACAGTATTGTCGCACATTATTCAACTGATTCACAGCATTTTCAAGCTAAAACAAATGGGGAAAAAAAGACAGTGAACAAAACAATTTCAAAATAAAACCTAATCAGTTTAAAATTCTGTTATTTTTTAAAAATTACTTTTCAGTCTATTTGATTATGTAGTACTTGAGAATTACACATTTAAATGAATCAGAAAAACAGATAATCCCTAAACTAATCAATGCATTAAAAATGAAATTAGATTTTATTGTACAAACAAAAATGGCATTATTCATTTTTCATGTTAACTGGAAAATGAGTTTCTGTTCACGAGTAAATGTGTAAATTGAATTATTTAGTGATAGCTGTGACTGATAGGTCTATGTATCTGTACAAATTTGAAATAAAAGAATGAAATCTAACATTTCACTGCCAAGTCAAACTTTATCGGTAACGGAATATTTATTTGAAATTTGATATCTCTATATAGGGAAATATATGTACACCTTATGTGAAAATCGTTATTTGCACATATCTTCGGTGTTGTGTTACTTCTGACCTTCGCATTGTGTTTCTTTGCATTGTTTTTGTGTCTCCCATGTTTTGCCGCAACGTTTAATCACTTGCTGTCTTTTGACGTCTTATCAATTTCTCTGCTATGTGATATTTATGTGTGCCGATGAACATCTCTTTATATACTACTGATAAATCTTGTCAGTAGCACACGCCACAAAACTATTTATCATAACTTTCTTGTTAAGTTAGTGGCTAGTGATGAGAATAGATGTATTGATGATTGAATAAAAAACCTGAAAGAATATCAAACTATTAGTAGTAGTGTTTGTATTTTTATTCTAAGTAATCAAAGAAAATATCTACTGAGACTTCCCACATAAAAAACGTTTTATTCTCACGTACAGATAAGACAAATGAATAAATTTGATAATGTTTTCATGAAAAAGAAGCTTATTTGAAGGTCATCATGAAACTGTGAATTCATATTTTCTACAAATTGGCGCACTTGCAGTAAGAAGTATTTACAAACTTCAGTGTTGTGTGATTTAATTCACCTTACATGCACCTTAAATCTTATATTTAATGTTAAGAGATATTTTGTTCAAGAAATAACTGCACCCTATTAGATTTTCGTCAATTATCAACGGAAAATAAGAATTTCTGAACGAATAAAGTAGGTACAAAATGTTACTAGTATAGGATTGTAGGCCTGTGGTCATCCACATAACAGATAGAATAAAATAAAGATTAGATTTTGAAAAATTCAAGGTTGGAAACATTTAACCAAGTAGTGCATGCAATTGATTGATGATTTGCCTAGTAATCAGTCATAAGCCACCAGAGAACTACTGCTGGGTTCAGCATTCACAAAAGTGTCACCCAGTAATACACTTATGGGACCTAAATGGTTCTGTGATAGTATGCTATTTGGAATTTCAGAGGACTATGTATCACTATTAGGTAACTTGGAAAATTTCCAATTCTTTTTCCTAGAATTAATGGTTTTTGATAATAAATATTTTTAAGCGAAGAATATCGGTAATTTACCTTTAAAATAACATGTTTTACTGTACACATTATTAAGTGGTGTTGTTTCTGGGGTATTTTTTAAAAACTTCCGATTTTTTATTGGATAATCCAATGAAGCTGTTAATTCCCATGACCATTGCAAAATTGATGATACTGATATAGAAATCAAGTCTGACGTTGTGTATTTTGGAGCAATTCTTTCGTCTGATCTATCCTGATCTTCCCACGTCTTAGCGACTTAAAAAAATATTCCCTCTGACTTTTTGTGTTAAGAAGTTAGGGGACTCAGGCATAACTCAACTCCTCCTCTTACAGTTTGTCAACTCGTGCATCTTACCTATTCTTCTTTACTGTTCACCCTTACTCATTCCTGGATTGCTTAAAAAAGACTATCATACTTCGTAAAACACTGAAGACTGTCAGTAGGGCGAGTGGTATCCTATCCCGTTGGGTCATATCATTGATATCGTCATTGATAGGCACTTCATTTCATGCAATAAATGCGCTAAAGGGGCTTTGTCAGACTGTGAGCATCCACTTTACCCGCAGCTTTCACCTTGTGTCTCCTCAGGTAAAACAAGATATCATTTCAAAAGACTTTATGCGTGCACGTCTAAGCATAAAAATATCATGATATCATATTTGGCGTATAATTTCTGTCAGGCACGAACTAACTAACCTTCTTTCCACTAGTAAATAAACAATTTTCTCCACCCTTTAACCATCAAGCTTTACTGTTACTATTCTTATATTTATAATCCTTTCATATTTTGTTTATTTTTCATAAGTGTAAACATCATTTAACATCATTTTTTCCCCTCACCATTCTATCTCAGGAGAACATTAGTTTCAATACTCTATAACATGCTAAAAATGTCCATACTGTATCGACAATATTGTTTGAAACAAACCCATTGCTACTATTACCATTATTACTATTCTTACTTTATACTTCGCATATTTTTGACACTATTCCTACTGTAAATGTGGGCGAATTCCTGTGATTAATTCTTTTTATATTTTGAGTAAATTTGATGCAATATTGTGACAAATGTTGAAAATTCCATACTGTATTATAGGTACTGTTTCTGGAACAAAGCAGATTATCATTATTATTATCATTATGTTGATGGTGCCTGTGGATTTCTTTCACAACTCACTAACTGAGTAATACAATAGTTGACTTCAAATAAATAATCGGCGGAACGAGATTATTCGTTGGCTAGCTATTGCGTAACAATCGGTTATTATTAACAATAAGACAAACAAACAGTAGACACGAACAACATTAAATTAAAATGTATTTACTATACCTGATTAGTTTTTTCAATGAGTAATTGTTGTGTATGGGTTAGCTTGTCTTTTGCTTCATCTATTTGTACTTGACATTCACGTTGAGCTTTTGTCTAATCAGAAAAATGAAAGATAATAACCAGGGATAATGAATACAGTCCATTTTGTGAAGAACGATTATTTAATACAAGGACTGTCATTTGAAATAATGGAGATTATTAGCTCAAGCGGATACTTTAAATGTGGTTGTGTTTTCTAAACCGGGTGGTTAGATTGCAAAGTTTTCACTGTCCTTCTAGATAACATCTTCAGCGGTTACTTTAAGGTAAGGTAGGTACTGAAGACGCTGTGTAGAAGGATAATGAAAACTTCCCGATTAAACCACACAGCTCAGAGAACACAACCACATCAACAACTGTTATTTGCATAATAGTCTACAGTTATGATAATGGCCAAAAAGTACATAAAGAATAATGTGACAACTGGATTAGGGATTTGGATTACGTCCAGCTGGATGGCAAAAGTGACTGGAGTTTCTCATAGGGCTGATAGAGTCTAGGAAATTCGATATAGTGGGGAGAAACAACAGCAGATTTGTAAGTGTGCAAGACTGTTTGTAAGTCATAAAAATAGATTATGTAAAACTACTTTGCCTGAAGGAAAATTCGCCTACCGTATACTTGATTGGTGGGGGACTAGCAGTAAAGCTTAGGACGCGGACTTCGTTCGTTTTGAGAATTATCAGCTAAATGTGCTTGTTTCTAAGCAATTAACAATGTGCCAACTTGGGCCCTAAACCGGAAAATATTTCCTTAAGTACCACAACATTACTTATAGTTACAATAGGTACCTCTTGTGTAGCCCGTATCAGCCACTACTTGTTCTTATTTGAGATTTATTGTCGTTTGTTTTGCTGAAAAAAATTTTCTCGAGTTCTGTCCAGACACATCTGTTATTTTCAGAGATAAGTAGACATTTTCCACAGGTTTACTCACGTCTAATCCTCTTTGGTAACAATATCATGTACATGCAGCTGGCGAGTACTTAATATAGCGAAATACAACAGTACTGTTGTCAATAAGTAATCAAAATATTCAAAGTACTTTTTATCACAGAAAAAAATCGGCTACAGAAATATTAAAAATGAAGGAATCAGAAGAGATCAAATAGTCCTTTTCACAAGGATCTGAACTACGGAATTGTTCTGGTATAAAATAAAACAGTGATCCAATGCTTCTTGGTTTTTCAGTAAACATTCAGCTATTGTTGATATGTGATTAAAAAATTAGTTGGAGAACTTACCAATTCATTATCTCTTTCAGATTTCTGTGTTTCTAATTCTTTCAATTTTTCTTTAAGTTGTTCCATATCGCTTGTCACCTTTTTCACTTCACCTTGTAATTTCTCCACCTGGTTCTGAGCTTCTTGTTCTGAGTCTTGACTAACTCTAAGCTGATTTTGTAAACTTTCACATTCTCTGTGTAATCGATCCATTTCTCTGGATAGGTGAGTTGTTCCAGCTGTTGATCCGTAAAGCGGTACACTGTCATAACTGCCAGGGCCAGCTGAGGCTGGACGCATTCCGCCTGTTGAACCACCCATACCAAAAATGCTGCCAATTGTGCTTGATCCACTACGTCCCATACTTCGTTTTAGCTATGAATAGCAATAAATAATAATGATAAACATGAAAACAAAGTGTGATGATACCAAGGGTTGAATTGCTTCAAGATCGGCCTCCAGATAAAATTAAATGGGGTCAAAAAAGAAAACTGATACATTTGCAGATAGTGTAATATATGCCATAAGTGCAGTTGACGCAAACAAAGTTTTTATGGATAGAGGCTTAGAAAGGACGATTTATTTTTGAGAGCAATCAACATTTATTAACAACCTAAAAATAAACAATTTAATTCTCAATATGGTTAAGTAAGGTTTTAATGATCCTTCTAAATTCATCACCTAATAAAATTGTAATACATGCATCAGGTAAACAGCACATTTATTTACTTTAGGCAGTAATTTCTAGCCCGCATGAATGCACAGCTCTTGATATCTTGGTGGGTCACACAGACAAATCCTTTAGTTTGATAGGTAGGTTTGTTAATATCTACAGTTTTCGATCATGTTTCTAGATAACAGTTTAATATTATCTGTCAAGTACTCCCTGGTTTTCAGTGGTTCTCTAACTGATATCAATCCGTGGTCATACTCGTAAAAAAATCTAATTACAAACCAACTCTTGAAAATTAATATTGTCTGTTTCAAGTAATATAAGTTTGTATATGGAAAACAGTAAATAGCAACGATGATAGGTTGGTACTACAAAACGATTTAGATTAATTAGCTGAATGGGCTAACCTCTGGAGTCTGGAAATTAATTCCAAGAAAAGCGCGGTAATGCACCTAGGTCAAAAGTCTTACACGTCGTACTCCCCTGGGGACACAGAACTGTCAGATGTTAAGGGGCAAAAGGACTTAGGAATTATTGTAAGCCATGACTTAAAAACAACAGCAAATTGTAATCGAGCCACAGCTAAGGATTTTCGAATGCTATGGGGTTACGTTCTAAGTATTCTATGCAACATATGTCAGACCTCATCTAGAATACTGCATACAAGCGGGGAGTTCATGCTTCAAAAAGGAGGCGCATATCCTGGAAAGAGTACAGAGGGTAGGAACCAAACTGGTTAGTGGTATCTCACACCTTCCTTATGATAAGAAGATGGAGCATTTATATCTCTTCCCATTATCATACCGAAGGAGGAGAGGCGACTTAATTTTGGCTTACCTTATATTAAAGGGTGATTTAGGGATTGACTTTCCAGACCTTTTCTCTCCCTCTAGGATACATTTACGAGGTCACCACAAGAAGGTGCATAAACCAAGGTCGAATAAAATACGTGTGGAATTTAGATTCTCTCACAGAGAAGTCAACGGCTGGAACTCCTTACCTTATTCAGTAGTAACAGCTCCATCGATGAACGCATTCAAAGAGAAACTGGATCTCTTCAGAAATATATATCGCAAGGATTAACATAGGCAACAATAGCTTTCTATCCTTATACTCTGAATCTGAATCTGTTTTGAGTCAGTGTGATAATGGGCCATCAAGTTAAGTAGAATGGGTCACATTATTTCTATTATTATTCTAGGAAATGTAACTAAATCAAGTTGAAAAGCCAAGGAATTGTTTTCCTTTAATTGGTGTTACAGTGAACATATTACGAATATATGAGATTTCCTAGAACACATGCAATTTATATGTATAGGAAGGAGAAGACACCTTGTTTGTTGTGATGCTGTAGCTTTTCGGTGTTTCAGACCTACTCAACTTTAGAACAACTTAAGTTCTGTAGAGTTATAATTTTGGGATAAACATCACTTTTTGTTCCAAGGGGAATATGGAGCCTCAATCTTTGAAGTTTCAGTAGTGGCAGTGTTGTTTTTATGAGGTGCAGTTCGTAGCCTTATGCCCAGCCTTTCTTATTTTCCAGGTTCTCTACTGGTGAGTAGACTAAGTGAGGTTTAAAAGTGCATTGGCCGGAAACTGAAATCCATCCTCCTGCGTAGCTGGCGAACACAGTAACTAAGTCCTTACATTTTAACATAGTTCTGCGATACTGTCCTATGGAAAAGTAAAAATCCTATACTGATCAAAACAAGAAGCATTTTGTACTCAAATTACCTGATCTAATTGATCTCTTAAACTATCCCTTTGACGTGCAATTGAATCACAGTTAGATTGTGTTTCTTGTAATTGACGACTAAGTTGTTGAACACGTGAACTTGCTTGTTTAAATTCTCTTTGATAACGTTCTGATTCATTTGTAGCATTTTGCATAGATTGTGTAAGATTTGTAATTTGTTGTTGTAAAGTTTGCTGAATTTGATATAAAAAAGTAGCAAAAAATAGTATGTAATAAGTAAAGTCCTCTTTCTTACTGACTTTGCACTGTTTTAAATCAATTGACTTAATAAAAGAATTTTTCATTTACGTGTTAGATATGACTACCGCACAACCTAAACTTGTTTCTGATACTCTCTGCAGTCATCTAGAGTAGTAAGTTAGTGGAATTTTCCCTCATAGGGTGGATAGTGGAAAATTCATCTAAATACCGGGAGATAGAACGGTGTATTAATGTAAAATGTGATAATTCCTGGTTGTTTAAACTTTGGTGGTGGTGGATACGTGATAAGTAGGAATTTGTGATTTAATTCCTTAACGCAACCACCTCACTACCAAGAGGTGTTCCAGTTTTCCGCATTCATTGCTTTTCATACTGGGTGTTTATTCTTTCCTATCTATATAAAGAAAAACCATTACTAATCAAATCTACAAAATCAATGCCTCCGATTTTTAGTTCATTTCATTAGAGTTTTTGTTTACAGACTATAAAAATGATTTATTGAAATTTCAAATGACTTCAAGTCTCATTTTGAAAATCAATAATCCCTGCAGAATATATTAAAATCAGCCGGAAAAGTTATCGTATGTATAATCTGATTAGCAAATATTTGCCCGCTTCCTGTTCCAAATTCTACTAGACTAAAACTGGAATGAAACAAAAAAAAGTTCTCCAGTGAACATGCAGTATATTTCACTGTCACAAGTTGGATAGTTAAAAGTCTCAAAATTGTTAGAAATAAAATATTTCAGCTTAGTTCACATCGCAACACACTGCTAATTTGGAGGTTTGTCACTCATATTCTGCTAAGAACTAGATTTTAATATCAGATTTCGTCAGGGAAGCTGTTGGAGACACAAAACTCAATAAGTGGTTCAGTCAAGGTTCGATTTACAGTTATTTTTCAGTCAGATTATTATGAAAATGTGTGTTGCATTAATTTAATTTTTGAAGTATGAGAACCTAAATGTAAGAGTAGAACTTGAGTGACATTGAATAGTATAGAATTCTACTGTCAGTATATGGATGATACATTTTTGATTATGAAAAGTGAAGGTGAAGCAAAGAACATCCTGGACAAATTTAACGACGTTCAACCTGCAATAAATTTTGCCATCGAGAAAGAAAAAGACTCTAGTATTTCATTCCTAGACGTCCTTATGACTAGAAAAGAGGACGGTACAATAAAAAGTGTATATAGAAGACATATTTCAACTGGTCAGTATACTCATTTTTTGAGCTTCGCACCTTTGAAATACAAATGCAATCTGCTATGATGTCTTAATGAAGAACTTAATATTATTAAACACTTGCTGAGTTAGAACAGTTATCTAGAAAAATTCATTGATAAGAATATGAATAGAAAATCAAGGCAGCGCAAAGTACCAACAGTTCCGAAAAAGGCCTTATTCTCACAACTTCAGTTTCTCGGGGATAACATCAGCGAGATATTAACACAACGACTTAGAAATGCGGTAAAAAGAGCATTCAGTGCTGCTGAATTACGCTGTATCTTCAAAACCATCCCTATTTTGCGTTCGGGAGTAAAAGATAAACTGCCTAATTTCGCCTCTTCTATTTGTTTCTACCAATTTAACTGCTCCTGTGGAGCCAGTTACATAGGTCGTACAATTAGGCATGTTTCTCGTCGGATTTCCGAACATCATTCTGCGTGGTTAAGTAAAGGACAAACAAAATCCATTCATAGAGCTATTCCATCTCATCTTGTGGATACAGAACACAAGATTGATGTCAACCAGACTTTCAAAGTCATTTACCACATACCAACAAATCTTAACTTCGCCTTAAGATTTCGTTTAATAAGTATTGCTGAGGCCGTTGGGATCCACATTAAGAAGCCTAACTTATGGGTTCAAAAGAAGCTGGTTCAGACATTGTCCTTACCTTGGTCATCAAGGTTTTAATGATCCTCCATTTGTTGTGGAAATTTCCTTAATTTTATCTGATGTTCTATTTGCTATTGCACTTTTATGCTTATCATATATCATTTATGCATCTTTCGTGAACTGTAATTCCATTGATCTTATTAACAAATCGATATTATTTAAAAAACACCAATATTGTTAATGACGACTATTGTAGAATATTCTATGTATATAAAATATATATATACACTTGTAGAGCCAGAAGAGGAAATTATCGAAAAGGATTTTCTTTGCACAATTTTTTTGTTTTTTTCTTTACCATATGAGTTAATTTAATACAATCAGGAGTAATAAATTGTACTCAAAACGTAATTCATTCAATATTACTCTGTTACTTCGTGTTATTAATACATAAATAAGTTTAATATTGAAAGTTGAATATAGACAGTGATAAATCACCGATTCAATTTATTCATTCTACTTACTTTGTCCATCATATATTGTTGCTGCAAATCCAGTGTCGAGGTTTCAGCCCTGGCTAGATTTGTCGCCAATTGTTCTCGAGCCATATCTCTATCTTCAATGGCTTGACGTAGACGAACTTGTAAATCAGCGATCAGTAACTGCTGATTAGTTGTATCTGTAGGACGTACATCTGGTGTAACAGATGACGACGCATACTGACGATCTAATTGCTTATTTAAGCATGTTATCTATAAGAAAAAATAAGCATATATGTTTATTGATACTAGTTTTCCAAAACAAATCTGACTGGGAATGCCATAAACAGTATGCGGATATAAGGAGTTAACAACTCTACTTGACTAGAATAGAGCTAAAAAATGAATAACATAATTTAAAAGCTCTTAGGATCATAAGAATAACTGCAGAGAGTGATAAGTTCTTTCCAGTATAGTGAAACACAGGAAGATTTTGAGTTTCAAACATCATTTTGGCAAATATATTCTTGACGTAATTATTTATTTGACCTCAATACTTCTAGACAGTTCAAATGAAATATCTACTGACCTTTGGTTATTATTCTCGTGTGGAAGCTGTGTTGAATCTATAAAGACAAGATGATCGTGGCAAGAAACACTGTTTACATTGAGATGATTTAGCAAAAATGGAATCTTGCTGTTAACCCTGCATGTACGAGATGTGTAGAATTATTTAATTCATTCTTTATTCTAGTAGTCTCTTCTGATGAAGTAATCAGATTTGGAGGACATGTCATTCGTAAGAAGTGCACTTTTCTTCTCAGTTACGTTTATCTCTGTTTATAACGGCAGAAATACTTGTCTGTAACTCATACTTTTAAAATGAATCTTTTAAGTCATTCAGTAGTGTATTATTGTATATAGTGAAGAATAACCACTCTAATATAGACTAAAAGATGCATAAGCTCTATGTTCATCGCTTTCCAAATTTAATCTGAAAAATATTACTTTAGGTGACTACTAATGGAAGTCTTATAGCACAGGGGAGTAGGTGTTCAGCAGACTCTTATTCTCATCAAGTATTCTAATGAGTGTTGTGTCAGAATACAATTTATTTTTTATCTGCAATTATAGGGAAATTCATCACTTAAGGCTTACTTGCGCTTCTTTGCGTTCCAGTTCTTTCTGAAGTTCATCTATTTTCATATTTAACTGAGTGGATTGTGCTGGACCACGCTAAAAAGGCAAATTTTTAGATAAAACAGAAAGGACATGAATGATAAATGTAAGGAACTTCCATAGAGATATTGTATGGTGAATGAAATCAAAAAGCTTACAACGTTGAAAAACAAAATCGAGACTAAAAAGTCTATTAAAAATAGAGTCCATATTGGCTGCTAAGCGTCACATACATGTGTTTCTTCTGGTTCTCCAAAACTACAAGTGAAGTATATTTAAGGTATGAAGGATATTCGAAATGTTTTATGAATCCAGAAGAACACAGAATCACTTGTTACTAAAATGAGAAATGATCTAGCTAAGTAACTTAAATATTTGACTTCTAATTAGTAGGTCACACTTCCAAATGTGTGCTAAATAGTCGCAGTATGAAGAATGAACTCGAAGGAGTTCACTGTCCAAAGCAAAATTTTAACTTACGTGTATAGTTAAAGTATTAAGCTAAGTGGCACGACACTACAGGATATTTCATTTGGTATTACATCACCGCTGTTTTTTTATAAAGAAGTTGAAAATTTAAATGTCATCCTGTGAAGGCACGTTTTATCGGTTGCACCAAATAGCATGTATTTTTTTAAATTAACAAGTAGAATGCGCATCAGAAAGATAACAGGCAGTTTCCAGTAAACGATTACAGATGGACCAGATCCAAACAGGTTTATTTCAAATTAAAAATGATTTTCGAATGATAAGGCACGCATGTCAATAAATGGACTATACAACATTACTTAATTCAATTTCTTTAATAATATTTCTTCGCAGTAAGCAACATGATTGAAGGAATTGATATTTTCTGGCTTACTCTGTATAATTATCAATTAAAACAAACTAATTACCTTTATAAGTGTAAAAGGAAAGAGAAAATGCAACTGAAGTGGACTGAAAGGAAAAGGAAAATTCATCTTGAGCTGCATAACCGAAAAGCTTCTGAAATTAGAGCACTCGGCTCCTTTACAGAAGTCCTTGAAAATCCTGCTGAAGAGAAACCGAGTAACCCAAAGGTAGTGAATGGCGCACTTAGGCTTAGTCACAGCACTAACGACCTGGATCTTTGAAGCATTGGTACGTTCAACCTCTGTCTTTTACACAGACATCATAATTTCTAAACGGTTTCCTTCTGACATAGGAAAAAATGTTATCAAATAATATTCAAAAGTTTAACTGATGAAAACTTTTTACTATTTCGCCCAACGAAGTAAGAAAACTAAACTTACCAATTCGGAGAGTTGTGCTCTTAATTCATCATCTTTACTTTTCAGTTTCTCCTCTAATTTTTGTCGTTTTTCTGTTTCCTGGTCAAGTTGTGTTTGAAGGGTATTACGCTGAATTTTCAGTTGGTCATACTAAATTCAAATAATTTGTATAAAGATGAATGAATCGTTTGAATTTTTAGAAATTTTAAGTAAATTTGAACGCTAGATAAAGTCTCAAAATCACTGTATGCGATAAGCTGGAAAACCTCTGAAAATCGGATAACATTGGACTACTTACTCTATTGTCCGAGATTGCTCAGTAGAACAAACTAACTGCATCAAAAAGATTCAAGCAAGGATTGTAAAGTTATGTGAAAAGCAAAAGAGAATTGGAAAAGTAGAAATCTTACAACTTCTCATCATCCATAATACCTCGTCAATTTCTAATTTACAATTATTATTATTCGTCATAATTTTTACCCTTCATTCAAACATTCTCTCAATACTATCGAATTTTCCATTTATACTATCCGGACTTATTATTAGTGATATTATCTCTTTTCCCAATATATGCCTCCACCTGTTTCATTTCACACATTCGTTATTTCATGATGAACCTCTCATTGCAGTCTTACTATCTCCTTTTTAATGCGCACTACTATGTACTAGCCACTCACTCGCCTGACACCTTTTATAACCTTGAACTGACTTGTCAATTTTTCCTACCCCACATTCTACGAATCTACTGTGTGACTAATCACTACCATTGTCTCTCATTTTACAATATTTTGTAGACGATTTCAGCCTAGCACGTTTGTCACACAAATACGACTATTTATTTTGACACCACATAACTAATCTGTTATTAAGTTAAAAAATTTCTAATTTCATTGTTTGTAAATATTTACTAAGTTAATTCTACTGCTGAGGAAAGTCTAAATACTGGTAAAATTGATGCTCTAAAATTAGTTTTTTGAAAGTTAAAACCTGCCGAAAAGCCAGTGAAATTCTGAAAGCATTAATTTAGAGATTTAGTGTTCATTTGGCTTATGAAGGATAGGACTATGATAGAGGTGAACTCTGCCGTTTCACTGAATTTTGCGAAACTAATCATGCTACTTAATAATAAAAAGTAGTACCAAACAGATGACTATTTTTCCGTGGAACAAACATAATCAGCGATAAATCTCCAGTTCGCTGGTTGGTTTTAAACCAGGGAATTTTAATGGGAATTTTGCCCTTTCAATATTTCTTCCTGATGAACTGCAGTAAAAACAAAGTTTCTAAAGTGAATCGGCACAAACTTCAAGCCACTAGCTTGAAGCATATCTTCCACTGGGAACGTGAAGGAAAATAAAGTGAATCGATGACAAAGGGTTATTACAATCTAAGTTGTTATCATAGAATTTAAAGCTGATTTCAATACATAGCACTTTTTGTTACTGTTCACAAAAACGTAGAATTTTATTCTTTTTTTTATAAACTTCGGTTAACTTACTTGTATTTGAGCTTCTTCCAATGACCTCTGTGTTTGTTCACAAGTTGTCTTCAATTCTGAGTACTGCTTTCTTAATCTCTCCAATTCTTGACTAGATGCTGTAGTTATTCCCATACTTGGCTAAAAAGCGTATGAATGAAAAGTTTTTATAAGAGAGCAAATAGGTGTTAAATGTTAAGAAAATACTACAAATTGATGAATACTAAACACTACAGGTAGTCAAGTATACAAAATTTGCTTTAATTACACGAATAAAGTATTCAATGGAATAAAGATATTCAGTTTGTTAAAATATCAGTAATCAGAGAGAAATGGTTAAAAGACCGTTAGTTGATGAACTTCTTTGGAAGATAAGTAATACTGGAAATTGCTGTTCTAACTAGACATAAAAACGACGCTGCATTCTCCACTTCTTTTATTCACATTGCTTAAGAGATGGTTTAGTCTTCAGTATTAACCAGTAAGATAATTGAGAGGAAGATGAGTTGATCATAGACAAACAGAGACAATGATAATGTTGTATGATAAGATGCTGAGGTATTTGGACAAACCACTGTCTGTAGGTTAAATAAGGAATCTATTGAGGGTAGAACATTTTATTCAAGTATACTGATTCATTATAATAAAGGTTTTTTTGTATTTCCCAATGAATGAAAAACAAAACGATATTGTTTTTACTGACGTTTCGCTATTTATTGCTAATAGCTTTATCAAAGTATTATTAAACCAAAATTTACAAAATCTCAGCATATATATAACAACTTAATCATTGTTCCTCAGTATGGGGTCATTTTTCGTTGTCAAATTGACCAACTGGTATAGATAACAAAACCAAGTGTAGACTGTTGGATTTGATAAGTGTGTAAAATTATAAAAGCAGCGTGTGTTTACATAATGAAATCGCTTATCACATTCATGTTGATTTTGTCATTTTATGGGGGAAGGAGGTGTTGTAACCAGGTCAAATTCTGTTTCAGTCCATCATTCCTATTCAGACAATTTGGATTCCACTTGATATGAAGTGCTTCTGATATTAGACGTTCTTTGTGATTTCTGAAATTTTTCTGGATTGTTTCACTATAGTCAAAATCAATTTTGTGGCCTGATTCTATAGCGTGTAGACCCCATACTGAGGAACAATGATTAAGTTGTTATATATAAGCTGAGATTTTGTAAATTCTGGTTTAATAATACTTTGATAAAGCTATTAGCACTAAATAGCGAAAGTCAGTAAAAACAATATCGTTTTGTTTTTCATTCATTGTGAAATACAAGAAAACCTTTATTATAATGAATATCATATACCCAAAGCCCCAATTTTTTCAAACTGCTAAAATGAACTTGGTTTGGACATATATAAGTATATTGATTCTTCATGAAATTGCAAGAGTTGTTAAGTTTCATGATGGTTTGAAACCTTAGACGAATATAAAGCATTTATTCAATGCTATAAATGTTTTAGTAAATTCTGAAAAATTTATTTCATAAATAATGATTGTCCGGTAAAAGAATCTGACATTCTCCTTGAAAACAGTCTAAAAATCGACTGACTGGGAATCAGATGCCAACCTGGTTATGGACAAGGTTCAGCCGTGTAGTACCCAGTTCGACTGCTCAGAACTTAGTGGTAGGAATGAATTGGGTACTTTTATGAGTACTTCAGCTACCATGACAATACCATAGCATCGGCTTTTTCAGATAATCTCACTTTTATATTTATCGCTTTAAAAAAACGCAGAATTAATTTATTGAGAGTGTATGCCGCAAATTTTGGTTCACTGTACAGTCTAAGTGAAGCATGGCAGTTAAAACCACAGTTCATTCATTGAAACTTCATAAGCCTTGAACCCCCATGTTCTACTCGAAACGCACAGAATTAAAATATGCCTATTGGTTACAGCTAAACTTGGGTTTGTCGTTTCAGTCAGTTGATTTGCGTCAACTGAAAACATTTTTGTGTCAGTGCTGGTAGACCAGTTTCTTCCAACCTAGAAAATGTTTCTTATGGCTTCAGTGTGTGAAATGAAAACATAAGTAATTGTTTGTCACCGTTATCGTGCGAATGTCTCGAATTCATTTAGTTTAATGGTTTTTCTGTATTCGAATGAGTTAACTTTACACAAAGATTTTTGTTCAAAGGTCTGATATATTATTTAGATTATTACCCCAAGTTATCTTTACTTCATCTAAGAGCAATGACCCTAAAGATTGCCATGAAATCGTTTTATATACATTTTTTATTCACTCTGTTCTGATTTCTTTATTCATTTAATTTCCAGTTATAGCGGGAAGTCGTGACCAGTGGGATACAGCAGGTAGGGGATATATCTAGTGGTCGCGCCATATCGTGAATTGGCGAAAGTTGGAATTCATAGACCATTGGGTTGGGTCCCAGTGGCTTAATGTTCTACGAGCTCCCCTTGAGATCGGAAGGTCTTGGGTTCGAAACTCAGCGAGTGCGTACTGGTGAAGAGTCCCAAACTAGGACGAAATAGCTGTCCAGTACTCCCAGCTGGTTTTCCAATGGTTGTCTAACCGATGTCACTTCATGATGAAATCCTAATTCCCAGTAGCTAAAATTAGTTTATCGAACAAAACTTCATTTCATATTTAAATTCTATAGGCAAGTTAGTACAAATTCAGAATGTACAATCTGCACAATGTACACATCACACTGAAAAGCAGTCCGGTGATTTGAAGAATAAATGTTTCATAGTCCCTCATGTTCATATAAATGCCTACCTGATAAATCCTTGAAGATGTTAGTGGTATTGTACTTGATAAGGATGTGATAGGTTCAGTGGAATCTTGACGATCCAATAAACGCTGCCGTAAACTGTCTAGTTGACTTTCCAATTCCGTATTTCCTTTACGTAGGCCATGAATTTCATCTAATAGATCATGCTGTTACAATAAAAGAAAAAAGTGTGTATAATATTTTTTATGAAGCAAAGAATTTATTTAACAGAGAGATATTTATTTTCGAAGACTTCATTTCAATATGTTTAATTGTGATTTTTATGAATGGCGTCAACCAAACAAAGATATTTTTCCAAAAGATGTAAAGAAAAATGATTTACGCAATGTATTCAGATTTCTGTTTAGATATATTAAACTAATGAAAATGTAGAACTCAGAGTATGTCTCTAAGGAGACATTTGTAAGATAAATCACAAATAGATAAGTGATGCTCCCGAATGGGAGATTTTTTAAATCTTACATTCACCTTTCATTATCCAAACTAGATAATGCTCAGCAAAGCGTTTCTGGAGAAGTCGTTTACAACCTCCAAAGTGAAACAGTATTATATGTACAAATAAGATTTAATGCAGAAGATTTGTAGCTCAGATGAGTTGCTTTAGTAAAGTTGTGTTCTCTGAGCTTCATACTGAAGTATGCACTGAAGATGTTGTTTGGTAAGACAATGAAAGCTTCGCAGCTAGGCCGTCCAGCTTAAATAATAATAATAAAGCTCTATTTCAGACGATGTGTGAACAAATATTACAGAAATTTTCAGCGTATTTAGTTCCAAAATATCTCCCCTTCATACAGAATTTATGTGTAAAACAGTAATCTGAAGTACATCATTTGTCGTAGTGTTGTTGCATATGAAGAGAAAACCAATTATGTACATTTTTTCTTCAATTCCTTCTAAAATTGCATACTGTATAGTGGGAAACTAATTAAACATGCGCGTGAGTTCACATATTGATCACTTGATATAATTGCACGATTAAAACAATAAGAAGTGCAGAAGAGATTAAGCACTTTCGTGGATGGAAATTCTAGTAGCCCAGTGACTTAAGCAGGCCTCCGGACATATATAGCACAACTACATCAATATATATACATATATATATATAATCAAAAGTTCCGTTAATTTTTCGAACCAATCAGTACCAGTTGATAACCTGATTATCGACACGAGAAGTAGTGAACAAGATTAAGAGTGTTCGTTTCAAGTAAGATGACGGACTGACATCAGTTCATTGTTTGTACAGCTAATTAGGCGCTAGTGAATGCAAAACGATTCTGGAGGTACGTTTACTAAGAGTCGCGTTTATTTTAAGTTATTCTTAAGAAGGATATAAGTATTGTTTCATCAAACTTTTTCTTTAAACTTTCTTCATAGTAAGATGAAAATACCACATTAAATTCTCAATAGGACTGCTTATCTCAATGGCGTGATAAGATCACTAGGCTACTTAAATTTCTATTCAGTATTATGCATAAACTCTTATTTATTTCCCATCATTTCAATCATTCAAATTTGCCTCTTTATCGTCACATGGACTCCAGTACATTTTATTTATCTAGCCTTCAAAGTAATTATTTGCAATTTTCTAAGGAAATAAAGAAAAAGATGATGTAGATGACTGGATCTTGTTTCATACAGAATAACACCCTGCACATGAGATACTGTCAGTTGCAATTTTCCCTGAAGATCCTGTATGAATATTAAAAATTTGACAATTAAACAAACTGAGAATTCTGTATCATGACTGGACACTAGTCAGTAACTAGTGTGATGGCAAGCCACCTAGTATGGTGGATACATTGCATTGACGGAATTCAGTCTGCACCAAACACTTGTTACTAACTAGTTCGAGTAACTCAGTGGTAGTGTCTCTGACTGCAGCACTATGTGACGCGGATTCCAATCTCAGAAGGGATATGAGTTCCTTCAGGGTTGCAGATACGCCTTGCTGACTGAGGAGTGTCAACTAGCACGAAATCTAGGTCCAAGGCTTTCTGTCAACTGCCTCCAACCATCTAATATCAACAATTCTGTACTATGTTAACATTTTCTGTTTTTATTCAGTAATTTAGTAATAATCTATCACAAATGTAATATGTCAGCATGTACTTAGTGCTCAGTTTCACACATATTTCTCTTGCGAGGTCGAATATGCATACTTTATCTACCTTTCAAATATCAAAACACTACTGAAGAGATACTTTTTGATGAGATAAATGAAACGTTTGTTTAAGAAGAATAAAATGTGTAATGAAACCCTTAATTCCTCTCAAAGTAGAAATACTCTTCTTTCACTAAATGAACGTACTGGTTAACTATGTTGGTGAAAATATAAAAAATAATAAGACTGTTAATTTTACTAAAGTACATCCTGAAAAAAGATTTAAAGTCAAAGCGTAATCTGTATCTGAAATTTTGAAATCAATACTCATTCAGAAATTCAAAAACAGTACCTAATATCTGTAGTCAACTGGAAATTTTTTTCTTTATTCCCTAAAATGAATGATCCCCTTTGACATAAAATATCAACATTTCCGTTTCATTTCAGTAATAAAATTCGTTAGAGGTAATAAATGAATTATTAATTGGAAAGCCTAACTATCCGTCTAAGTAAAATTATTCAATGAACACGCTTAGGATATTATTTGGAACAAACATTAATTTTTTTCTTTGGCGCACATACGAACACACACACGCAAATATTAGCCTTGGATAATCCCTTGATCGACTTACATTCTCATTTTCAAGTTTTCTAAGTCTTGTTTCACGTTCATCTGCGCGTTTTTGACTGACTGATAATCGATTATTTGTTTCTTCTATGGTTGATTGTAAGCGGGTAATTTCATCGGCTTGACAACGCTTTGATAAATAAATAGGAATGAAAGGAAAACAATAATTAATGACTACCGAAGGGGATAAAAATAGTGAAAAGAATAGCTTTGAACAATTTGCTTTATTTTTTTTATTTTTTGTAAATTACCGCTGTAAGCTTAATTTCCTAGGACAATATTTCTGATTCCATTATGAATAAAATTTATTTTGATAAAGTCTCATATGTTATACAGTGTAGTATTTACTGATGATGTTTAGGGGGACAATTTATTATTGCTCGTAATCATATCAAGTTACTCACACAACTTTCTAACTTCTTTTATATGATTCCACCTATTTCTCATCTCTTGATTTGATTGGTAGTAATATTTTCCATATTTTATAGAATCTACACTCAACACTTGCAATAGGAATAAATCATCACTAATACCAGAGATATTAAAAATACTACTAACAATTAAATCAAGAAATGAGAAATAGTGGAATTATGTAAACGAAGTTGGAAAGTTGTGTGAGTAACTTGATATGATTATGAGCAATAAATTGTCCCCTTAAATGTCATCAGTAAATACTACACTGTATAACACTGTGAGATTTGATCAAAATAAATTTTTTTAGCCATAATGGAATTATACTCTACCACAGTGCCCAAGTTCTACTCTTATATCAACAATGTTTCTGAATTTAGAAATACGAGTATGGCTAACCGAGGGAAAGATCTAGAATACAAATATGAAACAGCAGACAACATAACACATCCCTTCTAGATGTGGTACACTTTTTAGTGGTACTTGCAAGTGGTAGGCAAGAAAGAGGACTAATTAAAGCGAAAAGGGAAAAAAAGTTGACTAGTTCGTTAATGTCACACAACACAGACCTACTAATTAATGAAATACAGGAGTAATTTCAAGATTGAAAAGTTTAAATTTGAGTATTTCCATTTGATGTCTGAACAGTTTAGTAACTAGAATCTTGTATACCCTAGCCAAATGGTCGAAATGAATTCTACCTCACTTAAGATTTGAAACTCAGAATTTAATCTCAAAATCTAATAACAAAACATCATTACACCTAAGTAGTAGTGATACATGAACATATAGTTGAACTAATAACAGAAAATAAAACTATACATAAACTAAATCACTAGATGTACATTATATAATGCAGTAAACCAATATTTGCAAGTGTTATGTATGCCAAAGATAACCCATAAACTATTCATGAGATAGCAAATTGTCAATTAAAGAAAAACAGAGGTCACATGGTAAACTGCATGGTCTAACCAATCAGTATAAGGCTTCTCTTCTCGTCGTCATGACACCAGTGATGATAATTACTGTCTCATATATTATTCAAACAAAATTCATGCATATAAGAGATATTTTTAGGAAAATTTAATGTGAAAGTATTAATAAATCTTTGATCAATTTAGTTTTATTGTCTGACTTATCCTAATAAATTTTAAGTGAATATTAAATGAAATCTTTGAATTAGGTCAACATGAAATAAAAAAGTGAAATAACATCAAAAATGCTTAATCATAGATTTCTTAATATAATTTAGTAAGGTGGTAGAATACATCTAGTTGAAAGCTCTGAGCAACAGTTTCATGCTTGCTGAGAATGCAGGGAATCTATAACTTCATACATTTGGACATGTACCACTCAAAGACTTCTGGACTGGACTAAAGAGGGAGTGACTTAAAACTCTTGGCAGAAGTACCTTTGAAGTGAATGCAGTTGTAATTCAGGCTGTACAAGAATTTATGAAGCAGTATGCAAAATAACTATTTCTTTATCTACGAACTGATTAGTTTTAATATAATCAAAATATCTGTAAAATTACATAATGATCATTACATCATCGCTGTATCATAGTAACAATCAAGGTATAAGTAGTCAATGAAAAGTGCTCAAGTGTGTGGACTTTCATGTAAGAACACGTAAAAATATCATTTTAAATGTATTATATAGCTCAGTCAAAGTATTATTCAGCCAGAAGGGAAACCAATACTTTTACTCAAACTTTAGATACTTCTCATTTCTTGTTTGCATAACCCCTCAGAAGAGTTTCTTTTGAGAAGTAGCTACTGTGTAGCAACCAATCCAGTTGTCTACTGCTAAGTGCACTTCATTAAAATCTGTTAACTTGATGTTCAATATATCCGTTAAAAAAGTAGGCATAACACAATTGTGTGTTGTAGACACTTCAGGAGTAATCACTGATTAACATAGCTAGGAGACTCTCACTAAATCACTAGCTACTTGGATAACGTATTGACAACTTGACCAACAGAGGCTTGATCCCAGTCACTAGTAGAACATTTATATCCAGCTGATGGATCGTATATCTATCCAATCCAAATGACAACAATTATCAAGAAAAACCTATTTGTTAGGAACTATACTTTCGTAGATTACAACAGGGAGATTTGGAACTGAGCAATAAACAGTAGTACTTTGTCTGGAAATAAAAAAATATGTAATAAGTTTTTGACTTGTAACAGCTGAACTTAGATTGAAATATGAAATTGATTGATTTCACTTGAATGACTAGCTGCCTCGGTAACCACATGAAGGATAATTTACAAGACACAAAATAATGTGCTGAAACTTACAATTTCACTTGACTGGGATTTGATTTCATGTCCTTTTTCATCTAACTTCATTTCTAAATGTCCAATACGTGTCACTTGTTCTTGATTGGTACAACGCAGTCGAGCAAGTTCCTCAGTCTATAATTATTCAGTGGAGTATTGAGAATGTAGGATAGTTTAAGAATAAATTAACAATATATATGATATATCACCTTTCTCAACTTAAAATCTACATATTTATCATATTTTTTTGACGAATATAGATTCACTTATGAAGAGATAATCAGTTAGGACTGAATCTTTATAGTTGAAGATTGTGTTGCCACTTTCAGTCCTGCTAAGCGTTGATACTTATATTCAATAACAGAACTCACTCACCAGCGACTGGCTAGTAGTATGATAAATAATAATATATCTTTATTCTCGACAGTATTTATAAAATGTACAGAACTTTCAGGGGAGTTTATTGTGTGATATTTTTCCTTCGTACACTATATTGAAGTAAAGTATTAACTGACCATATGTTCTGTGACAAAATGGTCCCTGAGCTGAAACACAAACCATTCCATTATGACATATCTGCTTTGTCTCCTTCAAGAAATCCACCCACGATATCTGGTTGAAAGCCAATTGTAAGATGTTCAGAAGTATATTTTGAGACCCAAGGACATAACTGAAGAACAGTTATCCCATGTATTGGAACATGTTGCCACCCACAATCAGGCCTTTCCTCAAGTTTAGTAGGAACTTGCGAAACAGAAGCTTGTAAACATTTTAAATACACATGAGAGTAGATAATACCAATAGAGGTCATATCTTAATCGATTAAAAGGAACCGAACGAGAGAAATATATACAATAAAGAGATGGAAGTTTTCGGTAGTCGAAGTTTTAATCAGGCCGCCTATATATTATGAAATAGTACAGAAGGTATTCTTTTAAAGTGTCGAGAACAATGACAGTTTACATTGTAGCTGCTTACTAGAATCCGCTGAATTTTCTTCTGGGTTTAATTTCAATATCATTTAGTGGTCAGTGAAAGAAATATTGATTTTTAATTCCACAGTTTCTAAGTATTAAATAATTATCACCAGTTTTAATAATATCTTCAGATCTTTTTTACTTAATTTTAGTTAATATACCATAAATTTAAAACATTTCATCTGATTTAATTGGTGGATGGTGACTAGCAGTGGAATCCAGGATGCACATTTGGGACTCGTCGGCTGGATGAACCTGCATTTCTCAGTGAGTGATGATGTTCCTAACGAGGCTCGAACCCAGTGCCCATAGTTTCAAACACCGAAGCGTTATCCACTAGACCACTTGGGCCACGAGAGCCTCTTGTGCAGTGGGTCGCATTGATTTAATTCAGTTTTAAATTTAGATTTTCCCGTCGATTAGGACGAAATGCGCATCCTGGATTCCACTGCTAGTCACCATCCACCAATTAAATACTAATTAAATGCCCAGACTTCGTCGAAGCATCTGCTCAAGAAGCCAACATGTCAACCTGAGACCGAACACTTCGATCCAATCAATCGACGGGAAAATCTAAAATTAAATTTCATCTGATTGCTTATTTATGCTAGTAATGATTATGTCGAGTTAATCACAACATACTGTCATCTCATCGAGATTTCCAAATCCTTTAAAATATTACAAATACAAAGGACAGCGAATTTACTACGATTTGCTGAAGCGATTGCAATCAAGCGTTTTAGACCAAACTTATGCATATAGAAAGAGAGTGTAGTCAATCTCTCACTCCCTTCGTAACCGTATTACTTTCATCACATTAGTTAGCTCAACTCACTGAGCAAATTTTCACTTGGATGGACTTTAACCTTCTTAAGTTGCTATGTAGACGTACAAGCTAAAACTGCTTATTAGATTTTTCTGTTTTCTGTCTTCTCTCTTACCACCCCTTTTTTCACAGTTTGAAAGCATATAAATTGATGATGACTTAAACTAAAAATTGTAATCCATATATTCTGGATGCGTTCGTCTTATAATGTTTTCTCTATTACCTTTCAAACATTGAAGTATAAAATGTCATCATTATTTATAACCATTGTAATTTCAGATAGTTTGCAGCAGTTGATGAGAACCTGCGAAATACAATGATGTTATTTTATACTGGAAATCTGGCTTTTTTTTCTCTCTCTCTATCGAAATTTATCAAGGGAATCAAATGTATGAAAATTTGTAAGTTACTTACATATTGACTCTGTATTTGTTTAATCCTTTCTTCTCGATAGACAGCATCATCACGTAGACTTTTTACTTCAGCTTCAGCTGTTGCCAGTTGTTTACGTACGTTAGTCAATTCATCACGAAGTTTAAACTGTTGGAAGAACAAAAATAATTAAGGGATTATTGCTAATCTGTGCATTAGCTGAATAACATGTACGAAATTTACAAGATTCTGTCACTTGTTTCCAACTCCTTGAAGTTGCAAAAAGCAACAGCTGTTAATAAAAGAGCAGGATTCAATGTATTCATCAAAATGCGATAGAACTCAACATTTGAATACTCAGCATACCGTGTCTTATGTACTGTGGGAAATGTATATGGAGATATATGACTGGTGGACAAACTATAATGAATCAATCATTGAAGAACAAAGAGTGAAAATATCTAACAGGTCAAGGTCATTCAGGTATAGGAAAGTGAGAGAATGCGTGAGAGTAAAAATTAAGATTTTAATGGGTTACATTTCAGTTGCGTTATAATAATAATAATAATAATAAACAAGCAGCTATTGTCTATTGAGTATTGTATGATGAATAACAATGATAGTATTAACAATAGAATTATTGATATTAACAAAAGTGAAACGAGTTAGGACAAAAGTGGAATGATGTATTTTGATAGCGATACTGACAGAAGGTAGCTTTAACTACGATAATAATAATAATAATAGGTAAAATAACAGAAGCAACCACAATAGTTTACAAAGTGAAAGATACAACCACAGTAGATTCAGGTCGATAATCTCTTGTACACCAGGCTCTTGTTTGTAGAATGCAATCATATAAGTCTTTGTGACTGAAAGTAACCTTTTATCTGTAGTATTGAAGACCACAATAAGAAAAACTCTGGACACAACACATTGTAGACAAGATAACTAAGAGAGATGATGATTACGTTCATGGAAAATTTCGAAAGCTCACTTCATTCTGAAGTTAGCGCTCGAGATGTTGTTTATACGGACAAAGAAAGTTTCTTGATAAAACCATTCAGGTGAGCGAACGTAATAGCACTAATATATATATATATACATATAATATTCCGTCGTCGGCGTTTCAGCGGTGGAATGCTCGCCAACCACGCATGTGATCTGGGGTTTGACTCCCGGCCGACGCACTCCTAGACCTCACTAGGCTAGTATTAAGGCCAGTAAAGAGGGAAGGTTAGGCGTGTGGCTAGCAACCCCACCCCATATAAAAATGGAACCACTGCTACTGAAACTTCAAAGCTGTTGCTTGAAGCCCTATGTTCCACCAGGAACGTAAAGCAATATATATATATATATGATGGAGATCACTGTTATTGTGTAGTCCTATTTGAATTGCTCGGTGATGAACAAAAAGCCGCTCAATATGAAGTAAGCTAAAATCTAAATAGCTAAATGACAAAGTTTTGTTTGAATCTTCCCTATATCTATAGATTAGATATAGCGTACTTATGGTTACGACAAAAGGGGAACCTCTAGGTCTTGGACACTTTCATGACTGATCTGTCTCAACATCTAATATTTTTATATGAATAAAACTGTCTTTAAAACAGTAATAACTGAAAAAAATTAGTTGAAATAATTTTAGGTGTGAAAATGAACAAACAAATTAATTAACCTACTGATTCTTTTTCAACAGATTCGATACGAGTTTCACGTTCTTTTATAGTATTCTGCAGATAGCCAACATGATGTTTCAAATCGTCAAGATCGGCTTTTTGACGTTTTATTTCTTCAATATGTGATTTCGCCTGAAATGAATTGAATGTAAAAATGTATAATCTTTGAATGTGTATAACATAATAACTTATTTTACACTTAAAAAATAAGATTTTTAGGTTATCATACTAACAAATCTTTATATGTGTATATTCGCATGTAAATTAGTACTGACATTTCTGTGTAAACCGAATCTTTGTGGGAAAAAAACCTAATATGGATACCTCTTTCACTCCGTATCAAATATTCTTCATATGTATTATGACCATGTTTTCTTGAATTTTGACCGTATAATAGAAGGATCCAAGCATGAAGCCATTATCTTGAAAGAAACTTATAATTCTGCTTCATTAAAGCTGAGAACGTAACAAAAAAAATCACCAACTGTAATTTCTTGTTACACATTTTTCTGTGTCGAATCAGTAGGTTAGCTTTTTGGCTTAAATGTTCGTTGAAACGATAGCTTAATACTGCTTTGAGTTTCTTAAATGCTATATGATTGGTGCCATTAGCAGTTATGAAAAACACACGAGATAATGGGGCGTGACAGGTATTCTGAACTCTACTGACAATCATTCGCAAAATACCACAGCCAGCTGAACATCATTGCATTGTTTCGTCACTAGCTTACTGGTATTAGTGCCTTGTCAATTTTAGTGTTACAACGAGAATATCAGTATTTGTACAAGTATACTGTTTCTCTCAGTTTCATAAGGGTAAGATTTTGTTTTAAGAAATTTGTGCATATTCAGCTTTCCTACTCGTTTTGTTTTAGGTACGTTATTATTATTATTATTATCTTCGATTTCTTTAGTTTATGTGAAATGAAACACATTAGTCGGACAATAAGTATGCCAATCAGCCGTAAAACATTATGTTATTCGAATCAAACTGATGGATAGACAAACAGAAGAAACATCGTAGAACTTTGTACAGTCATGCATCAGTTCATTCTGTCATACTTCAAATCAGTAATTAAACAAGATGGAAAAAAGAAGTGTGGAGAATTAATGCTTCAATTAACATATACGAATGTAGAAAGGAAGATATTTATTCGATAAAGACCGATGACTGATTTTCCTAGCTTCGGTAACTTCGTTAAATGAATGTATGTGGATAGCTTTTACGACATTGTTTAAGAATTACAGGGTTATTAGATTCCTAATGATGATGATGAAGTTTCACAGAGTACAATTCTTTATCTGACAATTACACATTTTGAGTTTAAAGTTCACTACGGTTTGCTTTGGAAACGACAGGTATGCAGATCACATTATATGACATACTTGGTACCATAAGTGACAGTAAAAAAAGAACAAACAATAGAGCGTGATGGCGCGTGCTGCTGTTTGATAGGAGAAAGTGGAAACTTCTCACTTTAACCATTATAGGGTCTGCTAGCCAAATCAAAGTCAATTAATGCTAGATGACCATTTCAACTGATTGGTACTGAATTTATTAGCTTTGTATACGCATAAACTCAACTCAAAGAGCCGAATCAATTCAGTCTACTGGAATTCTGGAAAGTACGGTGAATTTTCACTTTGAACTGTGTAAATTAAAAATATTCTATTATGCGTGTTACCAGTTCACTCAAATAGCTAGTGAGAATTTGAGTGATTTGAAATGATTCAGCTACCTGACCCGAGTTAATCAGGACACACCGTTAATGAAATCGGCGCTAAACGAGCAAAAATGTATTTCAACATCTAGTTCACTACAACCTGGCTACTAGGCACTAACGGTTGACTTCAGTGGTTACCAGCTGTTAAAATCAAACATATACTCCCTTGCCTATGGAGCCACTGCTCTAAACCTGGTAATTCTTTTTTGCTTAGAGTTGCATGCACAATAATTTCTTGTAGTCAGATATCTAGAGCGTCAAATTGATATTCTACTGGCAGTTGGTTGGAATACAATATGGTTTCTATGATGTTAGAACACTGGAAACCTGCGAGTACTGGACACTGTTCGTCTAGTTTGGCTTCATCAGTACCACGGGTTCGAACCCAGGACATTCTGGTTACAAGGCGAGCTACACCGCCACTGGGACCCAATCCAATGGTCCTTGAATTCTAACTTCTGCCAATTCACAACATAGCGCGACCATTTCGCAATGTCTTCTTAGATGAGTTACTGCCTCATCTTCAACCTGCTGTACCCTACTGGTCACGGCTTCCCACTAGAACCCCAGGTTAACTGCCTGAATAGGGCCAGTCACTAGTGAGCATCAAATTAATTTTCAAGTATTGGTTTGGTAGGGATTTGTTAATGGAAATACAGTTATCAGTATCCAGTAACTTTCGTATATTTAATCTATTTTATTTTATTTCAAACAATATAACAATTTTCAGTTTTGGTGGACACAGTTCGAACTTACACAGTCTTTCTCCAGTTGTTTGAGGCTTTCAGTTTTTTCACTTAGTTGATTAAGGACTGATTCATACTTCTTCTGCAGAGCATCCCTGTCCAGAATAAGTTTGTCCTGTTGGTTGAGTAGAACAAATTAGTAATGTAGTAGATTAAAAGTTTTTATGATATCATACTACTAAGTGAGTAGTACAGTACAATGGTAAAAAAATAACACAGCTCATCATTCACGACAAGGTTAGAGGTCTTTCTGTAAACTTGTAATCCAAATAAAATGTCATCTTGGAACTAAAGGATCATTTGGGCTACATTATGTAATTCTAGTTATATATGTATACTAACAGACCTCAGTAAAGTAACTTATTCAGAAAGCAGATACAACAGTGTTTGCCTTAATCTATGGTCATACTGTAGCATGGATAAAAGCGACTACATGACCCAAAGTATTCGGTTCCATTTAGACATCATTCTTAATTTTCTGTTATGTAAAATATTAGGCAAAATATTCTCTGGTTTTCGTTGGCTATCACACCTAAGTTGATTTATACTGAAAATCATATTTGCATTAGTTATTCCTCTCAAATACAACTCAAGCGAACTATGAGAATATTGCCAACCTGAACTTAATGACTTATAAGTATATGCATTCACTGAAAGTAAGTGAATTGTGGATCTGGTTTCGGTTAGCTGGATGGCATTATTATCCATCTTGGAATATGTTAGGCTAATTATTATTGATTCAATGAATAATAAAGTCAGCACTGTAAGTCACGTGTATCACTCGTCAGTGCAAGTAACAAAAATATCCATATACAGCGCAACATTCTTATACTTTTTGAAAATCTATCCCACACCAGGTTCCATCTGTTTATCAAAACAAAACTTACTCTTTCTGCTTCAATTGTTCGAAGTTGATTAATTTTCTCAGTAAGATCAGATTTACTTCCAGTCAATTTTTCGCTTAAATCATCTCGTTCTCGTTTGATTAACTCCATTTGACTGTTTAAACTGGCGACCTTGAGGATTAAAAATAAACCATTATAAGTAAAATAATAGATATACCATTCGATATTGATGAAGGAGATATAACTGCATAACACTGACGCAACAGAGTGTATGTTAATATTATTTGACAGCTATTTATTGTTTGGATACTTTATTTTAAAGGTAACAATGTATTGTAGATACTTTAGCACTAGTATATGATCTTTCATCTTATCCACAAGGGAGCTAACATAACTTTCAGGTATATAATTAAGTTGAAGAGATTGACAGAAAAATAGGCATGCACAGAGAGAACTAAGCATAGTTGTCTAGCTTCACATATTTGATATATAAGAAAAGTTAGAGAACCACTGAAAAACAGGGAGCACTTGACAGCTGTTTCACCCTAATTTGGGAATCATCCGCAGTACACATCCACTGGCCGTGGTCAAACTCGTAAAAATATTTTAATCCTCACAAACCAACTCTTGAAAAATTAATCTGATGCTCGCTAGTGACTTGCTACAGGACAGAGTTTCCTGGAGTTTTAGCGAGAAGTCGTGACCAGTGAGGTTCAACCAGTCAAGTGTGAAGATGGATTTCCCACCGATGATATTGGTTGGTGGTCGCGCTAAATCACGAATTGGTAGAAGTTAGAATTCATGGACTGGCCACTGAATCGGTTCCCAGTGGCTGAATGGTATACGAGCTTGCTTTGTAACTGGAAGGTCCTGGGTTCGAACATTGGCAGTGCGTGCGTACTGCCGGTGGTTCCCAAACTAGGATGAAACAGCTTTCCAGTAGTCCCTGGTTTTCTAACTGATATCAATCCGTGGTCAAACTCGTAAAAACGAATTTAATCCTTACAAACCAACTCTTGAGAATTTAAGAAAAGGTAAAATTAACAAGACTTTGAAACAAACAATACGAATATTAAGGAAAAAAGAGTGAATAAGGAAGACTAGTGTAGCACTTAGAATTCCAAAAACGATGAACAGAGAATGAATCTGCACCATGATGACCACCGGGTAGATATTTCTCAGCCGCCACTTTCACGTTCATCAGTGATCCTAGTCAAGCTACCGCAACTAACTATGATTATCAGTCTATAAATTCACATACTGTTCCTATGAAATGGTCTACCATTTCTCAGGTTCTTGCTGAACATTTCCCACTGACATAAAAGTTGGCTTATCGTATATTTCCAAGTCACATCAGTTGGAATTGGATTCATAATGGAGTTTAACATATATATATATACGTCGGCTTCTCATTAGCTGCTTACAGCCTAAAGATATTATTAAGTTTACGTACAGAAACAACTTTAACATACTTGCAATTTTCACATTATGTCAGTTGACAGACAGTTCAAGGAGTTACATAATAAAGACAAAAGGTTAAATCCAAAGATTACGTAATCAAATGAAAGAGAGAGTAAAGACATCCAGTTACGAGGGCAAGGAAAGGTTGATAACCGCTTCTTTCTGAACACATAAATGGGCTTTCAGGCGTTTGGCAGAGATTGCTTCGGCAAACTTGAGGAGAACTTAGCTATTTTGTCTATTGATAATTTTAAAGAATTTTGCGGTGTCCACCTCATGACCCATATCAAGGAGATGCCTAGCAATGGCACTACTGAAAGCGTTCGTTCCCTTGAGAAGTAGGCTTTTTGGTACATGTTCAGAAAATTGGAGGTGTGCTCTAAGCAGATGATGAGAAGCCACGAAATTAATGTTGGTACCATTTTATTCTGCACAAACAGTTCTGTTCTTGTTCTGCTTTATTAAAGTTGTGAATGTGCTGTTAATGTTATTCGATTCACGAAATAAGTATGCATTTTGGTTGGTATGAATTGCTTTCATCATCCAGAAACAGAAATAATATAAGAACTAAGAATACGGTGGCTCTGAAAATTCACTTTATCCCACTTAATGCTTACCAGCAGTTCCTTAAATATTGCTAATTTCCTCATTAGACTTCGTGTTGTAAATGTGTTTTAGTGAGAAGTCATACACAAAGAGTGAACGGTTTTATAGTGCGAAATTTCTCAAATTTATGTAAATGAACAGTGAAGTTGAGAAAACGATCCCACATGGTGAGTATTTCTCATTATCAACATGAAAATACATAAATATGTAGCTATTGCAAACAAATAACTCATAATCCTGGTCACGAGATTTTGCGAAAATAGTTTTCATGTTACAAATATTTAGTAATATATGGGCTGCAGAATCCTTGTGGAGTCTGGAACAATACGATTGTACAGTTTTTCGTTAGATGTTAAAAATGAAAACAATCTACATAACTTTTGTTTAAAACGATTCATTGTAAGATCTACATAACTTTGGGGTACAATCTAAAATACAGTGTGCTGCTCGACGCTTCGTCTTCTCACTGGTCCATACTGTCTACTTGCTTCACTATGAACCGTGTTGTATACTTTGGATTTTGCAGAAACCTCTCATCCGAAGACTATTCTACAACCGGTACGCAGCTTCTACTAGTAGACACAACTCCAGCAGCGAATACTATTGCGGGTTATATTAACAATTTGTAACAGTGGACTTTAACTGTTGTTTTTTTATTCCTTTACGTTCCCAGTGGAACATAGGGCTTCAAGCTTCAGCTTTGAAGTTTCAGTAGCAGTGGTGTTTTTACGGGTGGAGTTGCTAGCTTCACGCCCAACCTTCCCTCCTTGTTCGGGTGGTAACCGGCTGAGAGAAGTAAAGGTGTGCGCCGACCGGGACTCGAACCCCGGACCACGTGCATGATCAGCCAGCGTTCTACCACTGTACCACCTGCTCACGGACTTTAACTGTATAACCAAGTAATCATTAATTTATATTACTCACTAACAGTATTTTTTTATAATGTACTGTTACACTATCATCATTCCACTAACTTGGATTTTTATTCTAATATTTGTTCTGTTACCGAGCTCGCTATAAAGTCCCCTGCATCCTCAGAAATCAGCGGACATTTAGTCCCTCTGAAGTATTTTTCATTATTGTACAACCCTGAAATGAAATAATTACTTAGTGGTTCTTGATTTTAAAAACCAAAGTGTTTCCACAAAAGTGCATAATTCATTTATTGTCGGACAAAACGCAGGTCCACTAGGTCTCATAGAAATTATCCTGCTATTCAACCATTCTGCCAGTAGAGGAATTATGTATACATTCCAAGATTGAAAGAGGAAAACTTATCTAATGTTATTTAGTTTCAGCTTTGGTTTCAATGATATTAGTCTGTAATAAAAACTGCGTTATTTTATGACAACTAGTAATGCATACACTAGTAATCTTAATTAAAAATAGTAAAGCACATACCTCTACTTCACGTTCAGCTTTAGCTGAAGCAAGTTCTCGTCTGAGAGTAGCCATTTCTGTGAAATCTGTTGTGTGCAACCCCTGTCATTGAAAGAAAAGGAATCATAACGTTTTTCTTAATTGTTTGTAGACAAAATAACCAGAAAAATTACTATTTTAGAAAATGTATGATAAGTTATTAAATTTGCAATCCGATCTGGTATTTATTAATAGTTTATAATACCAATATCAAATTCACGAATAAGCTTCTGTGCACTATTCAGATAACTAAATCATGTGTTTTACCGGTATCGTATAACAAAAAGATGCAATCAGAACTATAGTTTATCTTAACAAATGTTTGCATGAGAGAAACGTTTTCTAAGTTTTCGCCTTTATTTCCTGCCTCAAACTAAGAAGCGATGAATCAAAAAGAAAAGGTTACATAAAGTAAGTAATAACTTCCGGTCTCTGTCAATGTACTGTTGAATAAACTCTGAAAATTATCTCATGAATCTATTATCAAATAAAAAAATTAGCCCTTTCATTATGTAAAGACGATTCAGAAATCCTAAATGTTGTAAGCAAATTATTCTTGATGCTCTTGAGCATATTTGTAATTCAGAAGAATCATTTATACTCCACGTTACAGCTAGACAAGCTTATCTGACCTTCCTTCTGCAAAAGAATGCCACTTATTTGAATTCGATGAGAAAATTGTCTCCAGGTGTCTCAGAATTATTGATTAGAACTGCAAGATATTTGAAGTATTTTATTTAAACAAAGAGCAGGTTTATCATATGGCTCATTAATGGACACTTCTGATGAATTGTATTTGATAATCCTGTATCTATTACCGCAAAAAGTATTAATATAGTTTGAGTACTTCATAGTACTTCTCAATTTTCTGAAGTGAATTTAAACTTTATACCAGGTGATTCTATCTCCCCTTTATTAAATACAGTAAAACATCCCGTCCACTTCTGCATGAATCTTCACTGATGGCTTTTGGTATTACTAAAGTTTGCTTATAAATCAAAAAGAGAAACCTTGCATCCTTCTAATATTTTTTGTTATAAAATTGTGTACAGTCTGGTTAAATCCTCGGTTTAATCTATTCTTTTGACTTTCTTTCTATTTTGGGACACGTTAACATAACGTATTCTGAATCTGGAATTTCGAATTGGTTACACATCTGTTTTTCTGAAGGAAACCAGTATAGTGTAAAATTAAGGAGGTCCATTGGATGACTTACTGCAGCTGATGTGCTTCAAGGTATTGTTCTCCTTTTCTTTTACTTTCATTTTCGGCATAACTTGTATTTTTCGTCTAGAATTAGTTTAATTTATTACGCTGATGCAAAAGGTGTTTGTGAACTGATTGTATTCTTAAATAAAATGGGGTAATGGTTAGTTTTTATTTTTATAAATGGCTGACTGCTAATTTGCCATTTCGCACGTGAGAGGTACATTTTTGTGAACTTCTTTCAACAGGTTTCTCTTATTGATGACTGTGCAACCAAGACCATCTTTCTAATCTTTCCAATGTACAATTATTATTATTCGTCATCATTTATTCCCTTCATTCAAACATTCTCTCAATACTATCGAATTTTCCATTTATACTATCCTGACTTACTATTAGTAATATTATCTCTTTCTTAATATATACCTCCACTGTTTCATTTCACACATTCGTTATTTCATGATGAAGTTCTCATTGCAGTCTTACTATCTCCTTTTTAACGCGCACTACTTTGTACTAGCCACTCACTCACCTGACACCTTTGATAACCTTGAACTGACTTGTCAATTTTTCCTACCCCACATTCTGCGAATCTACTGTGTGACTAATCACCACCATTGTCTCCCATTTCACAATATTTTGTAACTGAATTCAACCTACCACGTTTATCACACAAATACTACTATTTATTTTGACACCACATAACTAATCTGTTATTCTACGTTAAAAAATATATCCGCCGCATAACTGGCCATTATTGTAACGACAACAAATATTATATTTTATAATTGTAAGAACCTGAAGAGGAGAAATTATTGAAAAGAAGATTCTTCGTTCAGACTGACTTTCTTTCGATAATTTCTGTGGTTTTTATCTTATTTTCGGAGTACTTGAGAAAATACTTGTCTGATTTTGACATCTATGGATAAAGTCAATCGTTCATCGTTAACATCATTGTTGGAAACTGTTGCAAACAAGTATTTAAACTTTTACAAACAGATAACTGGAACCATTTTATCAGGTTAAAAAAACGCATACTTTTCATTCACAATTTTCATCTTGTCATTAATTATGGCAAAAAGAAGCAAGTACATGAGACTACATACATTAACACATATCTTATTTAGTTCACCGTTATTATTACTCTTATTGTCGAAAGATGCCAGTTTTACTTTAATATTTCTACTAAACCATCCTACAGTATTCGGAAGACATTACAATGAACTTGATAAACGAAGAGTGAGCTGACAGAATGACAGATATAGTGGGGTTTGTACAGGTTTGTACAATCCTTCTCCCTATCGAATACTATTTAAAGCACTCATTTGCGGGGATTTGAATGGGTGCGTAATGATGAACAGTCCCAAACTAGGACGAAACAGCTACCTGACCAATACTTCCAAGTTTTCCAATGGTTCTCTAATTGATGTCAGCTCATGATGAAATCCTGTAACTACTTAAAGTTCTATCCAAAAGGATATGAATTGGAAAGACAGCTAGTTATACCATTTAAAAATCTAATAAGCACTATGAAAATTATCATAATTGTTTCAAAACAATATTGTGTAAATATGTATTCATTGAATTAAACATTATCTGAATATTTGGCTGACAGGATAAATTCGAAAATTCTAAATATGTTGGAATAAATATGATTTCCTTTTTGAGTTGTAGTACCTGTTCATTTTACATTTAAAATATTTAAACAAAAGACTTCAAAACAACTACAGGTAAAAAGGAAGATGAAATCATTAATAGATACAGTGACTGACTAACAAAAACTTACTGTTGAAGACTTCAATCGATCGTAAGTAGTACCTGTAACTGATGTACCACTACGTGAACGTTCATCCAACTCCATTTGTAGTTGACTAAATCTCACACTTAACTCTTGATTTGTTTTACGCAGTTGTGCCAATTCTTTAGACAGTTGATTACTAGACGGTGATCGTGTGCCCAGATCGTGCAAACCAGTAGATGATGTATACTAAAGTATTGGTATAGAAATGTTATATTACTTGGTAAATAAATGAATTGTTCATTAGGTGAAGAACAATTTATCAAAGTAATCATAAAATAACAAAGTCAAATGATAGTTACAAGGATAATGTCAACCTGAAAATCAGTGGCCATCTACATTAAATATATATATATATATAAAGTCTTACAAAATCCATTTTATGTATTATTTTTATTCCCTTGGATTCCGAGTGGAACATAAGGCTTCAACAAAACATCTCCACTTCGTTATATTTTCTGCTGTCCTCTTTAGCTGAGCCTACGTATACCCATAGTCTGTCATATCTTCCTTGCATGATCTCCCCCATGTCACCCTCGGACAACACCTTCGTCACTTCTCACTGGGATTCAACCCGAGTGATGGACTGCATTGAGCGCGATGTTACTCGACAGCATCCTCAGCGTAAGCCCAATCCATCTCCATTTTCTCCTACATATCTGTTGAGCAATCGGCCCTTGGTTGATTCGTAAAACTGCAGAGTTTCTTGCTGCTAATTCTTCCTGGTTGGCTATTTGATCTTCAGCATGGAACTAGAGAAGGCAGCTGTTGATAAAAGTCGGTAACCTGTTGAAAATGCTTTTCGTGACGCGTGTGCCAAGTTTCTGACTCATACAAAAGAACTGACTGACTTAACATTGTTGTTGGAAATCCGAATCTTGTTGTTTATGCTGAGGCTGAGTGACAGCAGAGGATTTCCAAACTGGTTTCAGGTTGATGAAAGCGTATCTTGCCTTTCCGAATCTGTCTGGCTTTGGCATCTTCAGCTGTTCCGTCTGTAGTTGAAACGATGCTACCTGGATAAGTGAAGGAGGCAACCTCTGCTAAATTTCTCCCGTTGATGGTGATTGGTGCTAGTTGTTATTGCTGTTGGTTGGTTATCTTAAAAATCTATTTTACTATTGAATTATTTAAATGTTGATAATGAATTCTTTATTGTCTTATTGAAATAAATGCTTAGACACTAGGCATTACATTGAAAGTAGGGAAAATCTCTATCATTCTAGTTTGTCAAGCCCACCAAGTTCATTTTGGATTTTTATTAATAAAACCTTACGCAGAAAGGTGAAACGGGATTGAGATCACACTCTGAATAATGCAAAGTCATGACAATCATAGTCAGAACAGTAACAGTTAGAGTGTAGTCTGTGCACTGTATAGTGTTTCCAGTCTTGTAGCTTATTTCATCGTATTAATGGAATGAAGTGACTTTAATTAAATCATTCAAATCAAGAAAATACTCAGGAAAATGTATTAAGCTATATGTATTACTGAATATTTTAATAGTAGAATGGAAGATTCACACAGCAAGATGGCAGACAGCTTCCAGAAATTTAAAAAAGGGAATTCTGTCTGATGAATGAAATCACAGTAATAACTACAATTTTTAGAACTAAGAGACATTACACTTTATGAATATAAGGGATAATGTGATACTGTCTGCTGATAAAATACTGAGGAAGGAAAGGAAAAATGGAAAATTAGTATAAAGATAAGTAGAGAAAATTTGGTTAAAAATTGGGTTGGGGGCAATGAAAGAACTAGCACACCTAAACTGGTCTTCATTAATAAGTTATATTTCTAACTTAAGGGTATTTGATGGTCTTACAGACATCACTGAACTGACCAGTTGTTATTAGATAGTTGGAGGCTTTGGACCTAGATTTCGTGCCTGTTGGCACTAGTCAACAAGGCGTATCTGCAACCTTGAAGGAACTCATATCCCTTCTGTGATGGCGAGCCACCTAGCATGATGGCCATATCACAAACTTCATAAATAGTATCCGGTTTGCATCAAACAGAGGATTAGACGCATGAAACTAGTTACTTAGTGTTCCATCAAAGGGACAGACCAGTGTTAATATTTGTACAGCTAATTCTTAAGATTTGCGACCTAACACTGAGGAAACATCATTTAATTCAAGTATCCTTCCCCATTACGTGAGCAAATACTTAGTTCACCAAAAACTGGTCTTATGAAATTTGCAGGTGATATTCATTTCTATGACAGAAGTGAATGAACAGTTTTAATGTCACCTGAAGGATACTGTACCTATACAGCTTTCTATAAATATAAAGATGAGTTCATTAGACATGTAAAAAGTTTAGCAGTCTAATGACTCACCTGTGCTGCTTCCAGAACATTCAATCGAGTCGCTTTTGCGTCTAACTCTCTTTGTGTAGCTTTCAAACGGATTTCAAGTTCCGAATTTTGGAATCGTAGTCGAGTTAACTCTTGTAAATGTTGTTGTAGCTAAGTTGGGAGACAAAAATCAACAGAAAAAACCGTTTAATTGCAGAAACTTGCTTCATTTTTATGTATTAATGCTTGTAAATGGTATACAGATTTCCAATAAATGTTCAAAACAGAAAATACTAAGTGAAAATTTGGATTTATGGAATTGTTCTTCAGAATCAATCGTTATTAATTGATGAATGGTGTCATACACAATCAATAATCTAAGAGATAAGTGAAATCACATTGTGACAGATAAAATTTCGATACATATCAGCAAATGTAATCGAATTTATAAACAAAATAGGATGAAAAGCAGTTTATATTGTTTGCAGATTTCTCTTTTTTCCTTTACGTTCCCAGTGGAACATAGGGCTTCAAGCTAGAGGCTTGAAGTTCCGGTAGCAGTGGTCTTTATTTTTACTGGATGGGGTTGCTAGCCTCATGCCCAACCTTCCCTCTTTACCAGTCTTATTACTAGCTTAGAGAGGTTTGGGAGTGCGTCAGTGGCCAGGGGTCGAACCCCGGACCACATGCGTGGTTGGCGAGCATTCTACTGCTGGGCCACCGACGCACCTTGTTTGTAATTTATTTCCTACAATTTAACTCCAAGCTATTCTCAGCATTCGCTCAAATTTACCGCTCTTAGAGTAATTGTAAAAAATGTGAATGACTGATATTTTGTACTGTGATGTTCAAAAGATTACTAGCTGCACTTTTAATAAAAGAGTAGAATTTGAGCATTGTGGTAGAATATTATTCCGTATTAGATAACTGAAATTTTGCATAAATATGTCAACGACTACCGGTTAATCAACTGATTTCATGACTTCTAAGTCGCTATTGGTTCTTTTAATTTATTATACTTTCATCATGGCATGTATTTATGAGGTGTTTTTTTCCTTCACATTCCCCAGTGGAACATAGGGCTTCAAGCTAGTGGCTTGAAGTTTCTGTAGCAGTGTTTATTTTACAGGATGGGGTTGCTAGCCTCATGCCCAACCTTTCCTCTTCACTAGCATATTTCTGCTTAGGGGTAAAGGAGTGCGTCTGTGGCGATCGCGTGCGCGAAACTCTGATTCAGTAAATAAACTAGAGTGTGAGCTAAAAAAGCCTAGAAGGAAAAGATTAGATATTAATGACTATGCTGCAAGAAGTTAATTTATAACTTCATAATAGGTTACATAATAGTTTTACCCTCTCTAAAATATGTGGCACACACTAAAGTAATATTCTGGTAGCATATACAATGAAGTTTCAACTTTTTATAGAGTTCTGTGTATGAAATGTAGCATTCAAATTGAACTTAATGATTTCATTGGTTTCATGTTTGCTAAATAAGCAGTTAGAAAGCAAGTGAAACGACAGGTGAGAAATAGGTCCCACTCTGGTTGGTTTCTGACGAGCTCGGACTCTAAAGAGCGAAACGGTCATCCAGTGTTAAGGTTATCGTGATCTGGTTAGCAAGCTCTGCTGACTGATACGTACTCATCTCAGTCAATCAGTAGCATGTAGTTTTATATCAATATATCAATATCAAGTCCCCATTAAACAAATCCTGTTAATTGTCGGGCATATTTCAAATAATTAGGTAGTGAAATCTTTGAATTCATAAGTCAATAACAGAATATTAAGCCTTTTAGGGGATGTGATTTCCCTATACAGTGACCTGAATGGTAGAAAGTAAAGTTCAGCATTACATACCAGCTGCTTTCAGACATATTATTATTGTTCCCTTGGGTTCCGTGGAACATAGGACTGCAACAGTACATCTCCAGATAAATTATAATTATATTTCAATAGTTTACACACAATGATAAGCTTTTGTTTTTGGTAATATTTCAAGCAAAATTACTGCCTGTAATCGCACCAAATGTTGGTATTGTTTTGTTCCAGTTCCAACAGTTGGTGATACTCTTTAGCTGAGCTCACGATTACCCATAGTCTCTCATTTCTTCCTCGCATGATCTCCTCCATGTCACCCTAGGACGACCCATTCTTCGTTTCTCATTTGGGTTCCACTCTAGTGATAGTCTGGAGCGCAATTTCATTCGACGGTCTCCTCAGAGTATGCCCAATCCATCTCCATTTTCTTCTGCATATTTTTTGAGCAATAGGTTCTTGGTTAGTTTGTTGCCAGTCAGAGTTTCTTGTTGCTAGTTCTTCGTTGTTGGCCGTTCGATCTTCAGTAAAGAGCCAGAGAAGGCTGCTATTGGAAATGGTTTTCGTGACGCAATGCAAATTTTTGATCCATACGGAAGAACTGACTGACTTAACATTGATGTTGAAAGTCCGAATCTTCTTCTTTATGCTACTGAATGCAGAAGATTTCCAAACTGATTTCAGAGTGATGAAAGCGTATCTTGCCTTTCCGATTCTGCTTTTGACATCTTCAACCGTTCCACCTGTAGTTGAAACGATGCTTCCTAGATAAGTGGAGGAGGTAACCTCTGTTAAATCTCTCTCGTTGATGGTGATTGGTGCTGGTTGTTGTTGGTCTGTTCGTCGGTATCTTCACCACCTCCATCTTCTCTATGTTCACCTGGAGTCCTATCTTCGCTGCCAGCCTCTTCAGTCAGTTTGTTGGTTTCCACCTGTAAGTCCTTGAGTTGGTATGACATTAGACTTGAATCATCTGCGAAATCCAGATCTTCTAGAGTCTTCTTATCGGTGGTCTAGCCTATTCCTGTCTCCTCGCTCCCATGCACAGTCTGATTCATAATCCAGTCCACCACAATTAAGAATATCATCGGTGATAATAATCAGCCTTGTCTTGCCCATGTATGCACTTCGAACGCCTCGCTGAGTTTTCCGTTGTGGATCACCTGACACGTGGCATTGTCATATAGCCAGCTGTTGAATGAGGTTGATAAAGACTTGAGGCACGCCGTAGTGTTGAAGTAGTTTCCAAATTACTTCTCGGTCAACGCTGTCGAGGCCTTTTCGAAGTCGATGAATTTAAAGTAGAGTTTTGTTCGATGATGTGTAGAGTTGCAATTTGATCAGCATATAATTTGCCTTTCTTGAATGCAGCTTGTTCCTATGGGTGGAGTTCTGCATCCACTGAATCTTTTCTTCTCTCCAGGATGGCGCAACTTGGTATTTTACTTGGCGTGGACAAGAGCATGATTCTGTGCCATTCAGACAACTAAAACATGATAAACTGGTTATATATTCTGATAAATATGTGTATCTTCGTGTTTTTAAATTTTTGAAGAATATCAGATCATTGAAATTAAATAACTAGTATCAGCTGGAGTGAAGTCTTTTCTAGTATTTCATGACAGATTAAATAAATAATAATTCTTACGGTTAGAAACCCCTGCAGAGTATCACACTTAAGAGTAGGTGCAACAACCTATAGTTGGTGTCTTCGTTTAGTAGACATCTAATGAGTTAACAGAATAAGTAATATGTGGTAACCAAAAGTCTTATGAAAGCTGTGAATTCAAGCGTTGTATCTACTAGCATTCATCAAGTGACGAACAGCTTTCGCTTTGAAGAAATGTCAAGATTCTGGAAAAAATCTAGACAATTACCAGTACAGTTTCGATGTGGAAATCTCTAATTTAATGTAAATTATTTTTCTCAGTCCAACTAATGATCATTTTAATGTTTGAACTCACTGTATTTAACGCTTTATCATAATCACTGGAAGAGCGACAAATAATTTTGTGACGCTGTCGAGGTTATGATTGATAAGTCCTTTGTCAGCCAATACTGTAATCACAAACACTGATCCTAATAACATTTATGAAAAATGTGTATGCAGCAAACATATCATTTTTCAGTTATTCAGTGACTTTGTATGAAAAAATATATGCTCAACTTACCATATTTTCTTTATCTTGTAACATTTTGTTTAGCATGACCACATCTGGACTAGCCATTGGTTGGCCTGGTACTGAAGCTCTACCACCAGTTACACCTAGACCAGAAGAGGCATTCCCTATCAGTTGGAATGCACTTCCAGCTAAATGTGGTGACATAGTACCAGCACTGCCAGTATGATATTGTGTTAAATATCCTGATCTTCCAGTACCAGAAGTCGGTCCAATATTATCTCCAGCACCTGGCATTCCAGACCAGCTGCTATGAAGTAACACACTGGGGAAGAGTGGAATTGTTGACAACTATAAAAAAGAAATTTCAAAAAGAAACAAACAAAGCATTCGTTTGTTATGATTGTGAAATACAGCTTAACTTTTTTGTCTAGTCGATAACTATTGGGCTAATCCTCAGCTTTTAATGAGCCATCACTTTATGGCTTCACAGTTCGCGACTCCACGGTAGTAGCGAAGAGACTCAGGGAAGAAAACTTTCTTACTACGATGTAAATTTTTACTGTTTGTTAGTGACATCGTGTCTTTTTGTTCATTCTCTTTATCAATTTCCACTTTAGCAATGGGTGATTATTTTTCTCTTTGATAACAGTTCACTCACATATGTCTCTTGAGATTTTGATCTTAATGATTCTCTGTTATTTAAAAAAAAACATTATTGTTGTCAATGTTAATTATTCCCTAACTACTATTATTATATAACTGTAGGACCTGGTGAAGTAGCTACCCAAAAGAATATTTCTTGCTCACCAATCAGTGTTTTAAAATCATATTATTATTATTGTTAGTGTTTGTTGTACTTTGGATTTACGCCAAGCTTATTCTAGTCTTCATTATTCGTTTACTGTTCATTAATATGACCTCTGTGTTTTAACCCAACTTAATTACTATTATTTATCAGTTGGAAGGTTTCATCATAAGCCAACATCAGTTAGAGAACTATTGGAAAACCTGCAAGGAGTACTGGAAAGCGGTTTCGTCCTAGTTTGGGACTCTTCATCAGTACGCACCCACCACCAGGGTTCGAATCTGGGACCTTCTGGTTACAAGACAAGCTCGTAGACCATTAAGCCACTGGGATCCAATCCATTGGCCCATGAATTCTAACTTCTGCCAATTTATGACATAGCGCGACCACTTCACAATGTGTTCTTCGATGAGTTACTGCATCACCTTATCACTCTACTCCTTTTTTGAATAATTTTGGTAGTATTTATATTTCTTTTCATACCACTGACACAACTAACCACTTGAAACCCATGCTTTTATTTTCTTTATATTTAGATGATAGAAGAATAATTAGAGCAAACAATTGTTTACCATCAATACTTCTTCAGGCTCTATAATCATAAATCCATTAATTTTAGCATACAATAGCCAGTAAATGCAGATTACAATTATATCAGAAAGTGATGGAGAAAATCTGTAGCTCAGGTGGATGATTTTGATGTAGTTGTGTTCTCTGAGCTAGGATGGTTTGTTCGCGAAGCTTTCATTGCCTTACTACTTGTATACAAGTAGACTAGAGGGTGTGAAAACACAAAAACAAGCAATCACGTTCAAGGTCACCAGGAGAGATAACTTATAAACTCGGGAAGAAATCTAAAAGCACTGAAGATGTTGCCTAGTAGGGCAATGAAAGCTTCACAAATAAACCATCCAGCTCAGAGAACGCAACTACATCAAAATCATCCACCTGAGCTACAAATCTTCTCCATCATATCTAAGTTTTGACTATTATTTGCATCCATATAAGATGTGTATGATCGACAAGAACATAAGATAAACTAAAATGAAATGATTCAACAATATGTGTTTGTGTATGTATGTACTCAACAAAAAGTACAGGTTTCAAGGGTAAGTATAGTCAGTGGTGTGAGAGACAGTGTGAATACTACAGACAAATAAACCGACAAATGGGATGCGATAAGCAAAAACTCTAGGATGACGAATAATAATAATACTGATAAAATAATGACGACGATGTGTTGTAAATACAAAAGGACTATTGGTGAACGATTATCAGGTAATAAAGAATTTCATAAAGTTGAATGAAAACGACTGTGTAAGTACAATTTCATGTTTGAAAAGCATTACTTAATAATAAGGAAGGACGTGAAATCTGAATTCTGCTCAAGACTTAATCGGATAGTCTCACAAGCACTGGGCTCCGAGGTGAAAATAAACATATGTCAAAATCATATTTGTATACATCTCAGCTTCTTCAGGGAAATAATCAATATTAAAATATCAAGGGTATACTTGTCCAATCATGTCTCAGTTATGAATATTCATAAAAACTAATTAAAAACAAATTATATCAAATCTAATTAAGACTTTATCTAGTGGTTTCAGAAATTAATTCTTAGTTCTTTTAATTGCTTTTGTTAACTACATAAACATGTCATTTATTTATTTTATCTGATGTTCATAATGCCATTACGTTTTATACGCCATTAAACGATAATCCAAACTGATTACTATTCCATTTTGTGCTCGTACTACAATACATTTTCTGATATAATCTGGATTTACCTTTACTCGTTATTGTATGCTAACATTGGTAAATTTATAATTGCACAGCCTGAAAAAGAAGTTATTGTAAAAAACTCTCTGTACTAATTATTTTTCTTCTAAATCAGAATGTCAGAGATTCGAAAGAGTTGAAACAGTAAACAAAAAGCAGGAAACTTACCACAGCACGATCCTGATCAGTTAAAGAATGTTCACGTCCTTGTGATAACTTGATCAATGCTGCTACACGTAAGTTTGCTTCATGATTGGAGCGTCGTAGCTTTTCTAGTTCAGGCAAATAGTTCTGGAACTAGAAGAAAATAAGCTTGAATATTAAACTGGTGAACTAAAACATTAAATATCCGTGTTCAGATGTTTTTAGACTAATGTCTATATATCGTGTATGACAACAACAGCAATGCATCCACACAAACATCTTTTCATCACTAGTTAATCTTATTTGTTTTGAAATTGTTACTTAAATTTTACCGATTTTTATTCTACATCTGATAAACTATTAAGAACTCGAAACGGTCAAGAGAATCATTTGAAAATTCCAAGCTGTTTAGCATTCAAGTAAAATAGTGCTCCAGTGGATGAATATTTATTGAGAAAGTACTTGTTTAGTGGTAACTAGTGATAGGTTTCACCAGCTGAATAGTGCTGCATCCCAATAATTGACAATGCTTCCATTGAGGCTCTAACAAGATGTTAGTAGACTCATAAACATATAACTTCATAATTATTCTCGTTAGAAAAAGGGATAAGTCAAGATGTTGTCATACTTTTCACTCGTTACTAGTAGTCTAGGAGAAAACGCGTTTGCTTAGGAAAAAGCAGGTACTAAGTCTGTGTCCCAGTTGTAAGATGGATGCAAATATATAATATAAATTAATTCAAATGGGAGAAATGTTTCATCACAGTTCCCGCTGACAGTCGTCACCAAAAAGATGACATTACTTTGGAACTGGAGACAATGCTGAAGAAAAGAAAAGACCTTTCAGAAGTTTTCTTTATCGATGAAGCCATATTCAAAACTGTACAATCGTATACAAAAGAATTTTTCAAAGAGCTCCTATGGCAGACCATTTCAGTCAACAAACTTGAAGTAAAAATTATTAGTATACATTCAAAACATCCACTGTAGAAAATCCTGATATCTAACAATAAGATTCAGTGTAAAAAACTAACTTCTTAATTACACATTAGAAAATCTACCATTAACCTTTTATTAATGCATAGTTATTAATGTTCCCTTGGGTTCCGAGTGGAATATATGGATTCAGCAGCAAGTTACTACTTAACTATGTTTTCTAAAGGCCTCTTCAACTGGCAACATGATTTCCTATAAACTTTCATCTCCTCCTCAGACGATCTCCTCTATATCACCCTCGGGCACCCAACTCTCCGTATCCCATTCGGGTTTCACTTATGGGTCGGAAGTGTGACGTCACTCAACGGTCTCTTCAGCGCGTGTTCGATCCACATCCATCTTCTTCGACATGTTTGTTGGTTCATTGGTTCTTAGTTGGTTCGTTGCCAGAGTTCATTGTTGCTAATCCTTTCTGACCAGGCATCTGATCTTCAGAACCAATCTAACCGAGGTAGCTGTTGATAAAAGTCTGCAACCTGTTGCAAATGCTTTTAGTGACACGCCAAGTCTCTGAGCCGTATACATGAACTGACTTGAAATTGCTACTGAGAATCCGAATTTTGTCCTTTATATTGCCTGAGTGCAGATTTACAAACTGGTAAAAGTCTGCCTTACCTTTCCGATTCTGGTTTCGACATCTTCATCCGTTCCGCTTATAGATGAAATGATGCTTCCTAGACAAGTTAAGGAAGTAACTCATTTCAAATTTCTCCCGTCGATGGTGATTGGGGCTAGCTGTTGTTGCTGTTGGTCGGTTACTTTCACCACCTCCGTCTTCTTTATGTTCACCCGAAGTCCTGTCTTCACTGCTAGCCTCTTCAGCCAGTTTGTTAGTTTTCTCTTGCAAGTCGTCTAGTTATGTGACATTAAACACAAATCATCTTCTCATAGTGTCTTTCCGTCTGTTCAAAGTATTTCTGTCTTCTTGCTCCCCACGGCTTGTCTCATTATCCAGTCCAACATAATCACTTATATATTCGGTGATAGTAGGTAGCCTTGTCCCACTCTAAGCTTCACTTCAAATGCTTCGATGAGTTTTCTGTTGTGAGTCACTTAACATGTGTCGTCAACACATAGCTTTTGAATGAGGTTGATAGAGGTTTGGGGCACTCCATAATGCTGAAGTAGTTTCACGATGAACGCTATCGAAGGCGTTTTCAAAGTCGATAAATTTGAAGTAGAGATTTGACTGTCATTCTGCACCTCTTCGGTAATGATGCATAACATTGCGTTTCGATCCGCACATGATTTGTCTTTCCGACATCCAGCTTGTTCTGGGCGTAGTTTTGCATCCAGAGCATCTTTTAGTGTCTCCAGGAAGATGCGGCGTAATATTTTGCTTGAAGTGGACAGGAGCATAATTCCGTGCCAGATTTTGCAAAGACGCAATTCGCCGTCCTTTGGTAGCCCTTCTTCCAATCGGTAGGTACTTTTTCTTCCTAAATAACCAGTCATGTTATTCAGTACTTGATTCCAACTACAAGGTAAGATGCTATTACTCGATGCACTTAATATCCGCTATCCAATCATGAAAGTTATCATACAGAAATCACAACAGTCCATAACACTGTCCTGGGTTTATGACTTTGAAGAAATTATTTTCACACTGTACACATATACATATATTAATTTAGTGAGCTACTGCTACATAAAATGCAGTAAAATATGTTCCTTAATACAACCCAAAATTGTTGAATTTCTGACCATTATCACTGAATTAATACTAGAGACTAATCCAAAATATAATTCACACATATTTATTCACGGGAATCCCTATTAGTTTGTTCGAAGATTAGAAATAGAAATGAGTAATGATACTTATTTCATTGCCTGTCATTAGGAGAAAAAATTTGATATCATGATTGCTATTATTACGATTATTATTCGAGTTTCATAAATCTAGCTTATCATGTATATGTACTAGTTGAAATATTAACTTCCTGAAATCCAGTCCAAAATATCCTGTTTCGCTTTTTAGTAGCCTTTAAAACTTCTTTACCAGAACAGGTGATCCAGATAGTCTCATAAGCATCTTTTTGATATCATTGATGATACACATCTATTGGCCACACTCTGCATATACTACTGAAAACGGCAGTAGTAAGTTGGAAATTACACATTTGTAAACATCAAAATCTGTAGGAAATTGTTACATGCAAGGAATGAATTGAACAATATGGAGGTAGTTGAAGAGTCTACAGACGTCAGGTGTTCTAATGTAGGTGTAGAATCACTAAAAGTTACGGCATGCTAAGCGACTGCTTCATCGTTTTAGTAATAAACACATTGAATAACTACATTGAAACTATTAGATTCAGTATTCAGTAGACGGTCATTCAGTTTAAATCTAATGGTTCATATTGTATAACTCCTAGCACTTTCCAAAATAGTACAATTATCATTCACTAATATAGGCGACATCAGTTTGGATTAAATCCTACTTTAAGTTTTGGTGAAGAAAAATCTTTTTTCCCAGTAAATATCTTTGAAATATATTTTCCAGATTCCTTGTGAGGATGTCTGAGGAGTGAAGCCAAATAAGTGGTATTTTGCGGCAATTACCTAACACGAATTTGGAGGAGATAAAAGATCTGTAGTTTTATATTTCAACTCTGTGGTTGGATGACAACGAGCTTTCCTACGAGTTTTTATGGTCCGAACTAACACTACTGAAAAGCCCCAGAATTTGGACGAAATAATCCTCCAATGCATCTTATTTTTTTCTAATTAATATTGGTTCATTATGCGGATTAATCGAAAACCCGGAGATCATGTATGTACAAACTGGTACATTCAAATCGACATATTTTATTGTTGAACTACCTTTTGGGGTTAATCATACTAAAGTTAAGTGAAGCTGGAATAAAAGTCGAAACTAATCATCAGACTATGAATAAAAATGTAAGTGAATTTGAAACAAAATTCAGTATCTTTTTGATACTATAAGTTTATCGATTTAACCAAAGTATAATGTTTCATTCCCCTTGTTCAATGTCCTATACTATAGTAAAATATACCATGAAGTATCAAAATCAAGAAATACTAGTTGAGTAGGTTTACTCCCACAACTTTTTTTCTTATTGTATTACTCATTTTTATTAAGGGTAATAATTGCATGATGTTTTTAATTGGTGTATATAGGAGAAATTTCGATCTTACCACTTAACTTCAAAGTGACAGGTCTTCAATGAGGAAGCTTTTCGCCAAAAAAAACATGGAATACGTCCTACATAGTATTGGGTGAAAAGTTGTTATTTCAATACGGATATCCATTGATATCCTGTCTGACTAAAGAGTATAAAATAAATGGGAAGTTGCATCTGCCCCGAATGTGTGACACATAACTGAATCGCTATACAGATGATTAACGTGCATCCAACTTTCTTTGAGTTGCATCGCTTTTGGTGCAGGTGAAACGTCTGAATGTCTATTAAATAGCGGTTTATATTAAACAACAATCCACTGAATTATATCGCTTTTATTTGAGTCTAATGAAAATACTGTTGGACAACGCAGAATTTAAGCGTAAAGTTGTCAACCTCCATCGTTCCACTTGACTTAGATGTATACTACACCCTTTCATTGATTGTTTGCATCAACTTTCTGTGTTACGGAAATTACAGAAAAGTCATGAGAAAACCTGAAAGGATCAGATAAAGATCTATTATCGATCTGACAAACAGGACCTGAGGTAAATGACTAGGAGTGGAATGACTCGGATGAGATCAAAGTGACCTGGACAAACTCAAACGTTATCTTCGTCTGTTAACCATTTTACCTTTCCTTGTTTCAATCCGACAACATTCTAAAACTTTGATCGTATGGTTTTCATTTTTGTCATTGATTTTTATTCCTTCTATGCATATATATTTATATATAAGCGACATCACCTTGAACAGTTACGCAGTTATGTCATGTGCAATATTAATAGCGCCTGATAGTTTGTATTTTTTTAAGTTACCACTTGCAAAACAGTCAAGTTTAATTAGCATCTTTTATAATATGAACTTTTTCTCTGAAAAAGCATATTTCCCATTACAACAGAACCAAAGTTCGTAGTATCCTGTAACTACTACTACTGAAACAACTCAGTTTTCTGTTTCATTTTTGGAATCTAGTCCACGAAAATTAATCTTGAAACGCAAAACTGAAAGAATTCTTAAGACATTTTTAAACTATTCACTCAACTTTTACCGAAGATCCAACTACCCGCTGAAGAAAACTGATACACTAAGATGAAAAACAAAATAAAGGCAAGCACCTGGCTGTGCTGACTGTGATTCATTAACATTAGTTTCACTTACACATTCTTGTTCAAGTGTTTTCAACTGATTCTCACGATCGCTTAATTCTTCTTGAGCCGAGGCCAGCTGAGCTGATAGATTATTTCTTTCGCGTTGGAAGTGTTCCAGATTACTGCGTAGTTCACGCACCTAAGAAGAGATGGAAGTGTTTGAGAAACTATTAATTTCATATTTCAATAAACGATGTGTGACAATGGGATTTTGATCATCAGTCATTCATCTAATGAGTTATAACCAAAAGAATTCACTACATCTTAATTCACACTAGTCGAAACACGTATTTTGATAAATTTAATTTTTGAAGTTGATGAAGAGAATATTTTAGCAGTAAAACTAGTGTTGCATACCTGTTGTTCTAGATGTCTTGTCTCATCATCTCGACCGGAAGCGTAAATTTCACGTTCAGCTGTTAAACGCACACTTTCTCTTAATGCTTGTTCAAGTTCACGAATTCTTCCATCTTTTTCTGACATGATACTCTAGAGAGAAATGTACAAATACCGAACATACACTTTTTTTAATAAATTTATAGTTTTCAAACAAAATCAACTAGAAAAACATCAAAAAAGAAAGGTGACTCAACAGTAACAGTGTTATTTTTGCACTTCTTAGCTGTGTACATCATTACAAAACACCGCCTCTTTTATTCAAAGGAACTCATGAACTTTCTTTCAGTTTAAAAAAAAATTTTCACTAGCTTTATGTTGTAAATTAACCAACTGGAATGTAAGCTAAGTAGTAGGTTTTTTCATGCGAGTTTAGATTCTATTGAAAGGAAGTTTAAAATCAGATTTCAGGGGAATAAACGTATTTCTAAACAGTGGAATATTATATTAGGTTGCTTTAGTTGACATAATAAACATGATGCCTTAGTAAAATAATGACAGGGATTTGAATTGTATTTTTTTGAAAAATATATTTATTAATATTTAATTTTTTAAATTTTTTATTATTTATTTAATGTAAGGTTTGTCCTCTTCACCCGCTGTTACCAGGCGGTTGGACCGGGGCTTACAAAGTCCAACTAGAGAAAACTTCCATACTCCAGTTCAGCTCATGATGAAATCTGTAACAAACCTATTTATTTGTTTATTCCTTAGAAATGATTGACAACTATGGACTAAATGTAGTGTGATAAATAAATAAATTCATGTAACATTGAAGCGCTATGATTTCGCTGTCAGTCTTCACGATATATTGAGTTGGACCAGCCGGACCAATTCATTCTTAGTAATCATTAGTCACTAGCAAAAACTGTCTGCATTTCGAATAATTGAGTGTCAAGATCTTCAACTTCGACACCCGACTTGGGGAATTCGAATCTTTCACACACATTTTATTATAAAATGATGTAGTATAATCTTAGGAGGTTTTCAAATATCAAAATATGATTTTCCTGAACCTTTTACTGTGTGGGTTTCTTCTGCTAATCTAGCTAGACCCAGAGCTTAAATTATTCCAAAATATTTGTAACACCTTTGACCTGGAATGTTTTATAGATTTCTTTAAGTTAGATATCCAGTTAACTAATGCTCTACAAACACAAAATCTATGTCCAGAGTATCTGCCAAGTGATTTCCAAAACTCAACACTAAACTTTATTGAATTGTCCATAGATATTAAGTGTTATCACCACTAAGAGAATAAATATTCACCCGCCTGCATCTTGTCATCTCAAATACAAATCAAATCTATTATCAATAAATGTTTATCTTTTACCTTTAAGATTTCCGTGTCAGACTGAGCATTCTCCTCTCTTTGCCTTGATTCTTCAAGTTGTTGAGTTAATTTTTTCCTTTCTGTTTGTTGATTTCGTTTCAAATTGTTCAAATTATTTTGTGCTTCACGAAGCTCTCTAAAACAGAAAAAAAACTAGTTTATGTATGAGTAGAAAGGATTATAGACTAATTCAAATGTCCTGAATAGACGCTTTATAATAAGCTTGGTGGTGGTTATAGTAACGTTAACTGAAGCTGAAACTCAGTAACTTCAGTAGACAGACACTTCTAATTTCTCTAGAACGAAGCATAACAAGGAAATGACGAAGAGTTTATAGATGAGAAATAAGTAACCCTCCGCGAAATTAACTCTATAATAACTAGAATGTGATGATTTATTTTAAAAAGTAGTGTTTATTGTATATCGTTATAAAACTGCCACTAAAAGACATCTACAGCTGCGCTGCATCCAGCGCGACGGTCACAAGTAACATAGGAACATTAGTGTCACGAATAACAACTATTATTTTCTAAAATTAATTTTCTGAAGTTACTCTAATATTGCTTTCCTTTAGATTATTTTCATCTATGTTAACGGTTCAGGAAATCTTTCGACAGCTGTCAAGTATGAAGGCAGTTTCCATTAACGTGTCAAAAGTTTCATCATACACGACGTCGTCTTAAAGTATTTTTGGGGTAGTGATGTGTGACCGAGTTCAACTAAGGTTCAGTATCATGCATGAATGGGGTTAGTCTCTGATAACATTACTGATGTCGTCGATTTGCTGAAAAAGTCAGTAGTGTGTGGAACAGGATATTTATTTTCATTTTACTCCTTGTTCATTAGCATACAATTGTTTTGCATTTCACCCGAAATCTTCACTATTATGAGCGGGAATTGTGAGTTATTAAATGAAAACATTAGCCTAAGCTTCCGTCGGTTCTAAAGGATATTTTCAGATTAACCTGACCCAATGTGTGAGATAATGAAGTTAGGGACAATCCACCTATCATAATATAGTTGGTAATTATAATTCGCTTCTGATTCCACTTTAATGCAAATGAGATATGTTGCGTGAAAAGATTTCAAGGAATTAAGCCTATGTGCTGAAAAAATAAGAGACAAAATAGTAACTTTGTTAGAAGTTGAACTGGTCAAAAAACTTAATAGCACTGATTGAAAACAACACTTTCATAATGAAGAATTTCCCTGCGAGAGTGATGCTATCTGTCTATACCATGTTTATGATGGATCTGTTTAGCTGTCTTTCAGATCACAACTCTGGATACCAGTTCTTTTGAAGATCAAAGCATTTAAAATCCTAGAAAAGACTTCCACTACTACGTATTTAGTTCGAATTACGATGGAATTATCTTGAATGAAAGAAAAATTACGACATTATCCCCAATGAAATTAATCCCGGTAGACTTGACAACTGATATAAATCATCTCATGTTAACTTATTTATTTGATGTAGCTTACGGTGATAGACTGCTATATACTGAACCCTTAAGGAACGTGCTGTTTGATGGTTCTTCGATAAATGGAATCAAGTACTGTTCGGATTTACAACGTTAAATCTGTGATTGTTTAGATTCCGTAATGTAATCTCCTTAGATTGAACAATTTGTAAACAAACTGTGACATTTCCAGATATCAGTCAGAGGTTTCAGGCAACACAATTCATACTAAACAACTGTCCACCTTCTATTTTACAAATACAAATGTAACACAGAACAAATAAAACTGGTTAATTTCAAACCCAGTTTGGTGGAAATTTATTTTTGAAGACTAGTCAGTGACTAGTGTAGCGTGTCTAGTCCTTTGTTTGGTGCAAACTGAATTCTATCAGTCGAGTTTGCAATGTGGCCAGCATTCTAGGTGGCGCACTTTGAATTTTTGATATTAGATGGTTGGGAGCAATCCGAAGGAAGCCTTGGACCTAGTTTCCATGCTAGTTGGCACTCGTCAGCAACTTGACCGATAGAATTCAGTCTACACAAAAAAGCATTAGACACAATACACTAGTCACTCACTAGTCGCCAGTCAAAGTATCCAATACGGTCCTACAGAAGCTCAGTCGCGATCCCGAATAGCTCAGGGATAACCTCTCTGACTGCAGCAATTGGTGACGCGGATTCGAATCTCAGAAGAGACATGAGTTTCTTCAAGGTTGGAAATTTATGTTTTCAAAACACTATAATGAAGAGACTCTAGCATCAGTTATTTTGTAGGACTCTAGTATATGAAATTCTTTAGTTTTCAGGCAAACACCAGTTTCTAATAAAATGCATACATATAATGCCATCCATATTTCTCTATTATTTCACGGTTTGAATAGAAAACTATCGACACATAAACCTTGACATATTTAAGTAGTTTGTCCAGTCAAGTCAGAGTTGTTAATAAATTATGAAAATTAACACGGTAAAAACTAGAACTCATGTTAGCAATAGATTAATTGGTGAACTAAACGGAAGAAATAAAAGTAACTGCCTCTTTTTAAGGTCATACTCTTCTTTCAATCGATATTATATTCAACATTACAGGTCGATAATAAGAAAGGAGAAATATGAGGACAGGGAAATAGACGAATGTCATTTTGATGTAAGCATGTTCAATATAGGTCATTCATGCCTAAAGATCTAAATATGACGGAATACATTTTTAAGTGATGAAAATAGTATAATCAGTCGGTGAATAATAGTGACCTCAGTTATTTTGTCCACATTTTTTCTTTCATGGACATCAAAAACAGAACAACTAAAAATCAAAACGTGCTGGAAGCTTATTTCAAAGCTTATCTCTCAATTTTAGGATTATGCAGCAGTATATAACTATAGCCTGATATTAGGTTTGGATATCAAATCCTGTACTAGACATGTTTCCATTCATCCCCTGTATTAGAAATCGATGGGTTTTTTTGTTTACTGATGTTAGTCGTTTAACTGATTACTTTCTAGTCTCATATTGCCTTTACTTGACTCCGCTTGCCATGGATTCGCGTGTGAAATAGTTAAGAAGCTGGTTATCATTGAATACTAGAAGTTTGTTGACTCGGTAAATTAACAACTACACATTACTGAAAAAAATCCTAATCTAGATGAAACAACTGTCCAGTGTTCCTTGTGCTCAGTGTTTCTCTAAATGTTGTCCTGAAAAGTGCTTTAAAATCAACTAACCTTACTCAATTCTACTAAATGATTGGCACAATTGTATTAACTAAGTTTACAACATGGCTGTAGGCTAAATGATGAAGTGTAAACGAACGGTGAGAATAAGAAAGCTTTCTTGGGAAAACTTTTTCTCTTGGCTAATAAGTATCTAAAAATGTGAAGTCTACTTGAAACAAAACCTTAACTTGATTATGTTTATTTACCTCAAGATTGCATGCAAAGTGAGACACATTGGCTGTAAATTGGACTAAATTTATCATAACAAATATTCATTTGTAGTGCCTAAAGATAGACCTTTAAGTTATTTTATGCATTTCATAAAATCAAGAAAGAATAGGGAACAATCTACAAAAGATTTTCATGTCATATAAGAATTGTAATGCACGTCAAAACTGAAGTACAGAAGAATATCCTTTATCCTTTCTTGGATGTCCTTGATATAACCGATGGAATAACCTCACTATTTCTTTGAGAAAATCAAAGTAATCTAAAGACTAAATGACGTTATTGAATGAACAATACTGATTTAAAGTTTAATCATGGATTGCTATCAGTTAGAGAACCACTGAAAACCAGGGAGTAGCGGACAGATGTTTTTTCTAGTCTGATGCACCCTAGTGACCGGCTGCAGCTGCAAAGGGGAGTTGACCGAACTCCTAGTAAGACGTCATGACCAGTGAAGTCTATCAGGTCGGGAGTGAGGACAAATACTAGCTGATGACATTGGCTGGTGGTCGTGCCAAAATTTGGAATTCATGGGCTAATGTATCGGGTCCCAGTGATTGAATACTCTCCGGGCTCGTCATGTAACTCGTACGTCCTACTTTCGAACCCCAACGGGTGAGCACTGCCCAGTATTCCCATGGTTTTCAGTGGTACTGGAACTGATATCAATCCATGGTCAAACCTGAAACAAATCAAATCCCTACGAACTAACTCTTGAAAATAATACTGAATTCATCAGCTGTGTACCTGGGTAGAATCATCTCAAAGCTTCCGCACTGGTAATGCAATCTCAGTCTAGTTAAGTGATTAAAATGAACCGCTATGACACAAAAAGTAAGATTAGTCTAATCTAACAATCATCATAGATGAATAAACCAGAAATATTCAAGTATCAGATGTATGAAGTGATATCTGATTCAAAAGTGTCAAGAATTAACTATTCAACAAAGTGAACAACAGTCGAAATATACATAAAACTATATTTTCAAGTTTGGTTTTCGTAGGGATTTTGTTTCGATTGCATGGAGGATTTCATCATGAGTTGACATCAGTTACAGAACCACTGGAAAACCTGGGAGTACTGGGCAGCTGTTTCGTCCTAGTTTGGGACTGTTCAGCAGTACGCACCCACCGACACGGTTCGAACCCAGGACCTTCTGGTTACGAGGCGAGCTCGTAATCTGATGCTCACTAGCGACTGACCTATTCAGGCAGTTAACCTGGTCTAATGGAAGCCGTGACCTGTAGGGTAAAGTAGGTTGAAGATGAGGCGGCAACTCATCGAAGAAGACATTGCGAAATGGTCGCGCTATGTCGTGAATTGGCAAAAGTTAGAATTCAAGGACCATTGGATCGGGTCCCAGTGGCTCAATGGTCTACGAGCTCGCCTTGTAACCAGAAGGTCCTGGGTTCGAATCCTGGTGGGCGCGTACTGATGAAGAGTCCCAAACTAGGACGTAGGAAACAGCTGTCCAGTACTCCCAGGTTTTCCAGTGGTTCTCTAACTGATGTCGACTCATAATGAAATCCTCCATGAAATAAAACTATATACTTCTGATTGATTGAGATGAGTAGTTGTACACCAATCATATCGATAAGTAGTTCCTGCTAGCCAGATCGAGGTGATCTAAACACCAGATGGCTGTTTCGTTCGTTTGGGGGCCGAGCTCATATCCCGTTTGACTCAGCTCAGAGAGCCAAATCGGCTCCGATCTGGTGAGCAAGCAATACTAGTTGATATGAGTGGTATACAACCACTAATCTCAATTAATCAGTAGCATATAGCCTTATGCAAATATACTTGCTTTCTTGATTGCCATTTATAGTATTGAGTAGGTCACATAATGTCATCTGAATAATTTTGAATAGGGCAAGAACAACAGATTTTGCAGAATAATATGGTACCACCATTTACTTCGTTGACTTCTCATCAGCTGCTTACAGCCTAAATAAATTATTAAGTTTATGTACAGAAAAGGTCTAATATACTTGCAAATTTTACATGACGTCAGTTGACTGGAGGTTCTGGACTTAGTGAACAGTGCTCAGAAACTTACGTTAATATAGGTCATGAGGTGAAAATCCCAAATTCCTTTAAAATTATCAATAGAAAAAAGCACAGTTCTTCTCAGGTTTGCCGAAGCAATCTCTATCAAACGTCTGAAACCCAATTTGTGTTCAGGAAGAAGCAGTTATCAGTCTTTCCTTGCCCACCTGGTAACTGGATATCTTTATTCTCTCTTTCATTTGATTACGTAGTCTTTGGCTTTAACCTCACCCCCTTCATTGATATAGTGTAATTTTCTTGTCTCTTGTTTCTATGATTTGAGTTGAACTCAGTACATTGTCACCCAATTTATTAGTTACTCATCATCTTACGTACCTCTCGTCTTTATTACATAACTCCTTTATCATTGTATGCATACATTTACTTTGCTTAAACTTGAACTGCCTGTGTAAAACTATACAAGCGTAATTTTCTGAGCACTGCTCACTAATTCCGGAACCTTCTGTAAACTGACATCATGTAATATTTGCATATGTGTTAAAACTTTTCTGTAAATAAAGTTAATAATTTATTTAGGCTGTAAGCAGTTGATGAGAAGCCAACGAGATAAATGATGGTACCATATTATTCTACACAATCCACTGTTGTTCTTGCTGTATTCAAACTCATAATGGGGAGTTATTGTCTGAATAGTTTTGGTTTTCAAAGGAAACTGTGATGAAGATTTCGCCCCTCGAACTGTTTACATTCCAAACTGTTAATTGATTTTCAAACTGTAAGTTTGATAAACAGTCGACAGATATTCTACCTTTTTGCATATCAGTTTCAGTTTTTTTGCTCGAAGTTATCTGTTTAGCTTCTTAACTAGTGGGAAGACTGCTGTGCAAAGAATATTATTTATTCCATAACCTGATATTAGTATTTGACTGATTACAGAATTTTAACTTAGTGTGTAGCAAACAAATTGACAATCAAAATTTTGCCACATTTATGATCATATTAATGTACAAAAGAACTGACACAGCAATACCATTATTTGATGATAGTTGCCAGTACTTACCTAAATGAAAACTGAGGAACAATACATCGCAAAAAACATTCTTTGACTAGGATCTCAACACTACTATAGAAATGAGCCTCAATCATCAGCTAATCAATTTAACTAGCCAGCTGAACATTTCAAGTTCATTTGTAAATTTTCCAACTTCATCACGGGTTCGTCTCTTAACGATCGATGACACACTTACGACTTTTAGAATGTAGTTCATGAATTTTCAAAATTCCTCATCTTCTAATGTTTGAGTGATTGGATAAAGCCACAGAACCTCGTATCATAAGTATGCCTCATAGGGATGCACAAAAACATTTACACTCACACGGAATTACGTAATATTCACGCATTAACAGTGCTTATGTTATACAAAAACTAACTCAAAGAACAAAGAACTTACTCTTTTAATTCATGCAATTGATTTTCCTTATCAAATTTCTCGGTATCGATTGTACGAAGTAGACGATCAACCTCTGCTTGAAGTTTAGATGAAGTTTCCATGTAATGACTCAGTTGACCTTCTAGCTCTGCTGTCCTCTGAATGAATTTCATATCTGACTCAGTAGTTATCTGTTTTTGAAGCTGATAAATTGAAGATAGAAAAATGGAATATGTGAGAGTAGAACTATGATGAACAGAAAGGGAAAAAAAGGTGATTTTTACAAATATCTTAGTCAGTCTTTTCCCTCATTCAAACAACTTTATTTTATCTTTACTAAGATCAAATTTCATTTGGTAACTTTCCTTCCAGTAATAATGACCTCAAAATAGCTTTATACCAGGTCATAAACTAACAAAAAATAACACTATCAGTTCATTTTTAAAAGTCACAATAACTGTAACTTACTCTAGTTAAGTTATACCATTAGTTTATTTTGAAATCCCAGTGGTCTCTAAGAGAAGCATTTTGTAAGAGTAGTAGTATTCAAAACATTCACAAACTGATTATATTTTTAAAATTATATCTACAGTTGGTAAATTGGTAAACATCAGAAGAACTTATCGTTATTTTTAGTTGATAAAAAGTCTACTAGAGCTTAAAAGCCACAGAGATTTACAGACTATACTAATAAGTTACACGAATTATTTCAATAACACTGAGTTTATCTCAAAAATTACAAAGGAAATCTTATGGAATATCTTCATGTAAGGTGGAATAAAATGTGGATGAGAAATAAATGATCTGGTCTCAACATAACCTTACAAAATGACAATATCAGTTCAAATATAATAAAAAATTTTCTCACATATACAAAGATAAACGTCTCTTATCCTTTTTAGTGATTTAACGACATAGACTAGCCATATGTAAACCTTTACTTTTTTGAATTTCCGATAATCAATACTTCCGTAAAGCTGTTATTATGAAACAGAAGAACACTAGGAAAAACAATCTCATCATTAGAACTTAGAGTTACTGAAATAATTGGATCACTGCCAGTGGTGTTCTTATACTTTCAGCTGGGGGAATGGAATTTATTCATCTTGTAAGTATACGAAGCAGAATTGAGTCGAAAATCGACAGGATTTGAGGAAGAGTAAAAGTAGGACAAAAACAAGCAAATTTTCCAACTGTATGTCGGCAGATTGTTTCTCAAGTGACAGAGCAACTTACTGAATCACAGTTATTTTGTTCTATCTCGAAATCTATATAAGGTCGTTGGTGTAGACTAATGATGAACTGTGAAATACAGCGGAACTATTAATCAGTATTCTTTGATTTATAGTGATTCTGATTTTGATTTGTGAAGAGATATTTTTTCAAATCTAGCATTCATTTGCTTCATATATGAACAGAAATTCGGAAACGATGTTTCATTATATCATTACTGACTGGCTAATAATAAGACCGAGTTTATATGGACAAATGTCAAAAATAGTTCGCACTGAGTTTTTGTTTATGAGTGGAAGTCATGTATGTGTGATATCGAATACAACTGCCACTACAACCTCATAAATTAAGCAAACTTGATTGGTAAAACCTAGTCAGTGGTTCAGCGGTAGAACGCTCGCCAACCACGCATGTGGTCCGGTGTTCGATACCTAAGTGACGCACTCCTAGACCCCACTAAGCTTGTGGTAAGGCCGGTAAAGGGAAAGTTGGGCATGAAGCTAGCAACCCCACCCTATATAAAATGATAATCACTGCTATCGACACTTCAAAGCTGAAGTTTGAAGCTATATATTCCATTGGGAACGTAAAAGGAATAAAATGTGTTGTTTAATATAGATAAAGGAGTCTCTGGTAGCTTTGAAGATTTCAAAATATATAAATATTCTAGTAAAGAACAAAAGTGAGTTTTATCCTCCCAAATCTGTTAGTGTACTGAAAGAATAAATAATTCATGGAAGTGGTCAAACAAATGCACATTCTCTTAGTGAATTAAGGTAGTATCCCATATACACAGTTTAATAGACTTACAAGTTGTTTCTCCATTTGAAGTGTAGTCACCTCTGAATTTCGTTGACTCAGTTGCGTTTGCAGTTGACTAATTTCAGCTTCCATTTTAAAACGAGATGTTCGATAATCGCTTGTTTCCTCGCGTATTTCTAACAACTGTGTTGCCTTCTCATCTAATTCTTTTTGTAAAGCATCTAGACGATTTCTTAAATCACCGTTCAAACGTTTTTGTGTTTCTAACTCTTCGACGATTTCTGAATCACTTCTTTGCCGAGCTTCTTTCAAACTGTGAAATGTAAAGAAAGGTAACATTGTCATTTTCATTTTTTTTCTTGTGACTATATTCATTATTGAACTCAAAAATGATGCAAGCATCATTCAAAACTTTATAAATGCCTATTGACTTTTATACACAAGAGTTCTAAATTCATTTCTAGATGATGTTAATTCTGAAGACTAATAAAAAAAATATCAAACAACGGAAGTCATAAACAGTCCATTACAAAAGTAAATCACCACATCTCAGAATGCCAAGAAAAAGGATATCGACTGCAGGAGTAAGATAAACTTTAAAGGTGCTTTACATTAACTGATTTTTTATGTAGGTTGTAAACACAAGATGGTTGTAAAAAAACGGCAGAAGTACAAATACATTTACAACAATTATTATTTTAATTTTTTTATTACAGCTTGATTCCACACCGTATTTTCGGTACAAGTATGGAATTTTCAGCATGTGATATCGGTAGCCCAAATTTTGCAGGCCGACCACTGATATCAGGTATGCGTCGGCAGGGGGTCGAACCCCGGACCATGTGCATGGTCGGCGAGAGTCCTAACCACTGTGCCACCGACGCACTAGGTTATTATCCAGATTCAACATTTTATCATGAATGTTTCATCATCAAGTTAGATGAATTCATTAGCATTTACTACAATAAATTTTTATTAGTGAAGCAATACGGAACATTCTAGGTCTGGAGAACAAACGACAGTGAATACTTGTGTATTATTAATGTTACACTATGAATAATTTATGCCCAGCGATTTGAAGTATCCTAAAGATATCGGCTAACAAACCCACGATTGCGTACGTTACTTGGAAGATTAATGAATAACCTATTAAACACTAAATTATGTTAGAAATATTTCTTGATGAGAAACACTGACATACAGGGTGGATAGCATCTCACCATACATAGATCAGGTTACAAGCAAAACAGTTGATGAGGCTATGAGTAACTACCTTGTCTGAAACTTCGTTAACTCAGTGAATTTACTGCAATACAGAATACTTTTACCAGTCATCTATTATCAAGTATATGAGGTTTTTTCATAACACTTATCGCCAGTGTATTCGTCATGAAAAATAGTGACTAGAAGAGAGACAAGCATAGCTAGTATGCTACCTCCTTTAGATATATGTTTGAATATCTGTAACCGTTATACGTTGGTAAATTCTTTATTAACCTTATTATTTATGTTGAGGCTCAGTGGTTGTTGTGAGATGCATTATAACTGACTCAATTCTTCAGATAAGAGAAAACAATCAGTTCACTTAGCATTTCAATCCCTAAACTGTCAGTAGGGACCAATCAAAAATTATTGTTTGACAGTTACTAAATAAACCTTATGCCATAAAATCTGATATTTTTGTTCAAGCTGTGTAACCAAAGCGATCATTTTATTAATGTTTTCATAGTGTGTGTAATTTTAATGTATCAGCTCTATGACAAAATAAAGTTGATCTGTGATTTTGATTGTATTTGAAGCAGTGGTAATCATTCGTGATTTGTGTGTAAACAATTAAAATCACCAATACAATAGGGTTATTCTGACAAGTGTATTTGAATGTGATAACACTCGACACCAATTATGTATGTTTATTTAGTTAAGGTCATCAATTCTCTTGTGTTTGAAGTTATGTACAATTTGTCGGTTCCTGGCACGGATTCCGTATGTGCCACACATTCTTCTCAGATTGACACAATTTCCCTACTTGAGCATTAAATCACAGTAACGACTATACGGCGTCTAGCCTTTGCAGCAAGCTAGACAGCTTTGGTAGAACTCATCCTTCGTTCATCCCCTGCAGGGAGAATTATTATCTACCGGATCATAAGTAATGTTTTTCTGCTCTAGTACTTAAAGCTATCCCAACACCAGCTAATCCTCGTGAGCTAGCCGTCGCATCTCCTGACACCTCAAGGTGAATTTTGCAGATTCATCCTGTTGGCCAGGTGGGGTTAGGTGAATAACCACACTTGGGTCCTGTATGCGTGTTTCTGAAACACAACATACATCAATGGCTCGATGAGAGTTTGGCTAGTGATGCTTGTTGTCCTATTTGGTAAAGTGTCTAACATTAAATGCTTCTAAATCGTGGTGGCTTTTTGGCTTCCCTCGTTATCAGTGCACACAGAGTGAAGGGGAAGTGAAGAGCCAACAAGTAGAGGAGTTGCATTGGTAGAAGAAGGCAAGATAATAGAGATGAAGATGAAGACAGATGACGAGATTAAGGTTTTCCAATACTTGTTCTCCGTTATTACTATTCCTTTGTCTCACACCTCTGTTTACTGTCTATATTATGCATTTCTTCTACTTTCTTCTCTTGCTTTGCGTGCTACATAGATTGTGGCGACTTGAACTGCCGCACATATGTGCGAAGTTCTATGTCGAAAACCGACCGACCGACCGACCGTATTTGAATGTGATTAATGTTTCAAATATTCTTTTTAAAGTAATTAACATCTAAGCCACTGTATACTTCAGATTCTGAAAAAACAGAAAAATTTCGATGAAAATTTTAAACCTTTAATTTTACTAACAGTATAGCCATTCTTTCATTCAAATGACAAGTTAACCTTATCAGCGTTCAATGATCCTTCCTTTTCATCCATTTACGAATAAGGTAATGAGCAGTCATCAAAAACTGACGTTGTATGGATAGTCCTCATTAGAAACAGAATTCTAAATGCTTTCTCAAATTTTCTTGAAGTTTATAGTTGTACAATAAGCTGTTAGACGTTCACTTATTCTCCTGTATTTTAGCTTTGCTTTGTGATTTATATTCATTCTGACTTTCACTTTCGCTAGACAACACATTTTTTGCTGTTTGAGATGGCCTTGTCAGTGACTTATTACAAATTCGTAAAAATGTAAATAGTTTAGGTATTGGTTTGTAGGGATCTGATTGATTGGTCACAGGATTTCATCGTGAGCTGACATCGGTTAGATGACCACTGGGAAGACTGAGAGTACTGGACAGCTGTCTTGTCCCAGTTGGGGACTCCTCAGCAGTACGCACCCACCACCTGGGCTCGAACCCAGGACCTTCTGGTGACAAGGCGAGCTAGCTCGTAGACCATTAAGCCATTCACTGGGACACGATCCAATGGTCAACCCATGAATTCCAACTTCTGCCAATTCACGACATAGCGCGACCACTATTCAATGTCTTCGGCCAGTATTTATCCTCACATCTGACCTGCTGTACCCCACTGGTCACGACTTCCCACTAGAACCCCATGTAACTACCTACCTGAATAGGACCAGTCGCTAGTGAGTACCTCATTGATATTCAGGTATTGGTTTGTAGGGATTTGTAGGGTTCTAGTGGGAAGTCGTGACCAGTGGGGTACAGCAGGTCAGATGTGAGGACAAATACTGGCCGAAGACACTGACTAGCGGTCACGCTATGTCGTGAATTGGCAGAAGTTGGAATTCATGGGTTGGCCATTGGATCGTGTCCCAGTGAATGGCTTAATGGTCTACGAGCTAGCTCGCCTTGTAACCAGAAGGTCCTGGGTTCGAGCCCAGGTGGTGGGTGCGTACTGCTGAGGAGTCCCCAACTGGGACAAGACAGCTGTCCAGTACTCCCAGTCTTCCCAATGGTCATCTAACCGATGTCAGCTCACGATGAAATCCTGTAACCAAATAGTTTATATTGAAGTAACTTCAGATATAATTGGTTGTATACTATTTGGCACCAAAAGAATAGACACTGTTTTGTGAGTTAGATCTGAAGAATGAGACAGCACTTATCAGTTTTCTACTCCAGTTAGTTAATTTCCACTAGCTAGAATATGAAAAGTCTGTCACAGTCTGTCTATTCAAATGAATTAAATTAAATTAAATGCGTTAAGATACTTCCTCACCGTTCAATTTGACGATCTTTATCCTTCAGTGTTTCTTCCCAACCAATACGACTACCGTCTGTACCAATACGTTCTGTGCTGATACGAGAAATACGAGCTTGAACTGTTGCCAATTGTGTCTCTTTATCATTTAATAGATCTTCCACATTTTCAATCTAAATTATTCAAGAAAAATATACAGCTAATTTGAATATTTATAGGAGTTATGATATACTACTTTATCGAGAGGAAAGAATATTTTTATTGTGTTCTACTTCATTAAAGCCAAAGTTGATTATCAATGCAAATGAAGGATATAAGACAGATTTTGTAGGAAATAGTTATTTGACACACTGTCGTATTATCTGCGAATGTTTCTGTCTCTTCTACAACTAATTACGTCATTTGTTTACTTGTATTTCAGAAAACACTTTCTTAGTAGTTAATTTAAGACATTCCATACTTTTAATGTTATCTGACTGGTGGATGATAGTAGTGGAATCTAGAACATTTGCTCCGCACTATTTAAAACTGATCACGTGGACCTGTTTGCATTACCTTTCGAGATTTACGTATAATATAATAATAAAGCTTTATTTCAGACAATGTGCAAACATTCGGTACAGAAATTTTCAGCCTATTTAGTTCCAAAATATTTCCTCTTCATAGAGGGTTTACACGCGAAAGTAGTAATCTGAAGTTCATCATATAACGTAATGTTGTTACCTATAAAGAGAGAACCAAATCAGTAGATTTTTCTTCATTTCCTTCAAGAATTGCACAGTGTTTTGTTGAAAGCTAATTAAATATGTGCGCGAGTCTATGTAGTGATCATTTGATATAATTGCATGATTTAAAGCGATAAGAAACGGAGGAGACTTTAAGCACTTTGATGGATGGGAATTCTGGTAGCCCATGAGTTTAAGCGTGCATCAGTTGTACAGCAGTAGAATGCCCGCCAATCACGCATATAGTCTGGGGTTTGATCTTCAGCCGAGGCACTCCTAAATCTCGCTAAGCCTGTAGTAAGATCGGTAAAGAGGGAAGGTTGAGCATGAGGCTAGCAACCCCAGTTTGTAAAAATAAATACCACTGCTACCGGAACTTCAAAGCTGTAGCTTGAAGCCCTATGTGCTGCACTAGGAAAATAAAAGGAATAAAATTTAAAAAATAATAAATTAGTTTAAGCAGGCTGCCGTATATTCAGGATTAATGTGTTGTTACTCCCGAGGAGGATAGCATCTACTACCTTCCAACATTCAGTCATTTTTTTCAGTGAAATCTTCTTAATGCAATGTATTGTTCTTTCAGATCACATTTAGCAATCCTCTTTAGTCATAATGTTGACAATGGGTTTCTTTGTAAAATTAGTAGTTAACTTACAAAGAAGGATGATCAGGTTACTACATGGAGAATAACCGTACCCGACCACTTTGACGTGGCAACCAGGAATGAAGTTTAACATGACCTTATATTACTTGCAGTTATATAATCTAGTTAAGTAATGAAAGCTCTTTAGTTAATCTAACCATTTAAAAGTATGTGACGCCACACGAATCAACTACGTCATAATTTATTCTTCATCAACTACTTCATTATAGTCAAATATCCTGATAAATTTATACCATATGCGATTTTTACTTAAACTGTATTAAACAAGTGGAAATCTTATGCCTTTCACCTCTGAGTAGTCAAATTTCCATCTTAAGAGGCTTCATGTCAAGGATTTTCGTATTCATGATTGATTAGCTTCGAATAGAGGCTTTGACCTATACATACACTTGTTTCGTGTTGATAAGCTGAGTAACTCATCAAAGAATACAGTGGTTAGACTAATTTGTCTCTTAATTTCTATATATATATTCCGTGTTTCTACCAACAACAGAAAAAAGTATTAGTTTATTTTAATCATGCTTGGTGGAGCATGTTAACTTATCTATTGCCAGTTCAACAACTTTAGTTCAAAGATTTACTAATAGTATCAACTTTTATTTGATATAAATTTAGGTTGTTTTTTTTTAACTCCAAGTAGAATTGATTTCTGCATAAAAATTGGTTGAGAATAATTAGTACACTTTTTAAGATTCAAGTGATTTGAAGACATAGCCCAATTACAAATTTATATTAGTTTATATAAATCTGAAATTTATCTTTTTGCTTTCAACTAGGAAGTCTTTGCAATGTGAACTTCTAAGTATAGTATTAAATTCATTAAGTCATTTGGAGGAAAGTTCTGTATGATATTATTTCTAGGTTTATTGACACTTATCACTAAAGTTTGTCTAGATTTCCAAGATCATCAACCTACCCTTGGGAAATTAACTGGTGTCAAACAGTGAAAAAGTCTAAAAGTTTGACAGCTAACGTGAACGATGTAGTGGCGAATCTTAAGAACAACCGAGGTAAGCAAAGCGACTGAAGAAAATTTGAAATACGCCTTGTGGCTGGGGGACATCAAGAATGAAGTTTCAGTTCATTGTTTTCTGTTGAATGATTTACTACGTTTAATACCGAATTCGTTGCTGTCACGTGACCTAGACAGGTTGCAGGCGAAAATGACGGACTGACATTTGCATGAATATCCTGTAAGTTACGTAGGTTACTCACTATTCAGTGAACAGTCCACATGTTTTTGGTTCCTACAATTAGACGACTTAATGATTGTATGGTTGAGTTTTACTACGCTTTGAATAAACAAACATATCTTACCTACATTTTTCTTCATTAGTCAACCTAAATTGCATGGAGGATTTCATCATGAGCTGACATCAGTTAGAGAACCACTGGAAAACCTGGGAGTACTGGACAGCTGTTTCGTCCTAGTTTGGGACAGCAGGTTGAAGATGAGGCAGTAACTCATCGAAGAAGACATTGCGAAATGGTCGCGCTATGTCGTGAATTGGCAGAAGTTAGAATTCAAGGACCATTGGATCGGGTCCCAGTGGCTCAATGGTCTACGAGCTAGCTCACCTTGTAACCAGAAGGTCCTGGGTTCGAATCTCGGTGGGTGCGTACTGATGAAGAGTCCGAAACTAGGACGAAACAGCTGTCCAGTACTCCCAGGTTTTCCAGTGGTTCTCTAACTGATGTCAGCTCATGATGAAATCCTCCATGCAATCAAACAAAATCCCTACAAGACCAATACTTGAAAATCAACCTAAATTGTAAAATAAGATTGCTAAACTCCTGTCAAACCATTTGATATCAGTGAAATTTCCTGTACTGTGACGTGCTGATGAAGTCTCATAGACTAAGATGAAAAACTATTCTGTACTCCTGTGTAGTTCATTTGACCGGATTTGGTAATTTCCTTTAGTCTTGCGGTCAGATAGGAAATTAACGTCAATTTTCGAAAACAGGATATAATGATAATGAATATATATGTTGCACAAGAGTTGACTTCCTTGACTTCTAGGTTCACTGTTTAACACTATTTTATAATGGGTCCAAAAATTAGTAGAAGGACCATGATTCATTGAAATATCAAGTAGATTCAGTTAACCAAAAATCATTTCTTGGATTCTAAAACTGATTGCTTCCATAGATTTCTCGTTATTAAGGGCTATTTTTGCTTGAATTTAGTTATGTATGATGATATATCAGTTCAATAATTCTTTTTGTTCATTTTGAAAGACACAATGGCCTTCTTTACTCTGATTGTATCTTCATATATATTAACAATAAAAGTAAGATTACTCAGTGAAATTTAAGTTTTCTCATATGTTTTGTGAATGTGGACTCCCGTTTCGTTTATCATAATATCCAACTCTCATAGAAATGTATATTATTTTTTCTTGATATGGTAAGTGTAAAATGCCTTAAGTTGGATAAACCTTACCAACCTAGTAACCTAGAACAGATCGGGCATTTTGGAGACTGTTAAAAACAGTCCCTAATTCATGGATACCTCATACTTCAAATGTATATTCATCAGTAAATTGTATCTGAAGTCTGAATAAACGTTGTACTTTAGTCACTGAAGTTTTAAGTAAACTGCGTAATTCTCATCTAAAACTCTGGGAACTGTAAAAATATTTTAGCATTGTTTTTCTACACTGCCCTGTATCATTAACCAAAAACAGTTTTTTAAATTCACCTCCAAAACTGGATGATTGTGTGCTTATCCAGTAACCTAATGGCCTTGTAATCAATCTCTTTAAGAGTTGTGGGTTTGAACTGATGAATAATTCTATAGTGAAATGAAAGACGTGTTCATTGCCTTTTTTTCTATCAGTAGCTGTCTTGCTTGGTAAAGATACAGAATGAAATCAACCTTGAGATCAATAGAATTCTCGTGACCCTAAAGACTTGGTGAAACTTAGGTATGACTTAAATAAAGCAACAGTTCATGAAATTGTGGTGATGCCACATCCAGTTTCCAGTGTGGTTTAATTTAGAACAAAGAATGCGATAAGCCTAGCATCAATGAGACGTGGCAAATAGCATATTCTTTATATTCTTCATGAACACAAACGGTCTCGAATGGCTGACATTATCTACCGTATTGCTCCTAAGGTAAATAAGCACACAGATTAAAACGAATTTGGACACAGTTATTCCACAATATTTGAACAGTTAAACAAAATGCTGGCTATTGTTAACCTTCAAAATCATCCCTTCTAACCAGAAACATAAGCTAACCATTTACCTGAGATTGTTTACTGCAGTTACACTAGTCAAAAAAACAAACAACTCAGTTTCGTTCTACTGAATAAATTCGCTCAATGTTAACCAATCAATAATGAAGGCTTAAAAAAAATTAATATGTAGATTCATCACAATTTGGTTATGATAATCATCGAAAACTCTAATTGACTGTCAATCACAAAATATATCATTGAAGTTCACTGAACTACTTTTTTTTGAATATGTGGAGAGATATTCTGACAGTCATGACAAAATTAATGCTATTCATTCCCATCAAAACAAACGTATCCTGTAATGACCATAGGATAATTACATCATTTGCATTGATTATACTATAACGGAAATGACCTTTTACTGATCTATAAACCACAGGAAGACAGAATTATTACGTGTCCGAATTATCCATCATCTAATAGACACTCTAATATAACACACAAACATAATATATTAAAGTCAATAAATATGTTCAGCCTACCTTTCTTTGTAATAATGATATCTTTCTGTCTTTCATATCCATTTGATCTTTGAGTTCAGTTAATTCTTGTTCAATTTGTCGTTTTGCTGATTGAGCTGTATTTAAAGCTTTTGTCTTTTTCTCCAGAAGACTTTCTTTTTCTTTTATTCTTTTACGAAAATCTTCAGCCTTTTGTTGTTGTTGTTGTTGTTGCGTTGATGGTTGTGATGATGATGATAATGATAATTATGGTAATGATGAATAAGGAAGGTTGAAGAAGTCATGTGAGGATATATACACACGCACACGTACACGCAAACGCACACGCACATGCATTTAGATAATTACATACGAATAGTAAGCAGATGAAGTCACTTACAGTAATTCTCTCTCTTGCTCTTACTGTCTTCAGCATCTTTTAATAATTATGATCAAGATTATAAGAATTATGTTTATATATATTTTTCAGTCATAGGATTAACGTAGCATATCACCTTAGTTAATAGAAACAATGTAATAGGCATAATTAAAAGGCTATGGCAGTGAAAGAGCGTATAAAAAACTGAACAGTTTAAATCATTGACCTTTTTCCCCGCTTTATGCAAAATTATTGTTTATACGACAACTACAGTTGTCTGTTGATGATTGCCCTGCTAACATGACCCCAATACATAATTATGAAGATAAACAATAATTCGATCATTTGAAAAATACTGTTAATTAAAGGAGAAATATCCTCCTTCTTAGATAATTATTACGCTATAATTCACCTCGGATGCCGTTAGTGAGTAGTAGTAGAGTACAATAGTAATAGTAGGCTAAATCCACCGATTAGTTGCATTTCTTAGTGGAATTCAAATGACTAATCATTTTGATTTATTTCTAGATTAAATTTTTCTATGAATTTTCGATGATCTCAAAAATAAAAAAAGATAAATTAGGTGGAAATAATTGCAAGATATTTTCAGAAAAGAACGTGATAACTAGTCTAGATCCTAGTTGCAGAGTTCTATTATCATGAACCAGATAATTAATTTGGATAACTTGATGTTGCAAGAAGCATATAACTTCATCCCAGCATCATAACAAAAGCAGATACTCAGTTTTAGTTGTCAATAGACGTTTATTGATTAAGAATTTATTACGGCAAGTTGTCTAAGTCACAAAATACTTTTGGGAATTCTATGTGGTCTTGCATAGTAGATGAGGTGATATGATATACCGGATTTAACTGAAAATAAAACTTATGAACAAGAATAGTTAGTTGCACGATAGATATTGAGTAACTAGAAGATGCAGTTACCGAAATTACGTTAAATTGCTGGGGTTATTACTTAGTGAATGTTGGATTATGTGAGTATTACTAGTAGCAATCGAATGTTTCGTTTTCAGTCCAATTTTATTCAAATTTTCGATATACATTTACGGTAGATTTATCTAAACTTCGCCATGATAGACAAATAGATATCACGCATAAGATGAAACTGACTCAGCGAAAGAAATAAAAAGGGTCGAATATGAGGTATGCAAAGGAGAGCACGGAAAATGTGGTAATATTTTCTGCAAAGATGTATGTGGAAATAAAATGTCGATACATCGACGTTATCATGATCCCTTCATAGTCATAATGCCTAAAGTTTCCAACAGTCTGCTTCACTCTAGTAGAAGCTATTTAACCTGAAATACTATGATTATGCATCTTTATATCATTATTATTCATTATGTTCCCTACAGTCCTCTTCAGCTGATCACACGATTACCCATAAGCTTTCATCTCCTCCTCACACGATCTCCTTCATGTAACCCTCGGAAACCCAACTTGCCATTTCCTATTGAGGTTTCACTCGAGGGTCTGGGGTGCGATGTTATTTGACGGTATCCTCAGCATGTGCTCGATTCATCTCCATTTTCTTCTACATATTTGTTGAACAACAGGTTCTTAGTCGGTTTGTTCACAGAGTTTCTGCTGCTAATTCTTTCTGGATATTTGGCCTTCAGTATGGAACAAACGCAGCTGTTGATAAAAGTCTGAAGCCTGTTGAAGATGGTTCTCGTTACGCACCAACTCTCTGACTTATATCGAAGAACTGGATTAACAGTGGTGTTGGAAATCTGATTTTCGTTCTTTACTATAAGTGAGGCACATTTCCACACTGATTTCACAGCAATGAATATCTGTTTTGCCTTTTCAAAGTCGATGAAGTCACCGGACAGATTCGACTACCATCCTGTGCTGTGTTGAGCAGAGTTCTGTATCCAATGCATTTTGAAGTCTCTCCAGGATGACGCAACTTCGTATTTTTCTTGGCGTAGACAAGAGCATGATTCTGCGCCAGTTCTTGAAGAGGCAGATTATCTATATAGTTTTAAGTAATCCTAAAATTTACAAAATATTCTGTTCCCAATTCGGATCTTATGGCTAAATGATATTGAGCTTGGAAAAGGTGAACTCATAATTGCAGCATCGATAAAGCGAAAAATGATGGATATATCTTAATGAGAAGTTGAAAACCAATAATCTACCTTTCGACGAAGCAAACTATCTTGGAAATAAAAAGTTATAACTACATAAGAGCCTGCTATCAGTGAATATAAATTCTTGACTGAAAGACTTAGAACAATAAAAGACAGTGAAAACAATTTCATAAGCCTATTTACGTACAAACACACACACACACTTACATCTGCTGTCAGCATAGAGATTTTGTGTTCACGTGTACTAACTTGCTCTTTCAAAACATTTATATGATGATTTTGATCCTGTTGTTGTTTGTCAACCATTTCTAAACGTGACTGTAAAGTATAGAGTTCACATTCTCGTTTAGATATCTCACCGTTCAACATTTCAATCTGAATGTGAAAAGAAACAAAATTCGAAGAAAATATAAAATTTCACTGAAATAGTAAACAATAAGTTGAACTGATAAACAATCTTCAGTTTCACATTATAAACTGTATGCCAACTGTCTCTTATATATGAAGATTAACAACAGATTTAATTTATTTCTACTGAAGGGATTACAGTTAGTTTGAAATTATGACCCAGCGATTAAAAATATAGTTTTTGGAGGACTGTGTCTTCCTTTTAATCTAGATAGTTTAAACTTAGTCATGACCACATCTAAAGCTAAAAATACCAAAAGCTTTCACAGGACCTATTAATTTATCATAGCAGAATAGTTGAGCAACGCCAGCTTAAACATATATATATGTATATATACAATGGGTTATTGAATAATTATTTAAAATGAGGACGAAACCATGAGATTATTCATTTCGAAGTAGTTGGTCCCCTGAGTAAATGCAAACCAAAGTAGCCAATCGGAATCACCAAGGCCTCAAGCGTTGAAGTTTCAATAATGGTAGTGATATTTTTATGACGTGGGGTTACTAGCCCCTAGGCAAATCTTCCTTCTCTTTCAGGCTTGATAACAACTAGTAAACTAGACGAGACTTAACAGTGTGTGGGTAGGGAGATGAATCTAGACCAGTTGTGCGACTGGCAAGCGGTCTACCATTGGACCACCGATGTATAACTGGTTTTTGGATATGCATTTCAAAAACACCATTCCTTGAAGCCGTATAGCTTGAATCGATAAGTCATTAAAAAAGGCAGAAGAGTTTTATTGATGGAGTAAATCAGTGAGCTAACACATTCATGGTAAGTTGAAAAGGCAGAAAACAGACAGACAATTGATTTATTTTATTCAAAAGGAAAAATTATTTGCACAAAAGTCCTCTCAATTATAGAAGAAATAGCTTCATAATTAAGCACCTTAATTTGGCTACCTAAGCTGAATGTATCTGTATAAACCACTGATGAGTGAAAAGACTGCGCATCATTTAAACCGCCTGGATATTTGCTAGCGAGCAATATTAGTCAGTATGAGCAGCTTCCAACTGATCATATCGTGTCGCATTTTCTTACACAAAGCCGACAAAAAAATGCATCTATATTGCATTCATTTAGTAGCTTCCACTGTGCTGAGAGCTGTCTACTAGCCAAATTGGTAGACAGTAATCTACGTCAATATTTACGTTCCCAAGATTTATCGTGAGAAACAACCAATCGGAAGACTGTGTTTGTTTGTTTACATATCCATAGTAATGTACATGAAAACATATATAAATATGCGTTGATTTCCTTAATAAATGATCTGTTGCCTGACTCTTGCCTTCTGTCGTTACACCACTACATAAACACTGCGTCAAGCATTCCTGTTTACAGATGGAAATTATAATGATGTATATGTAGCTTTACAAGCCTGTTGAGTTACACTATTTATCTGCACATTTCAAAGTTCTAATTCATTAATTTTTGGAAGTCAATAGAAAGACGACAATCAAAACGTTTTTGTATATCAACAGAACTCAGTGGGAAACTGAGATGAAAGATACCATATTCCTATTACCAGTCACATTAAGCTACATAGAAAAGCAGAGTGAACAATTTGTAGGGTCGAAACTCACTAATTTCTCTGGAAAAAATACAGCTGTAAATCTGGTCAACCGATATAAACACCTAATTGCCCATGTGCTCATACCCAGCCAGGAGTACAGTTTTTCTATTTGGCCAGGAACACAGTGCTAACAATACTTACTCTAACGGTAGCTTCTGCTAACTTTCACAGTAGCACCTCGGGAAATAAGCATTACATCCAGTGAGATACGAAAGCACAACTAGAATATCAAACCAGTGACAACTGCTCAACAGGAGTGCAGGGAATATGTGTTTTTGTATCTTAATACTGAAAACCAAAATGTCGTTAGTTCACGTGTACGTCGATAAAGTCACATATTTATGTATTTCAACCCGTCTGTATAACGTATCTCATTACTGTAAGTTGTAGGTCAATGTGAAGTAAAAATAAGCTTACGGCTATTTAAAGGTGCACGGACAACAGTTTCTTTGTGACATTCTAATGGTTTGACGAGATTTCATTGGTGTCACAGATGTAATCAAATGAAAAGTTATCATATCCACAGGGGAATGTCAATAAACAATAGTTTCATATTAATTGAAGAGTTTTGAATAACATAGATAAACAAAATTTAAACTATATTACTCAAATCATACAGTGAACATTCCAGCTGAAAATTAGAAGTTATCTTCAAACTAACTGCCATTAAAATATATATATAATCTAAGCAGTAGTCAAAAAATCACTGACCTCTTAGCTTTAGAAATACACTGAAACAATCCGTATATTGATTGGTCACCGTGAAGTAACACCTATCATGTATCTAGTTCTTAGTGTTGGCTCTGACTGAAATCTGTCGGTTAAGTTGGCAATGCGGTCACTAAATTTGCTTATTCGCCAATAATATTCAGCACCAACATTAAGGACAAAACACATAGCATTGGTTGCTCTCAACTGACCAATCAGTGTATTTATTACAGTCCCAAAAAAGGTCAACTGTCAGCCCAAATAGCTTAGTGGTAATGTCTATTACTGTAGCACTGGGTAACTTTTATTCGGATCTCTAATGGGAGCATCCGTTCCTTCGAGGCTGCCGATACTGTTTGTTGGCAAGTGCTAATAAACGTAAGACCTTGGTCCAAAGTTTTCTACCCCCAATACTAATACTATCCTCATGAGAATGTAACATGTGAATTTTAATATGGAAATAATCACGAGAAGCTTTGAGACATCAAGATTTCAGTGAGTGATTACTGACAGATTCGAATGTACCCAACGCCGTCCCAATACCTGCAAGTCATTGATTCGACACTAAGGTAATAAGGACTACTATGCGCTCTACTGGGTTGTTAAGACGGAAAACAACCATAAAACAATGGTGTGTATGGAGTGCATTAAACTTCAATTGTACCATAAAGTATTTCTGTGAAATCTTAAAATTTATGTGATAGTAATAAAAAGGAATAACAGTAATAATTAGATAACGGGTGGTAGTCAGTTTTATTATACTCTGATTTTATTTTGAAAAAAGGAATTTTGAGAAAAAAATTCTTTTCAAAACAAGAAGTCATATGTTTCTTTCCCAGTCGATATTGTAATCAATTGGATTATTTCCTCTTTCTCATATAGTAATTCGCCCCCCCCCCGCCTAACACGCAAATACGTCTATCTCCTTCTCCCTCTCTCTCTCTCTCTTTTTCTACACTCCTTTCTTTTCCATTGGATTATTTATTACTTGACAGAACAACAAACAGATGAGAGAATGGAAGAAGAAAAAGCAGAAAGCCCATCTAAATATGATATACCGTATAGTGGGGAATAAATTACAAATTTTTTATTTCCATATTGTCACTGTGTTAGTTCAGAAAGTCTGTCAAAACGCTAGTGAACACGACTGTTTGCATGTCGACTTCTAAGAAAAATTTTACAAATTATACAATAACTTAACTTGAGGTTACATTGATGATTTTTGAATTAATCAATATCTATTGAGCCAGTTATTTGGACCACACATAAGCTGAATAAGCATTAGTATCGTTCATAAAATACTAATGCTATAATGTTTACTTCAGTGAATGGCTTGCATCAGCTTAACACACAGAGAAAGCTTGAATTCAACCAACTTATTTTTGAGTACAGATTTGCATTTCCCCCAGTCATGACAATAGACAAAATGAGTTCCCTTGCTAAAAGAAAAATTATACCTACGCTCTGTTTTTTTAATTAGGTCTGTTAAAAAAACAACTATCCTCTTGTTTGAGATTCATATTTCGAGTTCCTAATTCTATTGTTACCACTCTTCCTATCTACGAAATATGAAACTTTACCTTAATATCATGAGCTTACTAGGCTAACCATTCGTTTTGCTTTCCTTAGTGGCTTCACCTTATTATTGCCTTTATCGTTACATGATAATCATCAATGTTCCTTATTTTTATTAAAACAAAGGAAGGAAGTGGAGCGATAATCAAAATTTCATTTCATCGAAAACCAAGATACTTTGATATCATGATGTAATTTATTTTTTGGTCAGAATAGTCTTATAGAAAAAAGGTTCATGTTTCCTTCACCCATCAAAATAATGCAAAATAAATTCTTCCATTTTAAATTAGTTTTTTTATCCGGCACAATAGTACAATATAATATATGGTAATATTGTTATATAATGCCGCGCCAAATAAACTTATCAAATATGGAATTATGTTTTACCATAGTGCCTGAATTTTACTCTAATATTTTTTTACACCAATAAAAGTCATCGAATGTCAATCTGCTTATCTTTCGTGGTGTTCTGTCGCTTGGTCACCTATATGGTACAATTTAGGTATGTTAGTGCATGCTGTATCCTTAATTACATCACAAACCACGCGTTCACTTCTCAAGTAGATGCCTTATCTCTGTGTTTCTACTCCTGTAAAATTGCGTCATTGTAATGAGACCTGGACATTTACAAACCTTAATTTGACTCTTTTATTTCAATCTCTTCCTGTCAAACCTTATATATCTACATATATACATACAATTTTTGAATACCAAGTTGCAAAAGTTCTTATACTTTAGCTCTTCTGCAAGCTCTAGACTTTGTTATGATAGTTTCCTGTGAGGTACTACAGAGGGTGATACGTGACCTCGTAGCGGTAGCTCTACTTTAAATAATCAAGGTTCGAACAGTAACAAAATTACTACAACACACGTATATTCGTGCTACAATAACTATGTTTTCCCACTGACTTTTGAGTACTTTATTATGAATGCTTCATTACCAAGGGTTGTTACTACCCTCTTTCATAAAAAAATTGTATATAAATCCGGTTGTACAGCTTAGTGAATGAAGTCACCGATAAGTAGCTGTCAATGGATGTGAACATTGAACGTTTGTTTACTGGAACTGGCAGCCATTGGTGAGCAACTCGAAGGCGCGAATGGTTCGATCGCTTGCAAGTTGAATGAAGGCGGAAACAAATACGAATAAAAGTACTTTATAACTTCATTTGTACTTAACATTTGTTTGTAGACTTTGTATTTTGTCTCGCTTTAATTGCCAAACAATATAATTTCGTTCAAGGAATACTGGTGTTTTGGATTTAAAGTTGAGATATATACATAGTATTTATCGGTTCAAACGAAGACCTCTTCATTACAATAGGAACTTAGGGCAAAGTTCCTTGACAGTAGCCTTTTGTCTGAATTACTTGTTTTGTTTTCAATCTTGTACCACTCATAACAGTTTATTCGCAGCTGTGAAAATGAGATTTTTATTTTTTTGATTACATTCCATTAACTTACAATAAAATCCAAACTTTTTTGCATAAAATCAATGTGAATTCATATACACACAGGAAATACATCATGTCATTATCTCATCAACTGTTTCCCTTCTTAGTTAACTAATTAGTCTATTCAGATGCTTAGTTTGTGCCAAATAGGTTAACTTCAAACGCAGAACTATTCACAAAGCGACCTAGTCTACGTATCTTCCTAAGCGGCATTCATCAGCAATTTATATGGGAATTTGATTTATTCAGCGTTGAAGTTAAAGTTTTTAAAACTAAGTATTCATATTTAATGTTATTACAGTACGAGGCCTAGTGGCAGAGTTCGACTGACAGATTTTAGTCAGTACTAAAGAAAGATATTTCTTTTCCAAGCGTGGTCACAGCTGTGAATATATCTATTAGGTAGACATGTGGGATAGAAATTAAGGTTTCGTTATAAAATAAGCAGCTTTAATGGGACAAGGGAATAATTCCCTTTTTCTACAATATCATATTTACCTTTATCTGGATGTCTGAAATTAGCGACCTGAAATTATCAACCCCACCCCGTAAAAAAACACCACCACAGCAACTGAAACTTCAGAGCTAAAGCTTGAAACCTTATGTTCCACTTAGAACACAAAGGAGTGAAGACGAACTATCAATCAGTCTTAACTACTATGGACATCCGTGGATACTGACGAAGAATAAAAAGAGAGAACAAAACAACTGTATAGTGCTGGCAGCTTTTTAATATTTCTTCAACTGGTCTCGGTCACAGTAAGAATGTATATCTTAAACTTTGTTATATCCTACAAATTCATATTTAATGTATGGTTCCAGTGACTGCAGGATATGCATCACTTTAACTGAAAATATCCTAAATTATTTTAGATCCAATGCACATATGAGGTATCTCCGAGTTCTAAACAATGCCTTATTAGTTGGTTCTTGTTAGCATATCACAGTAATTGATTACAATATAGATTTTTAATATTGAAAATGACGACATGCAACAAATTATCAACTTGAATTGCTAGATTCAGTGGTTTGAAAAATTTGTATGCAGTGTGTGTATATGATACCCATTATTGTTTGAAATTCGTCTTTCTCAATCAAAATAAAAAAACAAAACAAAAGCCAACATAAACAAAACAATTTTGCCATTTGTTTTCCTTAGCATTCTCACTGGGAAATACAAATTTCTAACAGTAATAAACTAAAATGGTTTTATTCAGAAGGCATGAAAACGAAAGTTGCCATCATCTTAATACTGGAAATAAAAGTAGTATGTAAGTTAGCACAAAAAGGGAAACAGTGAGAACAGTATTAACACAAATTCAGTACTCACCTTGGATTTTAAAATACGTTCATTACTTCGAAATACTTGTAATGTTTTATCCAAATCATCAATTCCACTACTGGTTGATGTATTCGGTGTAATGAGACCATCATCTCGAAGACGAGTAATTTCATCCTCTAAAAGGCGTATTTCATTTTCTAATGTTAGAATTTTTGATTCCTTTTGAAAAAGAAATATTTAGAAGAATGACAGAAGAAAATAAAAGTTCAGTTAATAAATTGTTATATATAAATGTAATTACAATTCTGAGTTGTTTTTTATTCCTTTACGTTTCCAGTGGAACCTAGATCTTCAAGCTGGAGTCTTGAAGTTCGGTATCAGTGGTATTTATTTCTACGGGATGGGGTTGCTAGCTTCATGCCCAACCTTCCCTCTTTACCAGTTTTATTAGTGGCTTAGCGAGGTTAAGGTGTGCGTCGGTGGCCAGGGATCGAACCTCGGACCACATGCGTGGTTTGCGAGCATTCTACCGCTGTGCCACCAACGCACACAATTCTGAGTTAAACAGAAGGAATTACAATGAAAATATTAGAAGCATGTTATCAATGGACGGAAAAGTCTTTCTTAAAGCCACATTTGTTGTTTTTATGATGGCTTAATAAGACATAAACAAAGACTGAAGGAGAACAATATCATCTCAGAGATTCGAATTAGCTCTGTTCAACTTTAAAATTTTTGTCTCTACCCCTAATCTTTCAATACGACTAATAATTCTTTGTATTATTTGATGTATGACGTCTGGAACACAATTTATTGTTCATAATCACGTCATAATGCTTATGAACAATAAATCGCGTTCCAGATGTCATTCAGTAAATAATATTTATTTCACTATTATATCACATATCAAAGAAACAAACTAATGTTGATTTTTAAATCATTTTCTTTGGTATTTATTGAATACTCCTTCAAAATATTTTTAGACTGAAAGTTTGATGACAAGGAATAGCGTGTTGTAAAGGCAGACCAAATGGGTTTCATGAAATTCATGAAAAACATGCAAACATTAGACAGTGAATAGAATTTGATGTTACTTTTGAAAAGTTGAGATATGAAAGAAAATTTCTTTCAGTATAAGGAATCGTCATCATTGAATAATAATCTATTGAATTGCCTTTTTGACGTTCAAAACAACGAGTGAAGGGTTAGAGTTTCTTTGAGAATACCATTACTCTGATGAAAATACACTCAATTAAATTAATTAATGAGTCTTAAATAGAGAGATATGCACTTTTTAGCTTTTGATACTGTTATCAAATGAATAATATTACATCATATTATTATTAATGTTCCACATCTCCACTTCATTCTATTTTCTACTGTTCTCTTCAACTGGTTAGCCACACGATTGTCTATAATCTCTCATCTCCTCCTCACACAATCTCCTCCATGTCAGCCTAGGACGACTCACTCGTCACTTCTCATTTGGATTCCACTCGAGTGATGGCCCGCATTCAGCATGATGTCATTCGACGACCTCCTGAACGTATGCCCGACTCATCTCAATTTTCTCCCACATATTTGTTGAGTGATCGGCTCTTGGTTGGTTTGTTGCCAGAGTTTTTTGTTACTAATTCTTTCTGGCCGGCCATTCGATCTTCGGTATGGAGTCAGCGAGGGGGGAGGGGCAGCTGTTGATGAAAGTCTGTGATAGCCTGTTGGAAATCCTTTCCGTTACACGCAGTGCAAGTTTCTGACCCGTATAGAAGGACTGACTTGACATTGGTGTTGAAAATCCGAATCTTGTTGTTTATGCTGGCTGAGTGCAGAAGATTTCCAAACTGGTTTCAGGTTGATGAAGGCGTATCTTGCCTTTCCGAATCTGTCTGACTTTGACATCTTCATCCGTTCTAACTGCCTGTAGTTGAAACCGTGCTTCCTAGATAAGTGAGGGAGGTGACCTCTATTAAATCTCTCCCGTTGATGGTGATTGGTGCTGGTACATTACTGTATTTTGTAAAAGTTTTACAACCTGGATAGGTTTTAGGTCAATGCTACAGTGACGTAGTGAATGGAATTAAGAGTTTTTCGGGATTTATCTTGTGAATATGAACAAATTTCAGTTGTGAAGAGAAAGTATTCAGTGACTCATTTTATTCTATCAATCATGCTGAATGAACAAGAGAAATAAACGATGGAAGATCTGATTACTCATTTAAATTCCTCTTAGGACTGACAAACGCACAAAATGTACCTACGAAAGTCTTCAGAAAACATTCAGGCATCCAATGTGAAAATTGTTGAAAAAAAACATAGTAGTTAATTTCAGGAAGAAACGTTTTCACTAAATTAAATGATTTATCCCAGAGATTTTTTATGCTTTGTATCATATTGGAGACATGCACAGAAAACTGGTTGATTTTATGCAACACGTGGCTCCCTATGCTTGAATTCTACGGTAGATAAGACTATCAACTGTCAGTTATCTGCGACAGAGTTCTACCAGTGATGTAAGATAATTTAAATGTTTTCCTACAAAAGCCATTATGGATAAGATTTGAAGAGGACATAAATTGCCACAGTGGTGCAGCTGTGTCGTGAAAGTGTATATCGACAAAGACGAAACCTAGGACAAACGGGACTTCTTCTAAATTAGCTCTGAATACTTAACAATGGATTTGATAAACTGTGGTCAGCTGACGTAAAACTGACATTTAAATGAATCGTTATATATGTATTTCCCTGATATACTGGAATATGCATCACTGAAAATGGTTACGAATGTAATTTTAAACATAAGTCTGAAAATTGTGGTAAATGGAGTTCTGCGTACTAAAAAAGTCAAGGCTGTATGTTAATAAGGTTTTCAGTGGTGAAAATATCAAAGTTATCCAGATTATACTAAACGAAATACTTCTAACTATGCTTTTTAGTGGCATGAAATCATCTAATCTAACTAGCTTGGTCATCAAATTGGATTAACTAAGTAACCTGAATCAACAAACCCATTGTTTAATTAAGATCAGAGATAAAATGTAGGGAAATAATCAATGTTTCGTCGTAGAATATAGTATAATGTGGAATGATAGAGGAGGGCTTTATGTATCATCTACTCAGAAGTAACTAACGTAACACTTTAAATCACTTTTGTAATCATTTAAGCTGAGCCGTTAGAAGAATTCATTTTTGTTATCTTATATATTACATCTTTTTGCTGAACGCAACACAATTTCCTTTTGAAGATATTGCTGATGAAGTCTTATGATCTGAAAGTTTCATATTTGTGCTTACTAAATATAATAGAATAAATGACAAGCGAGTAAAAGTCATATTCTTACACGTATATAGTTTATGAAGCCTAGATGTTTGACTTCCTGTTGCATTTTTCACAACAGTCCATAACACCAAAAATTGTCTCAACTACAGGAGGAACGGACGAGGATGTCAAATCGAGAATCAGGAAGGCGAGAAACACATTCATCAACCTGAAACCAATCTGAAAATCTTCGTCACTCAGCATCAACAACAAAATTCGCATTTTCAATACAAACGTCAAGTCAGTCACTTCTTCTATACGGATCAGAAACTTGGCCAGTGTGTCACAAAGAATATTTCCAACAGGTTCCAGACCTTTATCAACAGCTGTCTTCGTTCTATACTCAAGATCAGATGACCGGAAAGAATCACCAACAAGGAACTATGGGAACAAACAAAACAAGAACCGATCGCCCAACAAATATGCAGGAGAAAGTGGAGATGGATTGGACACTCGCTGAGGAGGCCGTTGGGTGACATCGCGCGTTAGGCCAATGCTCGAGTGGAACCCGAAAGGGAAGTGGCGAGTGGGACGTCCAAGGGTGACATGGAGGAGATCGTGTGAAGAGGAATTGAAAGAGTATGGACTAACATGGATGCAGATGAAAAGTACAGCAGAAGACAGAAGCAAGTGGAGACGCGTAGTTGCAGCCTTATGTTCCACTAGGAACCCAAGGGAACAATAATAATCATAAACATAACATTAAAACAAGAAATGAGAGAGACTATGAAAGGAGTAAAGGCTTCTCGTCTCAGGATTCAAATCATCCTTTGGGAGTCTACTGATTCTTATTCAGCGATCTAATAACTAATTAGTGACGGAAATCCGACAACAGATCACATCTCCTTTCACTTTACATTTTCAACATTCTCTTCTGTATGAAGCTAGATGTCGTAAATAAGAGATAGTTTAGTCAACAAGAATAGCATTGTTGTTGTATTTCTGTTTCTCTTTATAAGTGGAATGGGAGTCTAACTGACAAAAGAATGAACACATCACTCCGACTTCCAGATTATTATGCGTCTTCTCAGAGTAGTCAAGTATCTTCTGAACACTTCATTGTTATTGTTAATTATTATGAGTATTAGCTGCTGTTGTAGTAGTAATACTATATCGGTAGAAGACAAGAAACTTGGTCAAAGAATATTCATCTCTATATAGCAAAATTATGTACACCTTATCTTCAAATCACCATTTACATAGATCATCTGTATTGTGCTACTTATGTCCTTCATATTGTGTTTCGCAGCCTTCCTTTTCACGTTTGCCATGTTTCTCTACAACGCTGAGAATTTTTTGATATTTTTATGCCGATGAACATCTCTTTTTATACTACTGATATACCTTATCAGTAGCACACGCCACAATTCTTCAGAATTCTAATTTTTTACATTAGTTTTTTTAAACGTTTGATTAACTCTGCAGTAATTTATTTAAGCTGATTTGTAATGACACTAACGTGGAAAGAAATGAAGCGAAGGGTTAGCTGGGAATATAGAATAGAATATAATTTTTAAACGGAACTAGAAATTCGGTTATAGGCAATTGCATCCCCACTTATCTAGTAGTTTTATTTATTACGCTCTGATTGACTCTTATATTTGCATAAACATTATCAAAGATGAGAGCATATTGCGATGAGTATGTCTGTCAGTTGCATTGAATTCTGATGAAATTTAAGACAAATTCAATATGCCTGTTCGCTTAACATTTCCTTAACTAATCAAATATAAAGAGGCCTTATAAGTATGGACAAGTGTATTTTCCACTCTACTAAGAACATCTATTGAATATTGTTTTCTTCTTAAGGTCTATAATAGTTAGAAAAAAAACACTTTAACAGTGAATAAAATCAATTGACCTTGAGGAAAAAATTGATGCAACGTTAAATATTCACTAGAAACGGAGTCTCTTTAGGATTTAACGGCTGCAAAGGATTAGTGTTATTTGGCTTATTATTGTTTATTATCATTGTTCGGATGAATCAACCAAAGTCCTATTGCCCAACAAATATACCGAAAAAAGTGGAGATGGATCGGACATACGCTGAAGAGACCGTTGAGTGACATCGTGCGCCAGGCCTCCGAGTGGAACCCGAGTTGTGTATTCGAGGGTGACATGGAGGAGACGAGAGTTTATGGATAGTCGTGGATCACGAACAAAAGGATGAAATGGAGATGAACTTTTGAAGCCTTATATTGCACTCGGAACTCATGGTAATATTATTATTAATATTATTTCATTGGAAAACTGGTCAGTCAGTGATCTAAGGGTGTTATAATTATCAGTAAATTGTCTCATAGCTCAACTTTTAGAGAAGCATTTGCAAAGACAGAAAAACACTGTCTACAAATCTTCTATAACTCTTAGTAATATACTTGATTTCACTTACTTTTGTATCGACTAAAGATTGTAGTGTTTGAGTTTGTCGCGTGTCATGGCGAAGTGTTTCACATTCTTGTCTAAGTTGTCTATGCTCCTGCAATAGGGCATCAAAATCCTATAAATAGAAGGAAAACAGAAATTTAGTAAGCAATAAAATTGTTTGGACAGAGAATTGTCTGAATACATACAACAAAAAAATACGATAAATGCTTCGAATGTGTCTAAAGTGTCATGCATTTTATACGAAAATTGTCTCATACAAAAATGACAACAGATCGATGAATTCTAGATATACATAGAATGAAAACTCATCTACTATTTTCTCAATGTTTTCGATTTCATCTTTAACAGTATTGGGTGTCCTACAAATCCAAATAGTTCAAAATATGTCAGGAGTTTGTCTAAATGTTCAAATTCCTTGAGTCATCTGAAACTTATATTCTAACAGCTAACTTTACAAAACAGGAAGTGATGGTTGCTAAGATACAATTAATTTAATGTTATCTAGTTACCTAGTCCTGGATGATTAGTTGTCTGAAGGTAACTAATAGCCTCGTGAATACGATAAGCAATTATGAGACCAAAGTCGACTTTTTAAAGACAACTAAAAAGCATTTGTTACGGGATTTCATCATGAGCTGACATTGGTTAGACAACCATTGGAAAACTTAGGAGTGCTTGACAGCTGTTTCGTCCTGGTTTTGGACTCTTCATCAGTACGTGCCCGCCGGGGTTCGAACTCAGGAGAAATTGATTGCAAGGCGAGCTCCTCCGGGACCCGATTCAATGGCCTATGAATTCCAACTTCTGTCAATTCACGATATAGCGCGACCACTAGCCAGTGTTATCTGTGGCGAATATTTGTCCCCACACCCGACCAGTTGATGAAGAGTCCCAAACTAGGACAAGACAGCTGCGCAGTACTCCAAGGTTTTTCACTGGTTCTCTAACCGATTTCAGCTCATGATGAAATCCTGTAACTAATCAAATCCCTGCAAACCAGCACTTGAATAAAAAGAATTTATTCGACTTTTCTTTCAATGTAAGAGTAAAGCATTGCAATTTAAAGGTTCCTGCCTAGAATACCCTCTGTGAAGAAATATATTTCGAATTTATTGAACTTGTAAATAAGCAACAAAATGTAAATTAATACACGTGACTTCAATTATAACAAAGCTCAATTTGTATCTCAGTTTCGCCTATTTAAGATGTTTGTTTGTATCTGAACAGTGGTGGAATTTTAAACAGAAGTCAAACTACAGCTGCATTATAAACTACCTGAAATATATTTTAATAGCCAAGGTATCATTCAGTCTCCTCATTTTGTTCAACTTAATATCAAATGAATAAAATAAATTAGACTCGGTAGATAATTTAAATAAATCCAATCAAGTGAAATGTTTTTACAATAGAGCTGTCATATGGAACAATTTAAGCCATGAACCATGTAAATGTTTACGTATGCAGTATGACTATACTACCACTGGTTAGTTTTCCTAACTGAAGGATGGAGTGTACTTCAAATAGTGCATGAATGATTTTAAGTATTAAGTGAAAACGAATAAGCTAAAGCACACCCGGAATAATAAGTCGAATTTATGATGTAGGTGAAAATTGATAAAACAATCGCTGAAAATTATACATGCTTAAGACCTAATAGTACTTCTCCACTTTTGAATGGTTGGTAACTGAATATCTCTTTGATAAACACATGCCTGAATCAAATTTTCATCAATATTCAAACTTTTCAGATCAACTGATTATTCCTTAAACTGGTTATATCTGAAGAATTTTAGTTTTATTTCGATAGGAATTTAAATTTTCGTGTAATTTCACTTGACAATTTCATCTAAATAAATAATTGTTGACTATTAAAGTAAATTTTTGGAGGTGAACAAGTTAAAAATGGTCTTTGGCTATGCGCTAATTGAATCTTTCTTGAATAGTCAAATATCATTTCAAATATGGCAGACACTTTCCGATGTTTTGCTTCCAAGTGCTTTTTAGACTTTTGCTCTCTGTAAAACTTAGTTTACTTTTAGATATGATGGAGAAGATTTGTAGCTCAGGTGGATGATTTTGATGTGGTTGTGTTCTCTGAGCTGGATAGTTAATTTGCAAAGCTTTCATTGCCCTACTAGGCAACATCTTCAATGCATACTTCAATTTGAAGTGAGCTTTTAGATTTCTCCACGAGTTTATTAGTCATCTCTCCTGGTGACCTTGAACGTGATTGGTTGTTTTTGGGTGTTTCCACGCCCTCTAGGCTACTTGTATTGGAACTGATTGCTCCCTTGACTTCAACTTTGACCCTATGTGTGTTGGTAAATTTTGTCTATCTCGATGTGTCTATTGATTGATGATCCACTGGAATACCAGGCTTCTAAAAATTCTCTAGCATTCTTGGTGTTTCCTCTGTCTAATATTCTCACCTCAAACTGTGGGAATTGCGAATTTGCTCTATGATGTTACCAGTATGCTGAAGTAGCTAGCCAGAAATCTGGTGGTTTGAACCGATCCGGCTGTCTAAGCTGAGTCAGACCGAGTACACCGCTAATGAGTTCCACCCCAAAAGAGAGAACCGGCCATCCGGTTTCTAGATCACTTCGATCTGGTTTGCAAATACTACTGGTTGATGTGAGTAGTATTCAACTACTCATCTCAATCAACCAGTAGTATGTAGTTTCGTGCAAATATGATTGGTTTCCTGACTACCATTTACGACATGAATAATTTCGGTTTTTAAAGGGAACTGTCATGAGATTTCATCTCCTCGAATTGTGTCAATTTCAAATTGCGAATTTCAAATCAAATAGTCATCTTAATCCAGATATGAATCGATGTCAGCCAGAGGGTATTTTAAGTCGAGAAACATTAAACATCTGCATTTTTTGCTAATTAAGAGATGTTTTGGTTACAGGATTTCATCATGAGCTGACATTGGTTAGAGAACCATTGGAAAAGCTGAGAGTACTGGACAGCTGTTTCGTCCTAGTTTGGGAATCTTCAGCAGTATGCACCCACCCACTCAGTCGAACCCCTACATACCAACACTTGAATATCGATGAGATGCTCACTGGCGACTTCCCCTATTCAGGTAGGTAGTCACCTGGGGTTCTAGCGAGACTTCGTGACCAGTAGGGTGCAGCAGGTCGGGTGTGAGGACAAATACTCGCCGATGACATTGGCTAGTGGTCGCGCTATGTCGTGAATTAGTAAAAGTTAGAATTCATGGGCTATTGGATCGGTTCCCAGTGGCTTAGTGGTCTACGAGCTCGCCTTGTAACCCGAAGGTCCTGGGTTCGAATCCCAGTGGGCACGTACTGATGAAGAGTCCGAAAGTAGGACGAAACAGCTGTCCAGTACTCCCTGCAGGTTTTCCAATGGTTCTCTAACTGATGTCAGCTCATGATGAAATGCTGTAACCAATCAGTCAAACCCCTACAAACCAACACTTGAATAAGAGATGTTTTGGCAGCAGGTACCCACAAGCTCATACTGGATCAAGAAAACGATCTTCAAGTCTCGTGGATAGTACATCAGTTCGGAATCATATCTCTATGATGAAGGTTACTGTGAAATCAATTAATTTCCCACAAAATATCTAAGTGAATAACTATATGGCAATAAGTACAAGATAGTTTCTTGATGAATTTTCTAAATTTCTAACTAATAGTTGTGACATGTGAGATCCTATTGCTCAAATATGATAATAGCTACTCCCTGATGACATTTGATGATAGTTAGGAATGATGGACCGTCTAGATTCAAAAACTTTGGACCATTAGATTTAGAAACAAGGAATGAGCAGTAATGTATTCATGACAGAAAATCAGTGCTCATCACTGAAAGTTTTTAAATAAAACCAAGCAGCTTTCAGTGTTTTTATTGTCATTTTTGTTTCACGATTCATCATTCAATTAAAATGAAATCAATGTCTTTCACACAGATCTTCCATTTAAATCCTTTTACTCTTCTATTTGAGAATGAAATGTTCACAGTGAGATACGATGACTGTACGGATGAAGTTATACTATTTTAGAAAGAACATACACCTTCGTGCCTTATACTGAAGAAGTCATTTCTTCTAGAAGACCGCATATTTGAATTGCTGTTAGATGGTTGGTGGCACCCATCAGCAAGGCGTATCTGCAGTTTTGAAAATACTACTCACGTCCCTTCTGAGATTCGGATTCGCGTCATCTAATATTGCCGTCACATACGTTACTACTGAGTTATTCAGGCTATTCATGTAGGACTGTAAAGGATACTTTGACTAGTCACTTGGTAGTAGCTATTGTTATGGGTCTAGTCCTTGGTTTTGTGTGGAGTGAATTCTGTTTGTCAATTAAATTTTTAGGATATAAAAAAGATTTTGTGTTCGTTAATTGTTCCTTTTTCCATCACTGGAGAAGAGTCACATCACACACATGGTGATTTGGTTGCTTAAAAATCAATATGATCAGTGGAAACGGAAGCGTATTATAAACCAGAAAATGTGCTTTTCTTCTTTTAGGATCTGAACTGCATCATCATCTTAGTTCATGTGAAAAATTGCCACAATTCACAAAACCAAGTTGCCCCACCCACCGGTGATAACAAAGAGTTGGGTCGATTATTATTCATTCCACAAAAACAGGAGAAGTCAGCAATTATCTTCACTATGACTTTTAAAAATGATAGTTTTGAAATCGGAATATGTGTAATTAAAGATTAATCGCATTAAGTTTACTAATTAAATTTAAGCTTTTGTTTGTTTATGGTAAAGACAGTTGAATATTGAATCTGTGATATGATTTTCTTCTTTTTTTCATTTCTTCGGCCCAATGAACTGAAAAACAATTTTTTCTTTTTAGTTGGAATGATGTAGGACATTTTCAAACCCTCTGGATGCTTTGAGTGCCTTTATATTCTGTGAGTTAATCAGTTCATCTGTGCTTTCTTAAAAAAAACCAGCTTACAAACTTCTATTCACAAGTTAAACATCCTTTTGTTCTGATGAAGTTAGTTGAAACTGTCTGGTCTCACAGCCTTTGTTAGCATCATGTCAATTTGCATCTTCATAGATATAGCATCGCTGGTCTGAAATCTAAGGTTTTGACTGTATGTTTTCCTCATCGGAAATAAATCTGGATGTCTGTCTATATTTTTGCTGTAAAAGTTGCCAAAATGTTTTCCCCTAGGAACACTTAGAAGTCAGCTGATATGTGCCACCATGGTGAATGTCTTGTAGGTTTGTGAAATTTGAAATGTGGTCTTCACAAAAGTCTTTATCATAAGTAACATAGAGACGAGCAACCTTTTTTCTGAAGATATAAAGCCTCAGGCAAATATCACATTACCTTGGCAATAAAGAGGGTAGTAATGCTTAAAATAACTTAACGGCAATTCAGATTTATTTGCCCCATCTGACCATTACTTCATTTTCATGGGGATGATAAGTTACCGCTAATGGACTTTCTTCTGTTTACTAATTAGTCAGTCTTCAACTGTTTGGTATATTTCATTTCTTTTCTATGAATCTTCAAGCAAACATCAAATAAGTACAACAAAAGTAAAGTAGGATCCATTCACTAATTGGATTTTGAGACAAAACATACTGTGAGATCTCTGCTCAGGATTTTTATTATGGCTTATAATGTTCGTAACTGTCAAATACAGTTGTCAAAATCCCCCAAATAAATTCTAAAGAGTAAGTATTTAAGGTTAGAATTGTTTCAGTGCATCTTCTAGTTAGCTTTTTGGTACTGTCACTTCTACATTTTCTTACATATTCTTTAGCCACTTTAGAATTAAACGAGGCAAACTTCAAGTATGCATTTAAATCTACAATTACATCACAATCTTTAAATTCTATACGTTTATCAGTATTCTTAACATTCATTAGCAACTGATCTCAGATACAGTCTAGTAACCTGGAGTTAATAGTATCAAATGTATAGATAATGCAGTTTTATCCTTCGGAGTATAGTTTTGCTTCATTGTTCCACTTTCATATAGTTGGAAACTATGAATAAATGCTAAGTGGAAGATAGTACAAACGTCTTTATGCCAAGAAGAAATAAATTATGGAGCACTAACTACGTGAATGTAAATAACCTTCAGGTGATTAATTTCCCTGATAGAGTTGATATTTATTATTATCATTCGTTGCTTGCCTTCCATTTGGAACATGGGACTTGAGTAACACATCTCTATTGCACTCTGTTCTCTACAGTCATTTTAAGCTGGCTTCACAAGTGCCGTTTATCAAGGTAATTAATAGAAACCATGCTGGGTATTAGAAGAATTAGTTCAGTTGACTAATGTGCTCATTATTGTATCTGTTACAGATACGATTCTAAGCACGGCAGTTTATTTTAAATACCACACAGCGATGCATGGAATTACATTCTACCACAGTGCTCAAGTTCTACACTTTACATTAAGCACGTCAGACTGACTTTTAAACAATAAGGGGTTTCGATATAGCCTAGCCACAAGGATTTAGCTACAGTGAATGGGATGTATGTGAGTTTGAGTATGTCATAATAATGCATTCAGAAATGGCCGTAAAACTTAGAATAATGATAATCGATAGATTGACATATGAACAGGCAGACATACACGGTATTCTCCAGTATCACTTTCAATATTGCCTACCTAGACAGGTCACAGATGAAAGCAAGATGTTTACAGACATATATATATATATATATATATATATTGGAGCATTTTCCCCTCTTTTGACCTTGATTAATTATGCTTCTTTTGTACAACTAAATGTACGTCAATACAAATAAAATAACGTAACATAACGACCTTGCTTACCTGTACACAGAATTAAGCCACTGAAAACACCATTTGATTTGTCATCATGCTAAACTCCATCTATTAAAACCTCGATACAAGCTGTAAAGCTTTTATAGTGATTCCCAAACTTATTTTCTCAAAGTTTTCTCAGTTTACCCATTTTAGGAATTGACAGAAGCCTTTCACTGTTCACGATTTGGTAAAAGTTAAAGTCTTCCTCTTTTTGAAATGTATTTGTTTTACGAGATTAAGGTCTCCTTAAGAAATGCGTAATTCAGTTCATTGACCACCTTCACAAAGGCAAACACACGTTCAGACACAAACAGTATCAATTTTTCTCTGGACTGATGGTAGCCGACGTGTTGTGAAGTCAATTATTTTCAAGAGTTGGTTTGTAAGGATTAAATATGTGAGGTTCAACCAGTCAAATGTGAGGATGGATTTCACACCGATGATATTGATTGGTGGTCGCACTAAATCACGAATTGGTAGAAGTTAGAATTCATGGGCCATTGAATCGGGTCTGAGTGGCTGAATGGTATATGAGCTTGAGTTCGAACCCCAGTGGGTGCGTACTGTTTGCCAATGATTCCCAAAATAGGATGAAACAGCTGTCCAGTACTCCCTAGTTTTCAATGGTTCTCTAACTGATATACATCCATGGTCAAACTCGCAAAAAGTCAGTCATTCACACACGATTATAAATTAAAACTAGAATTTGAAGAAAGTAGTGCTAACACATTACGAACAACGTAGGCAGTTTCTTTCTTTGCCAGTAGTGTAAGTGCAATAAAGTTAATCATCATCAACCAGAGGAGGGATTTTAACCACTCACTCTAAATTTAACCTTAGAATGTGTAAGGAATTTTCGGAAAAGTTTATGTTAGTCTTCAACTTATAACTTTTACATGACTTTTGAACTCCGTAGGTTTGTTTATTGATAACCAGATGACATAATGACAAATTGTTCCAAAAGTCAAAACATGTTTATTTGCTTCACACTGACAATTCAGTACATCTTCACCTCAATTTTCTTATTTGAAACTCCTCAATAATGGGTGTATCACCAGTATACTAAACCAGTGATATAGGTTAATAACGATTATTTGTGACTGCCTGTTCTGTTTAGTCATAGATTGTGTAAATTCCCCTTGATCATGTTTTAACTAACACTGTTGAAACTAGCATAGCTCAAAGTACACCTTCATTTGAATAGTGCAAATTTCTCCATAAACTGTTAATGAAAATGAAATATCTTCAAATTTGCTTAATTCCACTGAACTTACCTCCTTTATCCTTGATAATTCAAAATTTCTTTCCAACAGCTGACGTTCTGCCTCACTTCTCCTACCTGAAACCTCATTCAGTTGACTTCTTAGACGAGAAATTTCCGCCCTGTCAGCTTCAATCCTGTCTAGTTTTATACTGGGTATAGAGTTTTGATCTGCAGTCTGCGTCAAACTATCTCCTCCTCCAGTTGCAGTTGCAGCTGTTCCAGTTTCACCACTGACACTTGCAGATTTACCAGCTTTTACGGCATCAACTAATCGTCGTAAACTCTCTTCTGTAGCATTCAGACTAGCTTTCAAATTTGCAGTACGTCTATCAGCATCTTCCATTGATTTTTTAAGCTGACGATTCTCCAATGTTAATTCATCTACTTGACGTTTAGCTAAGTCTAATTCACTTAAACTTTCTGAGTCTCCAGTACCTGCAAAACGACTACGATTTCTCTTATCACGTTCTTGACGAAGATCCGATTCCATATTATGCAATGTTTCCAACATTGTCTGTATGATGAAAAAGTAAAGGGAGTAAAAAGTAACGTGTACTGGTAAAACTTATATAAATTGTGCTCAGAAGTCAAATAACGTCCAACACAGTTCCACTAAATGAACTACGAATAAATGCTAGAATAACTGTATTAGTTGCACGCATTCGAAATGAATAACAAGATACTAGCTGTATACTTGACTTATGAACAGATTTCATTTCTACTGAATACTCGAACATTCTGTTCATTAAAATGAGTGCTAAATAATTGTTCACTGAAAACTGCAACTGTTATTTCTTTCGAAATCAAGGCACAGTTTAAAGGAAGACTTACAAGATCAGTATGAGTTAAACCAACTAAAACAATTTTAATAGAGAAAATATGTCAGTTGATTTAAGTTTCTACCTTTTTCTTGTCCAAAGACAGGACTCCAGGTGAACATAGACAAGACGGAGGTTATGAAAATACACCAACCAACAACAACAACAGCAGCAACATCTAGCGCAAATCACCATCAACGGGAGGGATTTGAAAGAGGTTATTTCATTCACTTATCTAGAGAGCATTGTCTCAACTGCAGAAGGAACGGACGACGATGTCAAATCGAGAATCAGGAAGGCGAGAAACACATTCATCAACCTGAAACCAATCTGGAAATCTTCGTCACTCAGCCTGCATCAACAACAAAATTCGGATTTTCAATACAAACGTCAAGTCAGTCAGTTCTTCTATACGGATCAGAAACTTGGTGGATCACAAAGAATATTTCCAACAGCCTGTTGCAGACCTTTATCAACAGCTGTCTTCGCTCTATACTGAAGATCAGATGGCTGGAAAGAATCACCAACAAGAAACTATGGGAACAAACAAAACAAGAACCAGTCGCCCAACAAATATGCAGGAGAAAGTGGAGATGGATCGGACACTCGCTGAGGAGGCCTCTGGGTGACATCGCGCGTCAGGCCATAGCTCGAGTGGAACTCGAAAGGGGAGTGGGGAGTGGGACGTCCAAGGGTGACATGGAGGAAATCGTGTGAAGAGGAATTGAGACAGTATGGATTAACATGGATGCAGGTGAAAAATACAGCAGAAGACAGAAGCAAGTGGAGACGTGTAGTTGAAGCCCTATGTTCCACTAGGAACCCAAAGGAACAATAATAATAAATAATAAACCTTTTTCTTGTTACTCAAAGAGATATATGTACAAGCTTTCCGGATGACAGTGTAACTTCAGAGGTCTAGGTCTTCATTATTCTTTTAATTACAGTCTAGTAAAATATAAATCAACGCATGAATAGGTTAGTATTAAAGTTGTGTGTACTTTAGAGCAATACATAGCGGCTGTTAGAGATAATGAGTGTGCCTTTCCCACAAGACTTTCAAAGCAGTGAAGCTAATAGAAATAATGTTTAAGCATTTAGACGCTGTTGACAGGCTTCCATAGACATGCATTCTATATTGACTGAAACTGTTCGATCATTGGACTGTAGTCAATACCATATTATCTAGGCCTTATCAACAAAGTCTAAAATGTTATATTAACAAGCATGAGATATATGTTTTTGGCTATGTGAATTATTCCAGCCCTTGCGAAAACGTTTTGGAACGTATATAGTTTCTGATTCATTTCAGTTTGTCAAGCAAATTAAAGATTTCAATGTATCTGTTAAGCATCTGGTCTCTTTCGATGTTACCTCCCTATTCACAAATGTGCCAGTCGTTGAGACTATTGACTTTATATGTAGAGAAGCTGAAGACATACCCATCCCGACATTGGAATTGAGGAAATTGTTACTTTTATGTACCAAGAATGTTCAATTCCAGTTCGACGGGCGTCTATTCCGTCAAGTTGATGGTGTCGCAATGGGAAGCCCCTTGGGACCACTTTTTGCAGACTTATTCTTGTCAGGCCTAGAAGCTGGTACTTTGCAGCAACATATACAAGAAACAGATGTATACCTTAGATATGTTGATGACATTTTTATTGTCTGTGGAAGCAGATCAAAAGCTGAAGACATGCTGATAAAATTCAACTCATGCCACCCGAATCTCAATTTCACAATAGAACACGAAGAAAATGATACTATTAAATTCCTAGACGTTTTTCTAGCGAAAAGGACTGATGGCACAATCGAAAGATCTATATTTAGAAAGTTTTCATGGACAGGACAGTACATACATTTCAAGAGTTTTGTTCCAATCCAGTATAAAAAGAACTTAGTCAGAACACTGTTCAACAGAGCACGGAAAATTTGTTCTGACAGTACAATTGAGCATGAAATAAAAGCTCTGAAGGATATTTTATCTAAGAATGGATATCCTGAAAAGTTCATTAATAAATACTCAACAAAACTATCCAAACAGTTCCGAAGAAATCTGTCTATATCAGTTTGCCATTCAAAGGAGATGATGTACAAGAAGTAGTCAAACGAAGACTCGATAAAGCTACCAAGAGAACTTATTATGCTGCAAAACTTGTTTTCCTTAACACCACCAAGCGAGTGCTTCAACAATCTGGGAAAGATCAGTCGCCAATCCTCGACACTTCAAACTGCGTATATCAATTTGAGTGTGTTTATGGAAGCAAATACATAGGTCGTACAGAAAGGCGATTGTCTACTCGCATGATGAAGCACTTGCCAAAATGGTTGAAAACAGCTGAATGCAAAGTGCCAAAAACCTCAATAACAAAACATCTTGTGGACTATGGACATGGTATCGACGCTGTCAAGTCATTCACTATTGTCAGCAGACAAAGAAACAGGAAGGTGCTTGCAATTGCAGAGGCTTGTGCAATTTGAGTTTATAACAAAAGGAGATGGTCGTCACTCTGAATCTACCATGGTAATACGTTTTACTTATTATTCTACCTATTATTATTATTATTATTATTTATTCATTTAAAACTATCTTTTATCAGTAGCATTATCTTAACTCACTTAAGCATTATAGTTATTTATTATTATTATAACTATTACTATTAATATTACTCTGTTTGCAATTCTTGATATATTCTCTAATGACTAATTGTTTATCTGAGTGATGTAATTGAAGTGTAATGCATTTTATTTTAATTTTAATCTCTCATACTCCCTCTCCCCTTATCTATTTGAACATGACCTGGAAAACATTCACACCTGTCTTTCTGCATGACTAATTCAATGTAGTTTATTTGCTTATCAGTCTTATATCTCCCAATGTAATTTCAATGGTATATATATATATATATATATCCGTGTATGTAGAGTACTCAGCTGACGAGTTCCACCGAAATTTGATGAATTCATTAAATCCAGCTTTATTAACCTTTGTTGCTTGTTTTATGGCTTTCTGTTGATTTTTTCTAAAGCGGACTACTATGGCTATTTTTCTAGGACCTTAACCACCTTATAAGCTTGACTGACAGAGTATAGACAGTAACAAGGAACAGGAAGCATGGGTTAATCTTCATTGATTAGCCTTTGTATTTAATGCAGTCATAAAATATGTCAAACTCAATCTTTACACCCCACTGTTAACATCTCCTACTGTAGTGGTGAAAGATGCATACTCGTATTTTCAGGGAAGCATTAGTTCTGCGTTTTACAGATGTATTTTTTCAACAACTACCAGTAAGCATAAAATCTAAGCTGTGGTTTTCTCACTGACAGTCTGTAATCGCCTAACCTAGCCATGACTATTCGAACATTCCAAAATAATTTCAAAGGAGTGAAGTGCCACATACTTTTACATTAGTAATAGAGATGATCATAAATATAATAAACTATTATGAGAATAGCTATTCGTTGATGAATATGATCCTATATAAAAATTTTTGGCATGAACAGCTCTTTTCAACAATAAATACTGTTTTCAAAAAATACAAACGTCTTTGACAACATGAAGTGAATTAGAAGAGCAGGTTGGAAAAAGATAAATTTTGTTAATAATTCAACGTGTTTTAAGATTTATGCTTCGCTTGATGACCGGTCTCTTTTGGTAGGATATGGATTGCGGGTGCATTCACCTAACATGTCTCAAATGCGACAAAATGCATATCATGGATTGTACCGTTATCTGCGGTGATCTACTCTGAGCTTAATAACTATTTTATGAAAACATGTAGTCTACTTTGTCAAATGTTATGTAGCTTGAAATTACAGCATTTAGTGCTCATTCGATCTCAGAAATAAACAAATACAACACATTCATTGTACTAAGTTTTGCATCAGATATTTTACAGTTGATTAAAGGGTATCAAACCTCCTAAATAAACTCGTGTTTCCTTACAATGACAGGTCTGGTATTTGAGTCTCCGTGACTGAAAAAATACAATTAGCAATTAAAACAATACAGTGTGGATTATTAGACATAGATATGACCATTATTAACATTTACTGCTAAGTGATGGAGGCATTTTTTAACAAATTAATCTTTCAGATATTTTGCAGTTTGTATAGCAAGAATATACCTTAAAATCGGTCTTTAGTGTATTAATTACTAACTTACTTGTTTCTCTAATTGCAACTGATGCAAATGATCAGCTAATATGGCGTACTTAGCATTCTCTTCTTTGCGCATTGCCCTTTCTCGTTTCAACTCTGGACTCCAGAATGTACGTATACTAATCGTGCATGCATTTAATTTCTCTCTAGTTACATGTAATTCATGTTGTAATCTTACACATTCTCTTTGAAGTGTAGCAATATCTGCAGTTGGATTATGAGGAATCAATCCAGTTGGTAATGTAGCCTGTCCTTGTGGTAAAGCCGAGTAAACTGTCGGTCTCTGAAGTGCTGCGTAGTCTAAGCCACCGAATGTTGAAAATGTTGGTACGCCTAAATTGCCAGTGTAATCGACCAATGGATTGGTTGGATAGCCGTAAATTGATGGGTTCGTACCAACACCAGCAGCAGCTAAAAGACTGTTATAATCAGCTAAACCTTGCTTCTCTAGATTCATATCGTATGAATGTGCTCTACGGCCGGACGGATTCGAAGAACCCAGTATGCCCGATAAACCTGGATTTGAACTAAGTGACTTCAGTGTATATGATGGTTGATTGACTGTAGTTCTTGTTAGGCGTTCACTTTGAGAATCAAAATTCCCTCTTAATGTACCGTAATACTCTCCACGACGATCTAGAGAGGCTGCACGATGATCTATTCCACCAGCACCTACACCACCACCTCCACCTCCACGACCTCCAGCCAGTGGGTCAATATAAGGATTGTTTAATCGAGGCGATGCTGAGTGTTGTTGTATACCAGAGTCATACATTTCTCCATATTCCAAATCTTGGACGCTTGCTGGTCTTTGACGATCATGTATCTCTTGGTTTGGATCAATGCCTTCAGCGTATGCATGTGATGATATATGATGACTATCCCGATAATATGGAGATCTATGTCTTCCACTTTCCATCTAAATTCAGTGGCTCAGAAGGATTTGTTCTAGAAAAGTGATACAGAACAAAAAATAAAACATTGCTTTTGAACTGAGGTTTGTAACAATATACAGCTTGTATTTGCTTCCATGATAGCATTTTACTCACAATTATTTTAAATGGCTTAACTATAAGAAGCACAAATACACTAGCATAGATCCCACTACTCAATGATTAGAAACAGTCATTTGTGTATAAGTTAACCAGAAATTTTCAGTATACTCGGTTAGAAGTTATTCTAAGTCAGAACTTACACCTGTTCACCACTAAATAGTTCTTAGGAATCATGATTTCACTGATCATTCAGTACTGGTAGATGGAGCTTAGTGGTGGTAACTGTCAGGAAGACAACTCACACACTAAAATTGTCCATATATTGCATAAGTTGGCGGTATATTATCACACACTAAAGTCCTCAGCATATAGTGAATGCATATATGGATAACAATAACGATTTACAAATAAATAAAAAATCAAATGTAACTAGCACTACTTTTAAATTAGATAAAAGTTAAATTTTAACTATGAGTATATAATATTTAATTGTTCACATTCTTTTGTTTTACGTGAAATTATTCCATTTTACAGTTGTGAAAACTTAAATCTGTTTGATAAACTTCACGGTTTAATTACTAAAAGCCAGCTGTTATATCATTTACTACTAAACAGTTCACAGTTGAACCACTCTAGTAAACTTTAAAGACTCTAACTACGTATACGCCTCTTTAGGAAGACTAAAGGATCATATATAATATTTAAAAACTTATCACACACTTTTATTCGCGTAAAACCGTAGTCAAGCACTTAGATGGTATTCTGTTAAATTAGTAGTCAACTTTGAGTCTTAATGTTCAAGTAGTTAGTTCTACTAAATTAAAATTCAGGGTAAACTTCTGATAAGGTTATATCCTCAATACTTCTTTTGTCCTGTGAGACAGTATTTTCAATGATATTCCTGTTAAGCCATTTACTTCTCATTTGCATAGACTCTAGATTAAAATTGATTAACCCTATACGACACGTATTAGTGAACAAAAATGTAGCTACTCTAATGAGAATAAAATTGAGCACATAGGTTAAAATTTATTTAAAAAAAGATATGGTTGCATTATTAAAGCTTATATCAATACTTTCGTCATGATCACCCTAACCCAGGGACTAAAAAAGTATTCCTAGTTTTTTGACTTATGTAATTGCATTCCTTTTTTTGCCTTTACTTATCTAGACAGTTTAATTCGTGTTACACAATAAGTTACCTTAACCCTAAGGCCACCCATTATTTGTAACTTCTATTTCTAAATAGTGTCCATCAAAAATTGGCATTATTTAGAGTGTCATCCAGAAGCACCGGATAGCTATCTTGTCTTAGTTCTGCACTCTTTGCTACTATACACCTATGATACAACAATAAATTGGGAAAAGTAGGTCACCTTTCAGTAAAATCTGTCAGAATTCAAAGATTTAAGCATCCGCATTTCATTATCAATGCACTTTATCGTAGAGGTTTAGATTGGAATGTTAAAACTGTACAGTGCTCCCCGGCTTTCATAGAATTCAAAGGTAACTACGATGCGTGATGCAGTCTGTATCATCAGTGTATATCACTGAAGGCCCTCACACTAAGACAAAACAGCTTTTGAGTACTCCCTGGTCTTTAGTGATTTTCTAACTAATCTTCGTGTCAGTTTTTTTCCTTGTAGCAGATCAAGTTCCCAAACACCCCGAACCCATGTTTCCCCAAGACATCTTTCCAGGATTTTTCACGTTATTCACCAACACACCTTAATTATAACAAATTGTTGCGGAATTGAGCTATGTTCCCTTTTAAATCATTATAAGCAACATTCCTTGGTCATCTTTTCAAATAGAAGTGCTTAACCGCATCTTTTTGACCAATGTGCAATTCCAACTATATTTGTAACTACAAAATGTTTACACCTCTACGGATATTAGTTAAAATTAAAAATAGTGTAACACTATTAACTAACTATAACTGGCTAATAGCAATGACCACTCTACATTATATAAAAAAATTCCTTTGAACGTTAGTCACTTCTGACTTACATACTTAAGTTTATCGCTCACTGGCATTCATAGTTGCATGCTATTCATACTAGAACTTGAGCCATGTGAGAATGACTAATTCATGTGTACTTAAAATTACTTGTGAGCTTCATGGTTTACGCAGATTGAACCAAAAGTTAGACTCAAGAGACAGAGAACTTTGTGGGCGACCACTATAATTCTTGCTGGGATTTTGCATCAACTCAGATTTTCCTTCAACTTCTCTCACCTACTACATTTGCACCTGAAACTTTTTAATCGTAGCCGAATACCTCTTTGAGTTAAATGCTAATAGTCAAAGTATTCTAAAACAAACAATTTGCTAACTGTTTTTGATGACTCAAAATATGATAGTAGTAAGAGCGATTTAGCACTTTTCATTAGGACTGAGTGAATCACTTTGCACTAATTAATGATACTAGGCACATAAATGATTATCCATTTCTGTGAAACTTAACTAGTAGGCCTACACAATGTAAGACATTTAACCAGTTGATAATGGCTTTGAATTATCTTCTACTCAGTCAGTCAGCAATGTTAATTCACTCAGAAGCTATGATTCATAATCCAGTACAAGAAACAGATCCTTTTAAACTGTGTGTAGCATAAATTTTGATATCAGTAAAAAGCAAAAATTCCTAATAATCTAACTCTACCACGGGAAAACACAAAACGAAGAAAATAAGCCTCAGTCGAGAAAAGTGTTTGAAATTTGGACTAAAAGATTAATCTCTGCCATTATCTTCAGTTATCTGAACACATACATATGATTTACAGTCGACAATACATCACTTCATTACCTGAATGATGGTTTGCGTTATTTATTTAGCAGTTTGAGTTTTCTAACTCATTTTAGCCTCTTTAAAGCTCTTATTCTACTGTTAGTTCGACACTGGGTTCATAATTCATAAGGTGTGACACCTAGTTAATCGTATTTTGATTTCGAATACTTTAAGATACTTGAGAATTTTTCTAATAAAATGCTTTACATGTCACATTTCCTGACCAGTTAGATGACCAGTTACCAAAGAAGTGAAATTAAAACTTGCTCCCAATTCCAGGAACTAACTTATTCGGTTAAAACTTTGATGAAACCTAGTTTTAAAATGATTGGAAAACAGCTCGGCTGTTTAAAAGTACGATAAAGAGACACATCCCAAAGATTCGATGCAAAATGCTTTTGAAAATGATGGAGAACGTATGAGCTTGACCATGGCTCATACCTGCTGAAACAAAGCCTTTAATTCTGTGCGTCAGACGTCAGCATTTGAGCAACTAAGGTACTACTAATAAGATGTTTGAGATAACAACCAGGAGACCGGTAAAACTGGTTTGAAACTATGAATCGGTCTATGTCCCTGAATTACATCTGTTTGTAGTAAAAATTTTAACTCACATCTTACTAAACGTAGACAAAGTAAACCTGTTTATATTACTGTTAAAAGCCTAGTAGATGACAATTACATATATCTTGAAAATTCTGATTTTTATGTAAAGTAAAAATATTCCTAGGTATTTTTTATATACACCCGTAAACTCAAGATACTATGTTCATCTAGCTCAAGGTTTCAACCTCTTTCATTGTTAGCAAATTTAAGGTTATTGTAATGTAAATTTACAGTTTTGAGCGCTACAAATAAAACCCGAATTAAAAATTCACTCATTGTCTGATGAAACCACTACTCTAACGATTGTATCTCACATAAGTCTTATGAAGCCATCGTGTTTGCTCTATTCAGATACATGCTCACTTAATCAGGTTTACACCACTCAAACACGAAGTAAGCAAATAAAAGTCTACTTTGGAACTATTTAAAGACCGAGTGCAAACAGCCTAGATACTTCAACTGGACTAGATAGGAAATCAGTACTTCACAGAAATCTACTCCAGCTTTCATTAAAATATGTTGCATGCTTCAGCATTCCATACCTACACTTTTGCGATAAGTGCACCTTCAAAATCAACGAAGGTACCAGATTTAACTTGCAACTTTAGAGTTAAAATATTGTTCCTTACCTTTGAATTGATTTAATGTCCTTTCATTCAGTTAAATTGAACATTATATTCTTATATTATTGAATGAATATGAAGGGGCAAAAACGTGAAAATCAAATAAATTCATTCAACAGAAACTGTGATTATTCAGTGATGAACACTCGTAAGAACGATCCCAACAAATAAAAATTAACTTGAAGGTGTAAAAAAGTTTAAAATTACGCAGATCGTCATATTCGATTAACATGCAAATTAAATACTAGAATATGAATAATTACTCAAATGCTTGCAAAAAAGCAAATATCACATAATGACTTCCCTAAATTTAATCCACGTAACTGAAGGTATAAAAATACTACCATGGTTGTGAATTCATATCATAAGTGAACTAAAAAAAGGGGATCCGTGTTATATCGATATAACACGCCTATAACCGTCCGTACCAAATGCCATAAATAAAAACCTTAGAAAAAATCAATCGCGGTTATAATGAGATAATTAAATCATGGTCTTGTAGGAAAACTACATACATTCACAATAACAGCGTTAATTCACCACCATTAAACCAAGAATTTCAAATAACGCAATGATTGAAGTTCATACTAGTTAGCCAATTTAAACTAAACAACTTTCGAAAAATATAATTAAACTGCTCCTGCTTTATCATATATTTCCAGTCTATTTCCATGATATCAATCAAATAAATTCAGATGCAACTGCTATAAATCACCGTATTTTATATGTGTTTTGTATTTTTTAGTTACTCGATTGAGGCATTAGTGACTGTAACGCATTCGAAGCAGTTATTGTGGATAATAATCATGCATTTAAAGCGTTTTGCAGAAATGAGAATGACTGTTTCTATTTATGTGAAATTAAAGCAAGTTGTCAGTAGAGATCACTCTCTTTCACGGAATGATACGTAAATTCGTAAAATAATTTATAATAAGAAGTTAGAGAATAAGCTGCTTAATGGCACATTTAATTACAGTTTCATTCGTGAGAGGAAGATACTAGAATATGATACACTCTTATAGAAAAACACAATAAGTGGCTCTTTGAAGAAACAAACCCATAAATAATGTGTTTTGTCTATAAGCGTTCAGAGAAAATCATTTCCTAGCCGATAGCTAATAAGCTAAGTAGGATTCCGTGGTATTTTAAATAAGTAGGGGGTTTCTATCAATATCACTGCAAAAATTAATGCTGTCGCCTACATTTGCTTATTTACAGTCTCTGTTGCATACCTCTAGTCTTTTCGATGATACAGATTTTAATTCTTACCTGAATGTTATTCCATTTGACGGCTAGCTGCAACAGCTGTTTGAAAACCCATAACAGGTTGAAGGGTTGCGGCACATATCCGTGTAAGTTTTCACACAATGCAGAGACAATGAGAAATAAGCAAACATATTAGATACCAGGCGTGGAATAAGGCCGGGTTTATCCTGCCTCTTCGCTAATGAGTGTTCACTTTCGATCCCCAAGCAGAATTAATACAGCTGAGAGTATAATTACATGCGTGTAGATACGCTAAATTTGGAAAAGAATCACATATCAGTTTACTTCTTATATGATTGCGTATAGGTTTGATGAATGAATTCTAGAGATTAATGTGGTCTTATTGAGTATATATGTTACTTTTTCATCATAGAGAGTGGAAACATGGAACAGAATCACTGTGTCAATTTATTCTATTTGTCATATCATGAAGAAATCATTCGCAAATAGTCATAAGCTTTAAAGGCGTTATCAACTGTTCCATCACCAATTACATATGTGGAACAATATATGTTTACTTCTTTACCTGAGCCGGCAGAGTTTCTCCTTCTTTTCGATACTTAATTTCTGCCATCCAGTAAATAAACGTGTTAGATATTAATGCTTCCCAAGGTTTCGGGTGCATCACGGATTAAGGTTTGGAGGCTGGAGGTATCGACGTTCGCGAACTGTACGGAGTATACTAACGCAAGATCTTATACCAACAACTTCTATAGTGTTCGCGCTTCGAGTACCAAAGATAAAGCAAAAGACCAGATTTATTCGTCCAAAGTACGATATATATTTCGGGACCAAATCGCTGAAGTGAATGCTTAGCTGGCTAGTAATCGTGCACGCACGTGACACGACGGAGTACCAAATGGCGGGGATGCTTGACCGGAAGCCTTCAGCTAAACGAGTCGACTTAAACAGTGAGGGTCAGCATCCAATGTTGAGTGATGATTGCTGTGGTTAATAATTTTGGGGAATTATTTGCCGCTACAAAGGGTTGAAAAATGTTTGACGAGACATTTTGAGGCAGTGATGGCCAACTGATAAGCGTAAGCAATATCTCAACCATGGTGGCTTTAGTACCATTTTGCACACATGTAGGGGTTATAGCTCTGTTGTTCTTCCTCTCTAACAGCTACCTGTGCTGAGTTCGGTATACAGTTCCAACAACTGGTTGCTAAGAAATTCTGCAGCAGGAACGTGTTCCGTATAAGAATGGGCTTATTTAAGTGGATGAAACGTCTGTGACATGAACGGCTGCGAAGTGATTGCCATTTCTTTTGGATGGATTTCGTCCAAGGGTTATTAAAAGATAGGAAGATTCTGTATATAGAGAGTCACAAATTTTTGTAACACCTTTTATTCTTCAGTTTCAGAAAATGGTTAATCGCCCATTATTGACTACTTCTTTGAAACTAATCACCGCGAGACTGAGTTTCGCTGCGACAGGATTCCGCGCGAAGTATAGTACCCACGTTACACGATGGAGTTTATTGATACATATGAAGAAAGTGACAAATTAACCATTATGCCACTGTAAGAATTGAATTTTTCTATTTGCTCAAAAATATATATATTCAATTGTTCGTATTATTCTCATGAGATACTGTCAGATTGTTAAGTGCGTGAGACTGCTTTGAAATGCAGAATATCATTTTATTGTGTTGGTAGAACAATCCCTGTTCGATTTATTTTTCTTGGACTTTGTCACTTTTAAGTGGTGTTTCAGCCGCAGTTGAAAAGCAAAGCCAAAATCTAGTAGGTTGAGAAACACAGGTCTTTATGCATGTAAAATTTTACAAGTATTTTAAAATACTTGCTCCATTCAAGCATAACTGAATACAAAAACAATGCATGATTGTATTAAAATAACGGTTAAGTCACAAGTCAGGATAATTACTTGTTTATTTTTTACGCATAATTTCCTCGCTCCCGTTCTTCGCGCATGTATTAATTCTAAACTTATTCTAACTTAAGCGTCAAAAATGCCTTTTTATGCCAGATAAATGTTTTAACCACCGGAATTGAACTCTTTACGTACTGTAACAACGCTGTTGGTCTTTAAAAAGAGCACTGCACGCTTAACTAATGTGACGAAACCATAAAATTAGGATTTGCAGCTGAAATAGAGCTGAAGGAATTGCCACTACGCTGAATTAAGTCTTTTCGTTCCCAAGAAATGCTGGTCACTTCTGAATCTGGAATGAGAGGGTTGAAAGAACACTGATTAGCAAACCCAGTAGGTTCCGACATACTTCCAAAAGCCTAGAAAAAGCACATGGTACTGAATTAGTGCCAGTCATGCTAAAAACCAACACTGATTTCTAGTCTTTGCGCATAGTCAAACCATTTCAGAATTTACTCCTTATAGAGTGTTAGAGTTGGTTCAGAATTAGCGAGATTTAATACAGCATTATAGTAAGCTTGGGTTTCGCGAACCTAGCAGACTTAGGGACATTTCCGATTCCGACTTTAACTTAGGGCGCATTGCAGACTTTTTGGGGCAGACTTCGGGGGCATTGCAGACTTTTTGGGGCAGACTTAGGGTGCATTGCAGACTTTTTGGGGCAGTCTTCGGGGCAAATACTCAAGAACGCAATGCGCCCAAAGTTTTTTGCCCCGAAGAAATGCTAGCTGGGTAGGATTAATAAAACCTTGTGTTAATCCTCCTGTGCCTTAAATGCAGTTACTTTACTGTTGAATTTCAGTGCCATCTAATTTAAATTCATCCTCTTTTATTAAGAGTACACTTGGTTTCTTATACATTGTGCTTGTCAATATAAAGCTAGTAAATTACACTACTCAAACTTGCACCTATTTAATTTCAACTAGAGTATGCGAATATAATGCTCTACATATGTCCCTTATAGGTACAAAAATATTGTTTTTTTCCGTTCAAAAGACAGTATTCATGCATAGAGACGGAGGAGATACAAATGTGTTGTCATCTCAGTTCACTACTTATTGTCTATTGCACAAACACAACTTTTAATAAACTTCACCTACATGTTGAACTAGTCATTTTTTCCTAAACAAGTCAGTTCCACGAAATCTGACCCAGCTACTATTCGGTGTAATTTTATACTGAATGGGTTTTTAACCTGGAAATTCTCGCAGATGTAGCCATTCAGGTTACCACCTTAGAGAAAATATCCGAAGGGAAACCCATTCATGAACACAGAAAATCAATATGTGGAGAATAATGAGCATTCAATGAACCTAAATGATTACAAGGAGTGAATGCATTTGTACAACTGGGAAAAATTTTGAGGCGTGTCTCCAAGTCTCAAGCCATTGGCTCTTAGTATCTCGAGGACCCCAATCAGATAGTCTACACCTCTCTATGTGGCTCAGACCAACATTCAACCTCATGAATTGATGGTAATTTTTACTCGACCACCCATAACTCGTCTCCAGCCTAACCCTCTGTCAACCAACTCTCCTTGATATGGAGGGCGCTGGCTTGGTATGCATAACATACTCTAACCCCTTTAATCGGGGCACTTTTACAGCCTTGTCAATTAATTCATCTTATTTAACTCATACTAAGCCCAACCTCAGTACTAATCACAATATCATGCCACTTAACAAAGGAGATGCATGGCGAAAAACGGTGGCCAAAGACGGCTAGCTTCAAATCTTCCATTTCCAATGACCATATCTCACGGCCATAAAGGAGGACAGAGCAAGTTTCTAAGCACTGCACACACCAAAGATGACATACTGTCAAAGACTACACAAACTTTTGTATCTGTGCAAAGATTTCACTAGCAGTCAGTCAACCAGGACTTGTGCCAAGTCTCAAGATAAGTGAAGTGTCTAATGCGCTCAACCTTTTTACTCCCTATCCTAAAACTGAGATTCAGTGCAAACCAGCCACATAGCATCATCTTTTATTTGGTGTGAGTGAATCGCATCTCAAAAATTTCAAGATTTCTGCTGAAGTTTTCAGAAGACTGCATTTTCTCAGCTTTTTCACCTAAATGAACAATTTCATCTGCACAGTAAAATTGACAAGACTGTCCCTAATAACAAGTCAACTTTTGAGTCGCTAAAGTTGGCTGCAGATATATGCATTAGTACATCTGTCAATACATCCTATTCCTGGTCTGGAAGTTTGCTGTTTTTACGGGTTTGTTTCTCCGGAGAACCGGTCAATCTATATATGATTTTTTGACCTAGAATTTCAGTTACTATAATAGTCAATCGCCTTACGATTACCATGGGGAAATTTATCTCTTACAAACTGTGACAATCAGTGACTCACCAGTTCAGCAGGATTTTTGCAGATTCCCAAAGGTTACCAAATGTCTTGATCAACCCAGACAATAGTTCGTCACCATTGTCTTTAAACACCTTTAGAGTCACCTTATCAGGTCCCACAGCTTTACTTCATTTCAGACTAGAGAAAGCTTTTGCAACTTCAGCGAAAGCTGGAGGACTGATATCTACATCTCACACAAGTAGGCATTGTATGCTGTGCAAATTGAGTATAGCTGTAGGGTGGTTATATTGCTTCTCAGTGTTTTTTTATAATATCAATGCATAACTGTTGGTCTGAACCATGTAAGAAAAGTTAAGCTTGCGGAATAGTGTCTACCTAAGCACCGAAATCCATACTGAGAAACCAAAAGATCTGATATTCAACCAACCATAGTTCCTCGGTGATTGCGCGGTAGAACGCTTGATAACCACGCATTTAGTCCGGGGTTCAGTCCCCGGCGAACGCATTCCTGAACCTCTCTAAACCGACAGTAAGGCTGGTAAAGAGGTAAGGTTAGGCATGAGGCTAATAACTTCATCCCGTAAAAAAAGCCTCACTGCTACCGATACTTTAAAGCCCAACATCCCACCAGTAACGTAAAGGAATAAAATTACGAAAAATAAAATAGTAGGATAGACTGTATATACAAAATTTGACTAAGGCATTTCTGTTCATCTTATTACCGTATCCTTTCATATTCCAGTTATCTTATTGTGTCTATTGTCATGTGCTCTGTTTCTCTCGGTTGGATTGTTTGCAAACTCAACCCGTTAGGGAATGTCCTGGTTAGTATTTTGTTCGCCCCTGTAAAACGTAAGATGATGCTGCAGGATTGGACTTCACCGACCCCTAGATTAGAAATAGGAAGTGAAGTGGTAGAGCACGTTGACCGCTTCAATTACTTGGGAGTACCATCAGTCCAACGGGTTGATCTCTGACGAAATTTCAGCACGAATACAGAGGGCTAGGTTCGCATACGCCAGTTTTCGCCGCCTATGGCGGAGACGCGATATCCGACTATCGACCAAAGGGCGTGTGTACTGCTCAACAGTCCGCTCCATCCTCCTTTATGGCTGTGAGACCTGGCCATTGAGAGCAGAAGACATGAAAAGATTAGCTGTGTTCGATCATAGGTGTCTGCGTTCTATCTCCCGCGTGAAATGGTATAATAAGGTGAGCAATATTGAGGTTAGGCGTCGAGTGCTAGGTAAGGAGGGGAAATCAATCGACAAGGCTGTGAAATTACATCGACTGAGATGGTTAGAACATGTGTAATGTATGCCTAGTCATCGCCTTCCTCGACAACGGGCAATGTTAGCTGATATAGGGCCAGGCTGGAAAAGAGCTAGCGGCGGTCAAACGAAAACATGGCACCAGTCAATGAAATCCACAACAGTTAGTCTAAGCCACGTAGGAAGATGTAGACTTCCTGGTTGGGGTCCTCGGGATGGTAAAAACCAACGGTTGGAAACAATTGGTGACATGGCTCAAAATCGTTCTCAGTGGCGCAGATGCATCCACTCCTTGTGACTTATGATTTCCAATTAAACTGTTTTGTTCTTCGTTATTACTATTCCTTTGTCTCACACCTCTGTTTACTGTCTATATTATGCATTTCTTCTACTTTCTTCTCTTGCTTTGCGTGCTACATGGATTGTGGCGACTTGAACTGACGCACATATGTGCAAAGTTCTATGTCGAAAACCGACCGACGACGAGTATTTTGTTTAAAATTATTATTTAATGGTCCTATGCCTAGCCAACTAACCTACAGTTTTTTTTTTCATAGGGTACAAAGGTACACAAAGAGCGTATTTATTACAAATATTGATATTAGTAAATTCCCTGAATTAATTTTCAATTTCAGTTTGTTATATAACTCACCGACTTTACTTTGGTACCATTTTAGGGGAGCTGGTCAAGAAGTTGGAAGATCGTGCATTCTCTTGACTTTCAAAGGCAAGAAGATAATCGTAAAACGTGTTTTTTTGAATTCTTTAGTCTTTAGTTGGACTGTGGTATTCATCCTGGTTTGCGCAATAGAGAGAGCCTTCCATTTATTGATGCTATTCCGGATATCGAAACAACAGACCTCATTTTAATCAGCCAGTAAGTAACTCATATAAAGTATAAAAACGACATAGCTTCCATCTTGATCACTGTGGTGGACTTCCTCACTTACTTTTAAAGACTGGAACTAAGTCAAAGTGTTATATGACACATGCAACAAAAGCCATTTATCGTTATTTGTTGGCTGATTTTGTTCGTGTTAGGTAGGTTCTTCCAATAAATTAAACATGTTCATTTACTCAGTAATTCTTCCGGCTTACCAGATCAGTCACTCTATACCGATCGAGATATCGTGGCTAGTTTGGACCACATTGATACCATAGATTTTCATCAGGAACTTGAAGTCAATGGGATAAAATTTACTGCTTACCATGCTGGACATGTGCTAGGTGCAGCCATGTTTCTAATAGAAATTGCTGGTGTAAAAGTTTGTTTTGTATTCCAGTGAAAATTCATGAGACTGTTTCAGATTTTATACACAGGAGATTTCAGCAGACAAGAAGATAGACATTTAATGTGTGCTGAGATCCCTCCCGTGCGACCAGATGTTTTAATAACTGAAGCCACCTATGGTATTCACATACATGACAAACGTGAAGAGAGAGAAGCTAGGTTTACTAGCTTAGTCCATGATATTGTCTCTCGTGGTGGACGTTGCCTAATCCCAGCATTTGCACTTGGAAGAGCTCAGGAATTAATGCTTATTCTTGATGAATATTGGGAAAATCATCCAGAACTACATGATATACCCATTTACTATGCTAGTCAACTTGCACGAAAATGTATGGCAGTGTACCAAACATACATTTATGCTATGAATGAGAAAATTCGTAATCAACTAGCTAATAACAACCCATTTTGCTTTCGCCACATATCCAATTTGAAGGTAAGTATGTGACATTGGAAATTTTTCTAGAATAATATTGTATTTTAGAGTATTGAACACTTTGATGATTCTGGTCCGTGTGTAGTTATGGCCAGTCCAGGGATGATGCAACCTGGTTTAAGTCGGGAGTTATTTGAAAATTGGTGCACAGATAAACGTAATGGTGTTATTATTGCTGGATATTGTGTTGAGGGTACTTTGGCTAAACAAATCTTGTCTTTACCGGCTGAGGTGCCTACAATGTCGGGTCAGATGCTACCATTAAAGTGTTCGGTGGATTATATCAGTTTCTCAGCTCACACGGACTATCAACAGACTAGTGAATTTATCAGAGAGCTTAAACCAAGTTACATTGTAAGTCACCTTTTGCTTTATACCAATTCAATATCTCCCCTTCGTAAAATCTGTCGAATCTGATTTTTAGTTATTTATACGCTAAGCATGTAGTGATTTCATTGCTTTAAATTTAAATTCAATTGTGAAACGTTATCAGCTCGAAAACCATTGAAAATAAGAAGCATTGCACAGCCAAGGTCTGAGAGTGAACCGAACTTCTTTTTCCAGACTAAGTGCAACTGAGTATAATCATTGTTATCTGTTTTATAGCTACAGTAGTGTAGTTTCTTGCAAGCCTAATTTGATAGTCTGTCTGTAACCTGATACAGATTTGATGTAGTAGACTGAAATACACTTAATATATACTTGGGCAAATAGATCCTAACGTGGACTCTGTGACCTGATAACTGAAATCCATGTTCCTAAGCTTATATATATATATATATATATATATATATATATATATACTATAGGGGCATTGATGAGGATTCAATTGAAAATAAGTGTTTCTTCTCTCCATGTATTGCTTCCTTGACTGTAGAAACCAGAGAGTACTTTGTCAGTGTAGATTAGGCCATGCTGTTTATAATCTCACTTCTGTGTGTTGAATTTCTTTCCATTCCTCTGAATTCAATTTTCGTCTATGTTTAATGGATTTTAGAATGTTAATGGAAATTTTTAGACAGAAAGTTTCTACTGATTTTAATGTCTACTCAAATGTTGTGAGTAGCTAAGTGAGTCTTTTCCAAAATATTCGCTGTTTTTGGTTTTGTCAAGAAATGCAAATAAAATGCAGAATGATCTCGCGATTTGACACTCAAAATTTACGCAAGTGTATAAGAGGAATGTTCTGACATTGTAAGTCACAAAACACAATACGCTCACTAGCTTTCACAATGTAGTGATCTAAGTGTAGGAAATTCACAATAGGTTCCTTTTAACTAATAAAAAGTGATATAGGAAACACTGACTGACCAACCTAACAAAGTAGAACTTTGAACAAAATTTATTTGTTCAAGTTGGAACATTTTAGGAAGGCTCACAAAATGAAAGGAAATCAAACGTAAAGCAACTTTAATGGTCTCTAACTGTTGATTTCTGACATCTTGTAGACCTACAATTCTCCCCACCGTGCTCGGAATAACTGTCATTGGTTTAATGGGCTGGGTTCAAATTTTCATCCGTCACTCCTAACTCTTCAAATCCAGTCTTATATCAGCTAGCATTGCTTTTTGAAAAAGACAGCGTAAGATATGTCATGGTAATCTCAAATGATTGAGCTTCGCAATGTCATCGATTAACCATTACTCCTTATCCAACACTCAACACCTGACCTCATTATTACTTACTATATTGTTCCACTTAACAAGAGAGATTAAGTGAAATCACTTTTCATATCTTTCACTTTCCGCAGCCATGTCTGACAGCCTTGAAGTAGAAAGAAGTGGGGAAAAAGTAATAAACTGACGAGGAAGGGAGATGAACATAAAAATCTCTTATAATGATAGAAGTATGTCCTTGGTTGCTATTCCCCGGTTGTCTAAATCATGGGAGTTGAGATTTTACTGAAGTATCTGGAAGGAGGAAATCTTTAATTCTAGGTGACATTAAAGCCGATAAAGCCATCGTTTAAAGACAGTTAAACACAGTCTGTGTGGAGATTTAGTTGGCTAAGTTTCATCTGTACGGATAACCTGACCACTGGCTTCGAAACACCTCAGTGTATGTCGGGATGTACATTTTTCGAGGCAGTCTTTTTCTTACCTCTACTCCACAAAGTACGATTATAGTATAGCTGGCTTTTTAGTCGTTTAAAGGCTACCTTTCTGTTGCTATACCTCTATCTGCCAGCAGTATTAGTTCCCCCCCCCCACTATCCCATTATAATATAAGTAACTTGCACTATTTTGTTTACTGCTTTTAGTTTATTATTTATCCAATCCTAGCCTTGCATCAAGTTATCAGCTTTTGGTTAAGATACAGGAACTAACATAATAACTTATTGGTCTAGGTTACTGAAATTCACATTGGAACACCTAGTTTAAAGTTAGCAAGCTGGCAGATGAAAAATTCAAAAACATATATCAACCGTTGAAAAAAAGGGCTAGTAGACGAAATTGAAAAAGATATATGGTGATAGAATTTTCAAAACCAGGCTTCGCATAAGCATTGCGTTCTTGTAGCAATTTATCCACACTCGTTCAGAAAATGAAAATAACTATGAAGCACCTGGGCAACTGTCCCAAAATTGATCGAAGAGTAAAGAGTCCTACTAGTAACCGCTGTACCTTCGGTTCATTAAACTAGGAACTCACCTTTCAAACAGTAGGTCATATTTTTGATGCATTGATCCACGTATCTGTTGTAGCGTTTAAGACTACTTGTTTATAGCATTACTTTTATCTACAACCTTTTGTTAATTATTGCCGTTATATCGAAAATACTCCGAAATGTTATGGTATAAGTGGCCTCGAAGAGGCTAACTAGTTGTGGAGATATATGCGAATCATGAAATTATTAAGTATCGCTCTTATTTTTATCAGTTCGTTAATGTTGCTCATTTACTAAGAACAATACAGATCGAACGTTAGAAATGTAATATAAAGTTGATGTGCACTCGACTACTAATCATTCGGTCAAAGGTTTGAACCCTGCCTTGTTTACACACTGTCAATCCAAATTCTAATTTCGTAAGTGAAATTGTTTAATTATTACGCGTCTTTGATGTGTCCTGTTTCCAGGTGTTAGTACACGGTGAACAGAATGAAATGCTCAGATTGTGTGGTGCATTACAACGTGAGTACGAAGATGATGAAACGTGCAGACTGGAAATATTCACACCTAAAAATTGTGTTCCAGTTAATCTACGTTTTCGTGGTGAAAAGGTCGCCAAAATTCTGGGCAGTCTTGCTCACAGTGCTCCTAAAGAAGGTCATACTATTTCAGGTGTTCTTGTAAAGAAGAATTTTGCTTATCATATCTTGACACCTGGAGAATTACCCAGTAAGCAATTCTGTTTTGTATTTTTGACGATATCGTCTACCTTTTCTTCAGGTCTCTTAGGAATAAAAAAGATACACTGTGCTATTGTAGAAGATGTTTTCAGTGCTATAAGAATTTCGATGAACTCTGTAGTTAACATAGATGTTTATTAAGACAAATTTCCGCAATCTTAAGATGTACATGTAGACGACAGTCTTACTATATTGATGTTTATTACAACTCAAATCTAGATTTTTCACATTTGTTCTTTTATTAAGTAGTAGTTAGTTTCAAATATCTTGTTTCATTTAAATTTCGTCTCACCTGACAATTCGTAGAAATTCACGTCAGATGTTAGAGCAGGAATATCAAAGTCTGTACTAGGTCATTATTTATTTATTCACAGACATCTGGATTCATAACTTTTTTACATCCACCTAAGTAAAATTATACTTCTTTCTGTTTGATTGAAAAAATGGTCAGAATAATACGTGTCGTATGGATACAATGTAATGTACTATTTAGTAGTGCAAGTAGTTCAAGGACACAAAAGAAATAATGAAAAAGACTGTCAGGCTTAAGAAACCATAAAGTAATAAAGTTTCTATCGTTTACAGTTAGGTAAAAGGTAGATATGTAACGGTAGAAGACAAAAAACTTGGCAAAGGAATTTTTATTGGAAATTTTGGTATCGCTATATAGCGAAATTATGTACACCTTGTCTTCAAATCACCATTTGCACAAATCTTCTGTGTTGTGCTGCTTCTGTCCTTCCTATTGTGTTTCTTTGTGTTCCTTTCACGTCTTCCATGTTTCCCCGCAACGTTGTATCTTTTGCTTTCTTTTGACGTCAGATCCATCTCCTTGCTATTAAATGTTTTTATGCCGATGAACGTCTGTTTATATACTACTGATAAATCCTGTTAGTAGCACACACCACAGACATAGCCATACTACTTTATTCAGTTTCGTAACACATCACCTAAGATTTGCGACTACTGATCTCTTGTGTTTCGCTAAGCTTATCTACCCTTTTGCAGCTTCTTAGATATAACTCAGATTAGTACTTAGAAACTTAGCCAATAAAGGTAACATTTAAGTTTGGTTATTCTAAGGCTTTTTAGACCTCTTTTTTTGTTTACCATCTGCTATAACACGTCAAAGTGGGAGCTGCATGTCACCCTCATTTCAGTAGATTATAGTTATAGAAATCTCATCAACTGAATTTCTCTGTCCATGATAGTTTTCACCTCAGCGGAAAAACTCTTTGAAGGTAGGTATCAGTAACTGATTACTTTTTGTTTCATTGCATATTCCTTCAAAGGAGATATATCGTCCAGAATATGATAAAGCAGTGTAGAAGACTGCAATATTATTGATGTAACTAAAACTTTATTACTTACCACTTGAATATTGTTTCTTCACCATGATAGGAATACAAAGGAAGTAACAACTGAAAAGATTCAATCAGCTGATCACAGACTTGTAATTTGTGTACATAAATGATTCATTTCTCTCATCAAGACGTGAAGGATTGAGTGCACATTTGTGGATAAGTATTAAAAACTACATACTAATAATTAAATCGGTTATCAGTTAACTTTATCTTCTTTATTTTCCTCACTCATATATGTTTAGCTTACACTGAGCTAGCTACAACTGTTGTAAATCAAGTTATTTCAATTCCATTCACTGGAAGTGCTAGTCTTTTAAAATTTCACCTGGCTCTACTTGCTGGCACCGTAAAAGTTGTATCACAAAAATCTGATAATGTACAATACTGTGTATTTGATGCCATAAATATCACATGGAAACCACAACAGATCACTATGGAGGTAAGTTTTTATCTGTGTATAACTATTTAATTTGATCTTTTCTGGCATATTAAAGTTTATTTAAGGAATATTGAACAAGTGATCCCGGAAGACACCGAATTCTCAAACTTTATCAGTTCAGATTGTGCGGTATAACTCTTTTGGCATTTTATTATCTAGTGTATCATAAAGTGACTAACTTTGGTCTCAAAAAATTGAGGACTTTTAAGAATACTTTACTAGCGGATACGATGCACCCCTTTCAATCATACTTAATCTTTTTATGATAGTCTGTCACCTTGTAAGAATAACACATGCTGGATCATTGCCAGAATTTCTTATTGTAATTTAGGACGCTAATTATTCTATAAAACTGACATTCTCCTTAAAAGGAATCATCTTATATGAGGTAATAATGTACGAACAACGAGTTAATACAACATATTAATTAAAGTAGGCGAAATCTTCCACTTTCTGTATACTACCGATTGATTGAGATGAATACTTGCATGCCACTCATATCAACCAGTAGTGCTTAGTAACGCAATCAAAGTGATGTAAATACCGCAAAGCTGTCTCGCTTGTCTTCATTCGGCATTCGGTTCCGTCGACCGAGAGGTACTACGGCGATGTTTGACTGTGAGGGGGATGCCGAGAAAATACATTGCACTGATCAAGGCACTCTACTCGAACTCATGCAGCCAGGTAAGAGCTTATGGAGAGTTGTTATCTGAAGTGGTGCCCACTGTCCCCATTTCTATTTAATTTCATCATATATGTTTTAATGGAATTAACCCTAACTGCTGAGTTCAGAGACTCAGGGATTGACGTGTTACCAGGGAATAATAGTCTTGTTGACTTAGAATATTCAGATGACATAGTCCTTCTAGGTGAAGACTAACAAAATGCAGAGTCTTCTGAACACCTTGAGCTGCAATCTGCGAATGTTTGGCATGCAATTTGTTCCCGCCAAGTGTAAGATTATGCTAAAGGACTGGACTACACTGACTCACTCCTAGCTTAGAGATAGGGAGTGAAGTGGTAGAGCTTCACTTATTTGGAAAGTTGCATCAGCCAGTGCCAACGTGTTGATCGCTGACGAATTTTTATCACGGATACTGAAGGGCCTTTAGGTATGTGCCAACTTACGCCATATCTGGCGCAAACGTGATATCTGGCTGTCGATCAAAGGGCGTGTGTACTGATCAGTAGTCCGCTCTGTCCTCCTTCATTGCTGTCAGTGAGACATGGTCATTGAAAGTGAAAGACATGAAAAGGCCGGCTAACTGTCTTTGATCATAGGTGTCTGCTTTCTATCTCCCGTGTGAAGTGGTATAATAGGGTGAGCAATATTGAGATTAGGCTTCAGTTGAGTACTAGTTAAGGAGGGTAAATCAGTCGACGAGGCTGTGAAGTGACATCGATTGAGATGTGCAGGACATGTGTTACCTATGCCTAGCCATCGCCTTCCTCAACGGCCAATGTTAGCTGACATAGGGTCAGGTCGGAAAAGAGTCAGTGGCGGTCAAACCAAAACGGGGCATCAGTCAATGAAATCCACAACAGTTACTTTAAGCCAGCCACTGAGGGAGGCGTAGACTTCCTGGTTGGGGTCCTTGGGATGGTAAAAACCAGTGGCTGGAGACAATTGGTAATATGGCTCAAAATCGTTCTCAATGGCGCAGATGCATCCACTCTTTGTGATTTATCATATCTAATAAAACTATATTGTTCTTCGATATTACTATTGTTTTCGCCTCATATCTCTGTTTACTGTCACTACTTTGCATTTCCTTTTACTATCTCTTGCTTTGTGTGCCACATGGAGTGTGGTGGCTCGAACTCCTACACATCGGTGCAAAGTTCTATATTCAAACCATTCAGTCAGTTGTTTTTATGTAGGTGGGCTCATCAGCGGTATATCGGGTTTGACACAGCTGGGAGAACCGATTCACTTCAATGTGCCCGACATTCTGACCAGCTAGACGAACTGGTATTTTATTTCTTATAAGAGTGTAAGGGTATAGTTAGATATCTCTTTAGGTTTTCTTGATTTCACTGTTATTTGTTCTAATGAATAACCAAACTGATTCATTACAATGTAATACAATGCTAATTTCAGTGGCAATCCAATCCTACAAATGACATGTATGCAGATGCTGTACAGAATGTGATATTACGGGCTGGTATGCAAGGAATGCCTCCTAGAGGTAAGTATGCCCGAAATGATTTCGGCTTCTTTCTTTCTTTCTTTTTTAATATTCTGTTTAATAAAAATTTCATGTCAATAAACTTAATTTGTATTAACACATTTTAATCTCCCGCTGAGTAGTTATGCACAATTCACTGTACTTGTTTTTGTGTTAAACAGTAAAGGAAAATCCTTAACATTAGTGAAAAAAATGATCATATACACAGTAATTTATATTAATATTAGAAAATAAAAATGAAATGGGCAGAAATAAGGGGAGGTAAACAAGTGAAAAATAAAATGTTCAAGGCTTGAAACAAATGGTTTATGTGTATTTGTATTATCATAGTAGAATACACATTTGTTTTCTGTCTAAGGTGGTTGTCAATCACCCGTCTGTGTGTACTCCATCCACACCTGTCCATATAACTTATAACAGTGACAGAAATCCATGTCTCTCAGTGACTCTTTGTTCTTGTCGGCACTTATCAACAAAACATATCTGCCATTTATTATGAATCTCCAGTTTCTCATCATTCAGTAATCAACTCGAAGACTTCACTATGAAGTCATCAGGATCACAACTGATCCTCTGTCGGAATTGTTGGTATGGTTGACCGATGTATGGTGGTGATAGTCACTTGATGGTTATTATTCTAGTTCATAAATGCTTAGTACTATGTTAACCATTGTTAGTTTTCTTCTAACCTACCTTATATTTAATGCATTTTGTAGTAGTTGATAACAAATGATTTCCTTTGTGTATTTATAAACTTTACGATACTCTTGCAACAATGTTCAACATTAAAATTGATTTTGAAGTAGTAGTATTACTGAATCGTTAGTTCATATATTTAACTTTTGACCGGTTGGTCACGGTTGTTTCACCTATATTAATGTTTCGGTAATACGACTTGTTTTTAAATGTGATAAGCGTAATTAATTTCTATGAACTTTGATTAAGAGTTGACCTAGTAACTTCGCAGATATTAGATGTTAAGTGAACGTAAACACATGATATATATGTAACCTACTCCTGTTAATTGGTTTATGCTTAGTTTTCAGTTGTTCAACCTTTAACAGATGAGTTGCTAATTTTACTAGAATGTTATATAAGATAGTTACATCAAAAATACCTCCTGTCAGTTGAACAAAAGGTAGTTTATTAACAGTTCGCCATCATAAATAGTGATCCACTGTCTGTCCTCGCGTGAATTTTCATTATTTCGTAGGTCATGACTTAACTCTTCATTGTACTTTTTACACTGATGTAAATCTAGCTCTTCCTAGTCTTAATCTCTCTCTTTTTTTCTTTGTTTTAAGGTCTACCTCATTTAATTGAACCGAGTAAAGAACAATTTCGTTCTGCTCTTGAATTAACTCTACAAGATTCATTTGGAATTGATTGTTTAGAAGAAGACAAAATTGAACCAGATGCTAATTATGTACTTGTACATGTAGATTTACATGTGGCTGAAATCAATCTACGCGATATGGTAAGTTGCTATAAAATAATTTATTTTATCTATTGGTCTTTAAAGACGTGTTATGTAACTTGTGTGCGTCGATGCTCGCCAATTATATGCCGCAGGTGGTCCGGGGTTCGATCCTTGGTCGGTGCACTCCTAAACCTCCCTAAGCCGGTAGTGAGGTCGGTGAAGATGGAAGGTTAGACGTGAGGCTAGCAACCCCACCCCCGTAAAAAAATAAATCTGAAAAAAATCACTGCTACGGAAACTTCAAAGCTCTAGCTTGAAGCCCTAAGTTTCACTTGGAATGCAAAGGAATGAAATGTGTAACTGATGCTTTTATCGTTAGCTTTAACTTCACAGAAATAGCTGGTAGATGGTTTCATAACTTGTAACAGATTAGTTCTTTGAGGTCTTCATTCGTAAATTTTTATCTTAGAGCTGATATACTGCCCGGAAAATGCATGCTAAATTTGGTTACCGTCTTAAAGAACTTCTAATTTTTTTAAATAAGTAATAATTCACAAAGCATTAAAACCTCATGACAGCTAGTTACCTATACACAGGTTTGTATACTGTGTATTCTTTCGGGATCAAGCAGTGCATGTACACAACTGTTTCAATTCAAACTCTTCTCTATACATAAAGGAAATTTGTCATGTTGGACGATATATTTAGGATCATTCTAATTCAATCAGCTATCACTAAAGATATTAGCTGGGAAGCATCGTTTCAACTACAGGCGGACGGAACTCATGAGGGTATTAAGGCAAGGATCGAGAAAACAAGGCAAGCTTTCATTACTCTCAAGTCTGTGAGGAGGTCGACAGCACTCAGCATGAAAAATAAGATCCGGATTTTCAACTCCAATGTGAAGTCAGGGCTACTTACTATATGGATCAGAGACATGACGCCACGTCACCAAGAGCACTTCGAACAAATTACAGACCTTCATCAATAGCTGTCTTCGTTCAATACTCAAGATCGGATGGCTGGCCAGAAAAGATCAGCAACAGGGATCTCTGGCAATGAGCGAACCAATCCAGCAGGAACTGACTGTGCAACAAATCTGCAGGAAGAAATGGAGGTGGATAGGCCATACTCTGAGGAAACGATTCAGTGACATCACATGCCAGGCCATCGCTCGAGTGGAACTCGAACAGGAAGTGGCGAGTTGATCGTCCAAAGTTGACTTGGAGGTCATGTGAAGAGGAGATGAAAGGATGTAGGCAGACATGGAGCCAGGTGAAAACGTTGGCAGAGAACCGAACGCAATGAAGACGTGTGGCTGAAGCCCTATGTTACTCTAGAAACTGAAGGAAACAGTAATAACAATCACTAAAGATATATACTTTTTACTTATATGCCTAAGATAACATTGACTTTGATGCAATTTCTTTTATTGATATTTTTAGTCTGTATCGTGTAAAACCAATGCAAAATTGGAGCATATTCTTCAAGTTATGGTCAACCGATTGAATCATTCTCTTTCAGCTATGTGAATATGATCATTATTACTTCAGTCAGATGATAATCATCTGAATGTTTTGTAAATTATTACATACTTTTATACCTCTTTTATTGAGTAAATAAAAATAAAAAATTCCCCTTTCAATATTTCTTCTTCATATTTGCTAACATTATTGTCTCCGAAAACCCAAGTTCACGCTGTAGTTTAAATTATTAAGTTCTATAATATAGAAATGTTGTTTATTGCAATAGTTAGGTGATTGCGTTTCTAGTTCGCTTTTTTTTTACAGCATCGTGTACTGTGTAATTACCTTTTTTTTCTTCTCATCTCTGGATATGCTCACCGGTAGTTGGATAGGTAATTAAAAATATACGTGAGTACATTAAGACAATAAGAATAAGCGAAATTATGATGTAGTGGCTCGGATGAAAATTCAGCTAGCTCAGTGATTCAAGCAGACCGCCAGGGGTAGATACAGTCTGGAAGCATTTTTCTTCAAGGCTCTATGTTGATGCGTCAGTTAAACTAGTCTATAAAGCTTACTTTTGTGTACACAAATTAAAAAAAAAAAAAGAAAAACACATCAACTTATGAAATGGAAGTCAAGTCCAGTATCCATATTTTGAAACTTCTTAAGAATGTAAATCCGTAAACTATGTTTCAACACTGTAATCACAGTATAATGTGTTGTCATAGTAACAGAAATATAAGTAACGCCATTATTATTATGATACAGTGGTACAGTTGTGTATATTTTATCAACAGATTTTTGAATACAAGTGTGATTTATACTTGAAACCTAGTGGTAAGTGCCAGCATAATTAAGTATATATATATATATATATATATATATATATATATATATATATATATAATCGGATGATTATGACACAAGTTATGTCCGGAAAACTGTTTTCAGTAATGATTTTTTTCAAAGGGTGCATAATAATACTGAGATGTATTCCTAATAAAGTGATAAAACTTCTCATTTTCAGGAAATATAATAGTTTAACATTGAATAAGAACTAGGATAAACACACCTAAATTGAACAATATATGGTATTAGTGGAAAAGTGATAATAAGAGAAATTGCATTGTTATTCAACTATTAGATTCATTAGTTTAAACTCATGACTCAACGATTCATTAAATCGAGTGTAAGGACAGTTACTGGCTGGACAACCGTGTTGGACGAAGTTGTTAACTAGCAGGCGTCATGTGAGGTTTAATGAATTCCACCAGGTCTGGTGTTTCCATCAAGTGTCTTTACCACTTGTGGAATTATTACTAACATTCAAATGCCAACTCCATTCCGTACGCTTGGTAGAAGGTAGTGGGTGCATTTATCTTGGTCCCTTGTACAAATAAAAAACCTTAACAAGACTGGGAGGTGGGGAATTAAATTGATTTAGTGACCACATAGACTAGCATCTGTAAGGTAGGAAGTGTTCATGTAGAGAGAGTATTCTTTTACTAATATTCAGCAAACTACCTATCATGACACAGCACTTTTGAGTATTAGGCGGATGAAGTAAAGTGCATCTTTCAAAAAATAAAGAAAGACCAGATTTGCAGTATAAAATGATATCATTCTATTTCCCAGTTCCTCATCAGCTGCTGCAAACTACCTGGAATTACAATGATTATAAAAGATAACAATAACATACTTCAATGTTTGAATAGTTAGTTGTAAAGAAAATATTATAAAGTCAATATCATCCGAAATATAAGCATTACAGTTTTTAGTTGAAGTTACTATCAAATGTATATGCTTTCAAAATAGAAAAGGTGGAGAAGATAGAAAACAGAAAAATCTAATTAAACATTGTTAGCATGTAGGTTGGTTGACATAGCAACTCAAGAAGGTTATAGTTCATAAAAGTGCATCTAATTAACAGATGTTATCTGTGACCTGTAAGGTTTTATCTGCAGCTGCTACTATTTAACATAAAAAAGAACATAATTAGAAATAATTACTTCAGTCACATATAGAACATATCCTCCATAGCCTTATTCTTAACTTCTCTGATTCATAATAGCAGACAACGGATTATGAATCCTTCGACCATATATTAGAGTTATTTAGGCTCATGTTCTGCCTAACTTTAGCAGGAGAAAACTCACATATATCGTTTGTAAATTACCCATGCATAAGTCTGATTGGGAGTTGACGTACTAAGCTATCTATAAGGTCAATTTAAGTCAATACTTAGTGTATTAGATAAGTAGAATATATATATATATAATTTGTGTTTTTATTGAGACATTAATACATATCTCACTTCAGTAGATTTATGTATTCTACAGTAGCAATCATTTAATCGGTATTAGCCCATTTAGAAGTATTTTCCAGAAAATAATATACTTAATATCAATAGTTCCAAAAATTTGTCATTAGAAACCTTATGTTGGTGGGTCAAGGCAGATAACTACAACTGTCTATCTGTTTGGATTCAACGTAGAACTTGGCACCGAAGTGCAGCAGTTCGAGTTGCCACGTTCCAAAGAGCACACAAATGTAGACAAGAAAATGAGTGAAGAGAATCAATAGAGTTTTGACAAGTATAAGAGTGAAACAGAATGAGTAATGGTAGAAAGGAATATGAAAGATTACAGAGACTGAATACATCTGCGTAAGTCATTGACAACGATTTTGAGCCATGTCACCTATTGTCTCCAGCCATTGATTCTTAGAGTCCCGAGGGCCCCAACCCGGAAGTCTGCATCTCCCTACCTGACTCAGTTTAACTGTCAAGGATTTCATGGACTGATGCCATGTTTTTGTTTGGCCACCACTTACTCTTTTCCAACCTGCACCTATATCAGCTAGTAATGCCCGTCGGGGGTAGGCGATGGTTAGGCATGCGCAGCACGTGACCTAGCCATCTCAATCTATGTAACTTTATAGCCTCTTCGAGTGATTTTCCCTCTTTGCCCAACACTCTACGCCTAACGTCAACATTACTTACCTTATTATACCACCTAACGCGAGAAAGAGATCGTAAACATCTGTGGTCAAAAACAGACAATCTCTTCATGTCTTCCGCTCTCAATGGCCACGTCTCACCACCATAGAGAAGGACGGAGCGAACTGATGAGCAGTATACACGTCCCTTGGTTGACAGCCGGATGTCACGCCTACGCCAGAGACGGTGTAAGTTAGCGAAAGCAGCCCGAGCTTTTTGGATCCGTGCTGAGATTTCGTCGCCAATCAATCCGTTGGTGCTGATACAACTTCCCAAATAGGTGAAGTGGTCAACATGTTCTATCACTTCACTCCCTATCACTAAGCTAGGAGTTGACGTAGTCCAGTCCTGTAGCAGCATCTTACATTTCACAGGGGCGAATCGCATGCCAAACATACGAAGATTGGTGCTCAAGGTGTTCAGAAGACTCTGCATTTTGTCAGCATCCTCCCCTAACAGGACTATGTCATCTGCATATTCTAAGTCCATAAGACTATACCCTGGTAACAAGTCGATTCCTAAGTCGTTAAGTTCAGTGAAGGATACTTCCATTAGCATATCTATGATGAAGTTAAACAGAAAAGGGGAAAGTGGACATCCCTGACGGACACCACTAGTTGTTATCAATTCAGATGATAATTCCTCATAAGCCCTTACATGGCTACGTGAGTTTGAGTAGAGTGCCTTGATTAGTGCAGTGCACAACAACAAGATATAATATATAAGGTCTGCCAAATAAGAAGGTGAAACCCTTGTAGCTGGGTTACACGAGATAGTAAAAATTGAGTACTTTCAGCCTAAGACAAGATGGTTCGAACTTACTAAATATCATCGGAATAACGCAATGGTAAAATACTTCATCTTGGTGCTGAATAAATTAGACTGGAATATCACAGTTGACATGGATTTCCTCAAAAAATGTCGGAGTGGAATGCCAACAGACCCTGAACACAAATCAATGAGGGCTAATTTCCATGAGACTGTAAACTACTGATTGGTTGATATTAGCAGCTGTTTGCCACTCATACCAAAACACCAGACGGCCATTTTGCTCGTTTGTAGGTGAGCTCATCAGCTAAAAGAGCTGAACCAGTTGAAATTACCCGATTTCTTGCCTATGGGTTTTCAAAGGAAATGTGTTAATTGCGACTTTGATCTAAGGTTTATTTCCAAACGACCATTACTACTCAAAACCAGTGAGAAATATATTACAGTAGTATAGATACGTACTGAATACCTTACTATTCCCTGTTTGTTTTCCTCCTGATCAGCTCTTATCATCTTTGATAAAATTGACATTTATATTATTATGTATTATTATTCCCTTGGGTTCCGAGTGGAACATGGGGCTTCAACAACACACCTCCACTTCGTTATATTTTCTGCTGTCCTCTTCAGCTGATTAGCCACACGATCGCCCATAATCTCTCCTCTCACGATCTCCTCCATGTCACCCTAGGACGACCCTCACGTCACTTCCCATTGGGATTCCACTCCAGTGATGGCCTGCATTGAGCGCGATGTCATTCGACAGCCTCCTCAGCGTATGCCCGATCCATCTCCATTTTCTCCTACATAACTGTTGAGCAGTCGGCCCTTGGTTGGTTCGTTACACTACAGAGTTTCTTGTTGCTAATTCTTCCTGGTTGACTATTTGATCATCAATGTAGAGACAGAGAAGGCAACTGTTGATAAAAGTCTACGACAAGCTGTTGGAAATGCTTTTGGTGACGCATATGCGAAGTTTCTGACTCATACAGAAGAACTGACTGACTGAACATTGGTGTTGTACCCCGAATCTTATTGTTTATGCTGAGGCTGAGTGACATCAGAAGATTTCCAAACTGGTTTCAGGTTGATGGAGGTCTGTCTCGCCTTTCCAATTCTGGTTGGCTGGCTGACTGGCTTTGACATCTTCATCCGTTCGGACTGCCTGTGGTTGAAACAATGCTGCCTCGATAAGTGAAGGCAGGAAGTAGTGATCTCTTTCAAATTTCTCCCGTTGATGGTGATTGGTGTTGGTTGTTGTTGTTGCTGGTGGTGGTGGTTGGTTGTCTTCATCACCTCCGTCTTCTCTGTGTTCACCTGGAGTCCTGTCTTCACTGCCAGCCTGTTCAGCCAGTTTGTTGCTTTTCGCCTGTAGGTCTTCTAGTTTGTGTGACATTAAACATA